ACTCACCCATGGACCCCCTACCGCTCTGCCCCACACAAGCTGTTCATCTCAAGCTGCCATGTTCATTCACATCGACCTGATTCATCACCATTCTCACCCAACACAATCTTGTCATACCTCACTCACCTCACCCAACTCACCCACACCACCACCACCACCGCAAACCTAGAACCATCACCACAATGCTCAACCGCCGACTAACAACCCCCCAGTCCTGGGACAGGATCCCCTGATCCCCCCCGCGCTCCTCTCCTCCGAGATCCCCATGACCGACGCCGCCCTCCAAACCGTCGTCCGCGGCCGCAACGAGGCCGTCGACATCATCATGGGCAAAGACGACCGTCTCCTCGTCATCATCGGCCCGTGCTCCCTCCACGACCCCTCCACAGCCCTCGAGTACTGCGCCCGCCTCAAATCCCTCGCCGCGAAGCTCTCCTCCGACCTCTGCGTCATCATGCGCGCCTACCTCGAGAAGCCGCGCACCACCGTCGGCTGGAAGGGCCTCATCAACGACCCGGACATTGACTCCACCTTCAAGATCAACAAGGGCCTGCGCATCTCCCGCCAGCTCTTCAGCGACCTCACGACGGCCGGCATGCCCATCGCCAGCGAGATGCTCGACACAATCTCCCCCCAGTTCCTCGCCGACTTCATCTCCGTCGGTGCCATCGGCGCCCGCACCACAGAGTCCCAGCTCCACCGCGAGCTCGCCTCCGGCCTGTCCTTCCCCGTCGGCTTCAAGAACGGCACCGACGGCAACCTCGGCGTCGCCATTGACGCCATTGGCGCTGCGGCCGCCAAGCACCACTTCATGGGTGTCACCAAGCAGGGTCTCGCCGCCATCACCCGCACAAAGGGCAACGAGCACGGCTTCGTCATCCTCCGCGGCGGCTCCCACGGCCCCAACTTTGACAAGGAGAATGTCCAAAAGGCAAAGGACACCCTCACCAAGAAGGGCCAGAAGCAAGCCATCATGATTGACTGCTCCCACGGTAAGTCTTCTTCCCCCTTTCGCCCCCCTTTTGCGCAAGGAAACAGACCTCTAACACACCACACAGGCAACTCCAACAAGGACCACCGCAACCAGCCCAAGGTCGCCGCCGTCATCGGCGACCAGCTCCGCGAGGGCGAAAAGTCCATCATCGGCGTCATGATCGAGTCCAACATCAACGAGGGCAACCAAAAGGTGCCCGCCGAGGGCCCCGCCGCCCTCAAGAAGGGCGTCTCCATCACCGACGCCTGCATCCACTGGGACTCCACCGTCGACGTCCTCGAGGGCCTCGCCTCCGCCGTCCGCGCCCGCCGCGAGCGCAATGCTGGTTCTGCCAACGGCAACGAGGACTCGCATAAGGTTACCCACCTTGAAGAGGAGTAAGGGCACACCCACGTCTGGTGAAATGACGGGGTTGCTCGACCTGACCAAGGTGCTTTTGAACGAGAGGAAAAACACCACAAAGTGAAATAGGGGGGGACAAGGGGCCTTGATTGGATGAAGGAAACATACCAACCCATATGCATAGCATTTGCATTTCTCAAGGCTCCAAGGAGGAAATCAAAAAAAAAAAAAAAAAAAAAAAAAAAAAGTGAATTTTTTTATGCGGTTTATAGTCACGGTTTGCATGGGTTCATGATACATGCGTCCCCTGGATCGCTCGAGGGCGCCTAGGACAACTAGGAGAGATAGATAGCTTTGCAAAATAGCTCCGCGTTTCTCCTTTCAGAGCCTGTGGCCTACAATGACTCCAAAATGCCTGACTTCCCATGTCTTGATGCTCATACATGAACCTCACCCAGAACCCAGACCCAAATCACACCCATAAACGCCATTCCCGGAACCCCGATCCCACTATCAAAGCAACATCAACCTGGCCTCGCAGGCGAAAGCTGGCTATAATCACCCCTCCCAGAAGCAGCAGCAGCAGCAGCAGCAGCATCAGCCGCCCTCTTCCCCTCCCTAAGCTCATTCGCCCTCTTGAACACAGCCCAGCCGAGCAATCCCGACGTGCCCAGCAGGAACCCCCACACAATGACGCGGTCCTTGTTGCTGTCGCGCTGGAAGCACATAGTCTGGACGTCCTCGTCTTTGGCGTTGCGGCAGAAGTCGATGCCGCGGCTGAGGCAGAAGGCTTTCGTGCATTGCGAACAGGAGGAGGAGGCGGCGCGCTTGTTGAGGAGGGGGGATTCGGACGAGGTGAGGTGGGAGGAGGTGTCGCGGCGGGAGGAGGGAGGTGCGGCGTTGCCTGGTGGTTCGCCGTCTGCGTGTTGGGGGCCTAGGGCGACGATGGTGCTGTTTTTGAAGCAGGTGCATTTGCAGAATGTTGGCGCTGCTTGGAGGGGTGTTAGTACGTCTCTGTTGGAGGGACTTGGCGATGGGTCATTGTTTGCAAAGACTTTACAGTTTGCGCTGACGAGAGCGACGAGGCCGCATAGAAGCAGCAAGAGTATTGATATGCGATTCATCCTGGCGAGTTGTGTCCACTGCCGATCGGGTCTGATTGTTCTTCGCGACGGCGCGGGCAGCAGGTGAAGTTGTCGCCGTCTTTGGCTCAGAGAGGTGACGGACGCACGAGCCACAGCCGGGATGGCGGCGTCGACCCACTTGAATGTGGCTGCACTCTCCGTGCAGCTGTGGCTGAAGCTCCATCGTCCCTGATTCGCCAGCTCAACCCCAGCATCCAAAAAAGTTCAATTGGAGACTTTGAAGCTCCCTACCAACATCGTGCTGCCATTTTGCCCGTACCAAAAGGCAAAAAGATCCCCTTTGCCTCGATCAACACAGCACAACACAGCACAGCACACACCCAAACGCCCACCATGCGTCGTGTACCGCGTCTCGGGCAGCCGAGCCTGCTCGCAGCCTCCCCGATCCAATGCACCACCTGCGCCGCGCCCGCCACACTCCCCATCTCAGCAACAGCAGCAGCAGCATCACGAAGAACCCTCTCAACGACACCCGCAACCCCCAGCCGCGTCCGCAAATTCCTCTGGAAAGGCGGCGACGCCCCCGGCCCGGAAGACCCCTACGCCGCCGACTCCTCCCAGGCCCTCCGCCAGCAGCGCATCGCGCAGGAACTAGCCGAAGCCGAGGCCGAGCTGGCCGCCTTCGAGACCGACAACCAGGAGACGCAGCGGGCCGAGCAGAAGCGCCGCCAGAAGCCGCAGAGCCGGCTCGCGCACCAGATCAAGAATAAGCGCGTGTGGGCGCCGACGGAGAAGGAGGTCGTGGAGAATGGCTACGTGCCTGCCAAGACGATTGACGGGCTCGAGGAGATTGGCGGGATCGAGGGGTGGTGGGAGCAGGAGGGCCGTTGGGGGAAGGAGAGTGAGTATGTTGGCTTCGCGGGCGCTGGTAAGGTTGTGGAGGATGCGGATGTGTGTGCTGCACGCGTGAGGCAGGCTGTTGTTGAGGCGCTTGCTGTTGCTGGGTCTGCTGAGGTGCAGGGCCGGTTGACGGGTGTGTGGGCCAGGGGTGATGGGGAGGGCTTTGGCAGGGCAACGGCACTGGGGTTGAAGATTGGAGAGGACGGTAGCGTCTCTCTTGAGGGCGATGCTGCTGCGATTGAGGGCGTCGTCGCGCCTCTGTTGGAGGCTCAGGAGGCGCAGGTCTCCGAGGGCGTTGTCGAGGCTGCTGAGGCGAAGGCGTTGGTTGAGGCGTGGGGCGAAGCCTGGAAGAGCATTTCTCTCGAGGACGCACGATTCAAGTTCGCTGTAAGTCTTCTCCTGTCTCTTACATCCTCAAAAGGGGAGTTCTCTGTCCGATACCATTCTAACACGTAATGCGACAGGTCCACAAGCGCGTCTTCCAACTGACGGGCCACCGCGTCCACGACGCCAAGCTCGCGCAGATCAAGACGGTCGGCGACCTCATCGCCACCATCGTCACGCCGCCCAAGCCGACAAAGGTCGCCGAGGCCATTGCCCAGCAGGGCGAGCTGCTCGACCTGCCCAACGTCCGCGTCCGCGTCACCCGCGTCACGCCCATCGACAAGGAGATCGAGCTCGGCCGGTGGAAGGTCATCAAGCAGGAGCTCAAGAAGAGAGGCCTGCCTGTCACGGGACACAAGCACCTTGCCAAGCCGGTGCAGAGGGACTGGATCCAGGGCAAGGCGTAAGGAGAGACGGTGTGGAGGTGACGTCGGAGAGAAAAGGAGACGGAAATGTGTCTGGTATAGAGGAGACTTGTACAGATATTGTACTCTTTGTAACATATGGAATATCAATGATTCTTGCTCTGATAAACTTTAGGTCATGGCTTTACTCCTCATTTGGAAAATACGTCAGCTGTGCTTCTACCTAGCTAACTTGCATAAATGCTAGATCTCACACTGTGACGAGGCATCATCCGTATGCCCCTATTCAGTCAACTCCTCGATACGACTCCCATAGATGGTGAGCAGGGTGTGTTGGCAGTTTCGAGTTTCTCTCTTCCGCTTTGGGCCCGTTTGTTCACAATAAAGATCACCATCCTGCCTTGTATCAACGCGGTTACGTGCAGAGCGAGTGCACACGACCAACAAACAGACGGCCCTCGACCGGAAGAGGTTCGTTTCGTGGCAAGGGCTTTTCTGTGATGTTTTATCACCCACTACTACACCCTCTTCCCTTCACAAATATAATTTCACCTTTCTCTACGCGTCTGAAACCCTCAGCCTTCTCACAACATTGACCTCTTCACTCTCGTTGCCCCTTGACCCTCCGAGATTCCTTCCTCGTCAACCCACTTGGTCTCCATTCTTCTCATCACTTGCCGCCGTCAAGACTCTCAGAGTTCTCGCCAAGAACTCATCTTGTTATTCCTGGTCATACCTTCCCTGAGGTACTTTCCCTTGGATCACATTGCGCCAGATCACAATTCTTCCTCGTCCTTTCTACATCTTACTGGACTCTTGTTACCGCAAGAGAAAGATTCATCCAGGTAAATCATCCCGACTATCCTCTCCCCTTCCGCTAACGACTAACTTGTCTATAGAATGTATCCACCTCCAGACTTTGAAAGGTATCGCCGGGCCGTTAGGATGGAGAAGTGGGTGGACTGGGCAAAGTCCCAGAAAACTGCCCGCATTCATAATCTACCCGGACAAGGCTGCAAGAGTAGACATGCTACTCCATAAAGTCTACTGGGACTTCGATTTAACAGATCTCCCGGACGTCAAGGACCAAGAATGCTGGAAGCGTATAACCTCTACACTCCGGAATCCTGGACCTCACCCCACCCGAGATGATCTATATTCACGCACTCAACGCAGTCGACTGCGAGTTGGCCCGGATCTTCAACAACGGCCGCATGCACGAGACCCTCGTCGAGATGGCGAGAGACGTGGGCTTTGACGCGCATAAATGCTGCGACCCGTCGCTCTCGATGGAGCAGAGGAAAATTGTGCCTCCGAGAGGATCTTGGCAGATGAACAGTGCGGACGAGCACACGATTGACGACCGGGCTGCGATCACTTCCAGGCGGTTTGATCTGGACAAGCTCAATTATGCGGCTGTTTCGGAGCTCTTGCTCGAGCAGCAGGCCCTCAAGGAGAAGAGGGAGGCAGCTGCTGCTCGTACCACTCCTAATAGCGCGGTTGATCGATATCAGGGTGGCTCGGCGGGAACTGGAGGCGGCTGGCATAGACATGCGAGCCCTGCCTCCTCTGGAGGACCCAGAAATGAGCCAAAGACATCGAAAAAGGCTACCGCGGTGGACGGGAATGTTCGCTTTCGCTTACAATCGAACAAGCCGTCTTCATTGACGGAAGAGTCAACAGTTTCTAGAAGAATGTCGTCCAGGGGTCCAATTAGGGATCTTTTTGACCAAGAGGAACCTTCGATGCTCAACGACCCAAGTTCAACTCTGGTCATCAACGGGGTTATTGTTCAGCAAGGACAAGCCGGTGGCGGCGTCCAACAAGAAAGAGCCACAGCCGCTGCGAGACCAGGGTCGAGGTCAGCAACGAGCACATCCTCGAGAGGAGGGCTGTCTGGTTTCCAAAACCCCTTCACCAAGCCACCTGCTGAAGCGCCTGTCAATACTCAACGGACTACGGAGCAGCAAGCTCGACGAGAATCGAGTGGTCCGCCGAGGGGCATTCCACTCCAGCATCGCACGTTGGCGAGAAGACCGAGTGGAACTCAAGAGTCCGGACTGTCGACACCGTCGACCCCACCGACACATGCCTCCTCCAGCAGTGTCCAGCAACAGAGAAGCTCATCAGTCAAGACACAGGTTCAAGAGCAGAGACTTGCGACTATCCCGCCGGCAGAACACAAGACGGATAGTCAGACCGCCGAGATTCCTACCCAAGAAAAGTCGACCCAAGAAAAGTCGTCGACCCAGGTTCAGAACCTCACAGCCGAGATAGCGAAGAAGCTTGAGGCAACCATCAACCAGAGCCTTTTGGAAGCGATCCGAGGAGTCTACCGCGGCGTTCCGAAGATCATGGAGGGAAGGATACAAGGATGACTAGACAGCCCAGAGTGTCGCTCCGTGGAATTCACTGTCCTTCGAGACGTCGAAAGCGAGACCACCAGGATTGTCAAGGAATCTGTCATGGCCAAGATGAAGGCCATGGAGCAAATCATCAAGGGCTCCGAGAACCCGCGTCAAGCGGGAGTCGGTCCGGGACACCAAGCACAAAGCTGATGAGAAGGATGCGGAAGAAGGTGACCAGACTCAACAGGCCGCGAAGCGACAGCGGGGCGATGGTGGTGGCAGTGGTTGAATCACATGAACGTTACCGGCTGACCGACTGTTCGGATGTTGACAGCGGATAGATGGGATATGGCATTTTTGACACCCGTGTTTGGAGTAAGGTTGATGTTTGACCATGGATCAAGGAGGATACATTGTTGGGAATTGTTTGATTTGGCGTTCGCATCGGATGGATTTGCTTTTGAGGATTACTCATGCCCGTCAACGTATCTTACATGAGAAATGAAACGATTAGTATGAATGATTGGCCTATCAGAAATACTTTCGGAAGGGCTGAGTGAAGGTTTGACCTAGCATTTGGCAACATCCGATGTGAATTCTCATTCAAGTAGCGATTGCACCTCATATCAGCAACACGCGAGGGGTGTTCATTCAGCCCTCCAAAGGGCAAGTAGCTCAATTGTCAGCTACCTAAGTCATGCGTGACCGAACTCTAGGTCGGTATAGATTAGGATTTTCCATCCCATTCTATCACGCGTAAGCAAAACGCTTCATGCCATTTCAATCATTCCACCTTCCTCGCTCCCGTCATATCATGTTCCATTTTGATTCGTTTCTGTAAAGTACTTTTGTCAGCTATACTCATCTGAGAGGACGATGCTGGTGAGACAAACATTCAAAGTGGAAGTGACCGTCGTTGTTGGACAGGCGCTCGCACAGGTTGACGTCGGCGTCAATGGGCTCGCCCTCAACGTTGAAGAGGCGGGCGCGGAGGATGGGCTGGTCGCCCTCGAACTCGAAGCGGATGCTCTCGGAGGAATCGGCGAAGCCTGTTTGAAAGGAAAGAGAGACGAAGGTTAGAAAACGTTGTTCATGGCAGTAGGCGGCGGAAGACGAGTAAGAGAGAGAGAACGATGGGGAGAGGACGAAGAGGATGTAGACTTACCCCGGCCACCCCAGTCGAAGCGACCGTTGTCGTTACCGATGCAGTCGTTGAGGTTAATCTCGGCGTCGACGAAGTCGCCGTTGCCGTTCTGGAGGCGGGCGCGAAGGATGTGGCCGTCGTCGACGCGGGTGTCCTGGGCAGAGTGGTGGAAGTTGGACATTTTGGTTGATGTTGTGTTTGTGAAGGTTGTTTGAGAAGAATTGAGTTTGTTTCAGTGAAGAAGAAGGGCTACGGGTGAGTGGGGGATGGGAAAGCTTTATATAGATGTGAATGTCGTCAGGAAGAGGATGACGAGGAGGAGGAGCTAGGAGGAGCTAGGAAGGAGGAGTGACGGGGCAGCTTGTGGCTGGAACCTTATTCACACCTGGCTGGAGGCAGCAAGCTTAGGAGGGGCAAGTGGGAGTGAAAGAGAGGCCTCCATCGTATTCACTGGGTACTTTGTCGTCTGTTGCAGACACGTGGAGGTGGGAAATGGCGGTCTTGGGATCCTGGGAGCGGGTTTCCATTGGCGATGGGAGAGGTTCTCCTTGGCTGGAGCCCAGTTCACGCCCTGCTTCTACCCCGGGGGAAGCTTCATGCTCTCACCCACGAAGCTCTTACTGCGTTTGAACACCATTGGCAAATCTGGGCTTTTGCTTGGCCCTGTCCGTCTGGCCCTATAGGGAGAAGCTAGCTTGCCTAGGTTGTATTCACGGCCAATTGGGCCTGGATCGTAACTTCCCATTGATTCGGTTTGTTTCTGCCAATATAGCACACCTCTGGTTCAATGGAGGTGGTGTCACGATGTGTTCTTGCTACGTAGCTCATGGGGCCAAGAGCCTCCTCCGCTGACAGGGGTTCGGGAGCTTCCAGGAGCTGTCGTTGGTCGACAGGGGCAAGGCGAGGCGAGGGTGAGGCTAGGCGATGGAGGGGCGGGGTGGGAGCTTAAGTGGGATGGAGGGGTAGCTTTCATCCTTTCACGTCACGGCGATGCCGGGTTGGTGGTGTCTAATGTGTATAGACAGTCGTGAACGTATGGCTATACGGCATTTCCTGTCTAGTTACTCCGTATTCCACGGCGTAATAGGAGCTACCTTGCCAAAGACAGCTAGCTACCCTTTTCAATGCCTCTAATGCACTCCCCACGACATGCCTCGAGTCTATTGATGCCCTTTCCTTCCATTCGAGCATTCGAGCCCCGCCGGCACGAGGGTGCCGAGGGCTCGCGATGGGGGCCGCTTGGCGTACATGAGGGGACACGCCTCTCATGCAGGGTGCGACTGGGACAAACCGGACCACGTTTGGATACGGGGGGGAATGGACGACTGAGAGGCCACGAGAGGGCTCCCGGGCGCCGGATCGTGTGAGATGTGAGCCTGCGAGGTGTGTGTTGGATGACGCGGCCTGCTTTTTTGTCTCTTGACCTACAGGCTCGTGGGAAGGAGGGCATTCTTTCGCGTTCTTTGTGGTTTTATTCTGTAAGGGCAGGATGAATGGAGGATGTTTGAAGCTTGGGGCGTGGTATCATGGCCCGTGTGTGTGTGTGTGTGGAATAAGAGTCTGGGCAGAGGAAATGGGAGGCAGCCGCGCGCTTGCTTCGGCTGCTGGAAGAGAAGGACGGATTCTTGGCGGCTTTGCCAAGGTTGCGTGGGTTGCCTATCTCGAGGTACACGCGTATTTGGGAACCATAAGCAGGTGCCGTGTGAGAGCACTTGAGTGAAGTGAAGTGAAAGTAAACAAAAGGCCAGAATCAAGCATAAAGTCGGGTTCGGCACGCCACGACTCACGCGCTGCGGCGCTATAAAGCTTCTCCCCTGTTCCTGAAGACAGATAGGCAGCGGGCTACAGAAGCGAGTGGAGAAGGAGAAATAGAGCTCGTCATCTGAGACCTCACTAAGGTCTCCTCTTTTGGAGCTGCAGAAGCCTAGAAAGGGGGTTCTCTTGGTGATTCAGACCTGAGAACATGACGCTGGGATAGCTCCGAGAGGATGTTTTGGAGGCCTGCTTCTCTTGTTTTTGACCACTGTAACAAACAGAGAGACACGGACAGCTACCTGGCTTCTTCTCGGTTCCCTTTGCTCGCTTCTCTTGGTCACGAGAAGAGAGGGGAGTGGAGGCATCGCGTCGCGGGTTATGGCGATGTCGTCCATTCATGTGGCATGAAGTTCTCTGGAACCACTCTTTTTTCTGCCCATTGAATTCTTTTGGTCCCCAGTAAGGTAAGGTCCGACCTATCAGGGTCTCGAATGGAAGACTAAAAGAATTTTGGCAGGGAGAACGGAGGCCGTGGCCTGCGGCAAGGACCGATGCGTTCCGTTCGTGGCATCGCCTCATGGGGCCAGGCCAGAAACTCAGACCCCTCTCTCTTTCTCTGGTTCCTGTCTCTAGTCCAGGCGTCCAGGTTTCTAGTCCAGGTTCTCTTGGAGGGCTGGAACACGCTGCTACGCCACTGGCGTGATGTTCCCCGGTATAAGCTGGCGGTCTGGCGTAACGATGTCGTCGTAGATGTGGTAAACTCGTGTTTACATGGCACCCACCCACTGAGTGGTTGTCGTGGGTGATGTGAGGTGTGTTTTGAGTTGAGGTGACGATCGTCTTCGTGGTTGCACAGGCACCACAGGCACAGGTACAGGTACACTGCCAAACTACTCCCAGGGGGTTTTCGGAGGGATCCCAGTCGAGGGGGAGCCAAGGCGGGGCGGGGCGGGGTTCGGATTCATCATAGAAGCGGTCAGAGGATGGAGGGGTATGAAGCAAGGTTGCAAAGAGTGGAAGTCCGTCGATAGGGAGTTGATGAATCGAGGCATTTGGCGACACGCACCTTGACAGCCTTGGCCGGGACCTTAATGAGACGATCAAGGTTGACGCTATTGATACCTTGAGGGGTTGGGCGAGTTGTATAAAGAGATGGGGACCGCATACTGTTGTCGACCGGCTTGATGTGTCGTAAAATATGGCCACTGCGAAGACAGCATCGCCCTTCAACAATTCTGCGAGACGACAAACAAGTGCGACAGAGATTAAGAGCAAGAAACAACACATTCAGCATCATCACAGCAGTGGAACAAGTTTTCGGCGTCTCAAAAGATGTATTGCTCAAATGAGTGACTAAAACATGCCAATAGGTCCATCGATCAGAAAAGACACTATCCGCCGATGCAAACTACCATCGACCAAGTCGTAACCCATATCCCGAAGTCAAAAACTCATATCGTCGTCGTATCGAGAGAAAGCGAAACCGCAGTAAAGCAGCAACGTATCATAGGTCGTCAAGGGAAGAGGCGTTTATTTGCAGGAGGAGCAAGTGCAGCCAGAGCCGCAGTTGCCTGAGACAGGTTAGCGTCTTGGTCACCAATGACAGACCGCCGACAACACCGTTGCGCTGTGGCAGGTGCAGTGGCAGGTAGGTACATACAGGTAGAAGCGCCGGAGCAGCCGCAGTCACCCTTCATTTTGATGGTTGTTGGTTGGTTTGGGGGTTTTAAAAAAGGTGTTGTTGTAGTTGACGTGATGGACTTGGATGTTGACGTTGTGGCGATCAGATCAGAGGCGGAAGAAGAAAGGTAAGAAGCCGCGCACTTATATATCCAGAGCCTCCTCCTAGCAGCTCGGATAGTCACCCAGAGGAGGGGACACTGAGAGTAGCAGGAGGAGGGGTCAGATGTCAGATGAGGGTGGCCAGATGGGACCGGATCGGGAGCCCGTCATTGGGCGGGTGCGCCGTTTGTGCGGAAACGCAGTCCAAGTCAAGCCAGCGTCGTGGCTCGGGACTGGCGACCTGTTGGCGAGGGGTGCCTCGGTGGGGTTTGCGGTCTTTGTGCGTTGACGGTAGCCAGTCGTCCCCCTTTTCTTTCGGGGCTGGAACTTGGCCCGGCATGGATGTCCATGGGATGGCCCCTGGGGGGGTAGGTATTGGTTTGGGGGAGGTCTTTTTGCCCTTTTTGCGCCGCGCGAATCGCCTCGGCCGCCCCAAACCAATCCTGGCTGACGGGCACGACGGGATCAAAGAGACCACTGCGATGCTTCCCAATTGTTAACCTTCCATTTTCTTATCGCATTGCCGGATAAGGTTCAGGTGGGTTGCGTCTTTTGTGCGGGAGGCGCTAGGATTCGGCCATTTGTTCCTCAATGCATCGTTTGCAGCTGACCCTGGCAGGATGATGAGATGAGATTCGTATCTCTGAGATGTTGCCGAAGCAGGCAGGCATCCCGTGGCATCTAGTCGCATCTTCCAGAAGCTGCTCTAAGAGGTTGTGATACACAGACAGCGGAAGAGAGTTAGACTGGCATCGAGACTGTGGTGGCAGAGATAACGGTATGACGACGATAACAAACGGTCCTCATTCAGGCAGGACCCTGAATCTTTGGCCTGGCGGCTGACGTCGGACGCACTCAGGGCGAGGAGGGGTATCCCATCCTTTGCCTGCCCGTAAATTGCTGCAAGCTGCCCCAAGCGCAGCGCCAACGCTGATTGAGGGGTACTATCTGTACACTATGATGGAACGGCGAGGTGAGGGTTATCCGTGGCTGTGACGTCTGTCCTGTCACTCTGCGCCTGCGATGTGTGTGGCTGTCTCGAGTTGCGGCCTTTGTGCGTGAATCTTCACCACTCGCTCTGCGATGTACCGATGTAGCTGAGACTCGGATTGGCATGCTGGTCACGGCAAGGCCTTCGAGGCATTTGTGCCGTTATCTATTTCGAGTCGAAGATGCGCGCATGATCGGGTAATTCTGCGATTGATCATCGGCTGCCTGGACGGTATGACGGAGCCACCTATCGGACGGCCTCTTGTCTTTGGTTCTTCTTCATCGCTCGGCCGTTCTTCATCACCGCTTCTTCAGCAAGTTAGCGACTCAGACGGCAAACCCCACGGCTCTAACACCCTGGGTGCATTGACCCTCCTGCGTGTGTACACAGAATCGCTGCTGGACCTGCCCTGTTCCCGTCCCAACCACCTTTTCCTGTTGACTGGTGCCGCCAACCGCGTCGGAGTGTTTTCTTAGTCACGATGCTAGCGATTTCGAGGCTTGAACGGCGCAGTTCTCCTTGGTCTCAAAGCTACCAGGCCATGCGTCCGATGGCGGATGATGTCGGTAGGAGGCGAACTTTCCAGACCGCTCTGGTCAGGCTTGAGAGGGCTGATGGCATGGAACTTTTCCAAATTCTAGAGCATAATGTATCCGTAGTGTACACGCTTCCGTCCGCATCTGCACCGTGCCGTAACCCGCTGTCAATGAAAGGGGATTCACACCCTCGAACCGGGGATTCTCGGTGGGATAGATGACTGCGTCTTGCTGAGACAACCTGGAAACTGCGCGCATTGAATAAACTTGCTCAATAATCCTCGAAGACCTACTTGCTCGTCCATAACGAGGAACATTTCTGTCATTCGCGAACAAATCAAGTCACGGCGCCGTGTGAGAAACTGCACCAGAGACACAGCAGCAAGACGTTGGTGACCGATTCAGGCAACGATCGGCTGATGTCGGAACGGATGACATGGACGCACGTGCATCGGAAGCTCGGAACTCTTCGGAGATTCAAGTCACGTGGCTGCTTCATCGGCGTTAAGGCGGGTGGGTCTACTCCACGTCTAACCATCAGGAATCGATGCCATTCAGATGTTGTAGAGCCTCCAAAGGCTTAGAAATGTCCTCTTAGTTTGTTATGCTCAGCAAAGTCAATCATCGCGCGAATATTCTGGGGAGCATGTGATCACTACATAACTCAATTCGACGTTGGGGCTTTGCTACCTCTTGAGGTCAGACATCAAGCAGAGCAGCCGCAATGACCCACGAGAAGCAACGATTCTTCTCAGTGGAGTGGCAGTACTCACAAGATGACAGAGGCGCATGTGAGAGCTCATCTGAATCCGAGTGTGACTTTTGGGCTATCTGGATGCTTCTTACACAAGTGTGGTCCCCCGACCTCGCGGCCATCGCCTTGGTGAATTCTATCGTCGTGGACTTTGTCTGCTAAATGCCAAATAAGACTATAGACCCATGCTTAGTTTGCTAACCTGAAGACTCCCAACTCATCATCCAGAATCAACAATTGTACGCGCTTGCCGGCCGAAAAACGATAACAGAGCGGGCATATCCACGTTGCAACTGTTCGCCCAGAAAATGGGAAGCATCGGAGGACTGACAACGACCATCAGTCGGAAATTCGTCCCAGCTCCATGCTCTCTGGCCTTTCTGACGACCTCATACCAGTTGATGTTGCCTCCAGCGCGGACAGTGACAACCACGGTTTTGAAGCGAAGGTGGTCCTCATGATGTGCTTGGCAGAGAGACAGAATCAGAGATCTCACACCTTCGAGGTAAGGTACGCCCATCATATTCTCGTTGGTTTCCGTAGTATCCAACATGAGAGTCTTCGCTTGACAAGGCAGCAAGTATTTGACCAACGTAGCACGTTCATCCAGTACCTCAAGGAGCGAAGGGCACAGCGCAAGGCTGATACGGAAAAGTCTCAGGCCAGGCAAGTTCCGAACACTGTTTAGTAAAGAGCCAATCTCTCGAGTAGGGGTTTCACCAAAGAACTTGATTTTACCCCGCTCACAAGCCCTTAGGGACAGATGTTCGATGCGAGGACAGCATTCCGTGATCGCGGCGCCCAACTCGGGCTTCATTGATAAGCCAAGGCCATTCGAATTCGGATCGACGTCAACGAGGAGATGCGTGAGCTTCGTGAATCGCCGTAGGGCTTTGCTGAGAGTTGCAGCATTGAATCTCGTGCGCCGAAGATCGAGTTGCTTCAAGGGAAAAGTTGTTTCATCATTGAACAGGCGGAAAAGACTCGGGTAGCCAAGATCGTACGAGGAAGTGAACTTTGCAAGAGTTGGGTGGGCGAAGAAGTATGCCAGAGAATTGAAACTCCGGCCAGAAACTGAAGCAGTTTGTGAGTGCTTCTAGCTAGGGACTAAAGAAAGCCGCTTGAGTTCGGGACAGACCCTTGGCTTCGCCGCTTCGGTGGGGAGACTTGAAGTAGCAAGCGCCAGAATGGACTTGAATCCTGCCAGTTGCCAGTCATGAGTTCTGGGACCGAATTCCACTTGAGTAATTTCCAGGAATTCGATCCTGTTGACGAAGCAGAGCAATAGGCCAAGCATCAACCCCACGATGAGTGGCATGCTCAGCGGATTCAATCCCATGTACTGTCTGCATAATAGTAGAATATGCCTCTCGTTGCCCGAAAGCCTGCTTTCGTCGAGTTTCGAATTGTGCCAAAAGGCGAGATTGGTAGGCGTTTTCATCTTGCGTACGTCGTAGTAAATGTCCGCGCCCTGAAAGATGACCAGTCCACGGACCAAACCACGCAGATGTGGGTTCTCAACCAGCGTTCGAATGAGGATTACAACTTGATTGTAATGCGCGGGCCAAAATATGATGGTGCGATATAGAGCACGTTGAGCTGACGGGAGTATTCTCTGGTTTACAAAACAGAGAAGGTAGGCGTCCTGTGTATCTTGACAAAAATTGGCGATCATACAGATGAGCTCGTTCGGCAGGGACAAGAAAGTAGTGCCCGCCATGACTTGCGGTGTCAAATGGCCATGTATCCGTCGTAGGCACGATTGTTGTTATCGGGTCGCCAAAATGTCGAGAGCATGAAACTTTGATAGTTAGTTGACTGTTGCTGAGAGTCTTCTCGGAGGGTTGTCGGTCAGTAAGAGCGTGTAGAAAGGGCTGCAGTTGTCGTGTAACGTATTGGGATGCTGGTAGATGGGTGCTCTGTCGAGTGGGAGGTCTCGTTGGGGCCAGAGAAAGGAGGAGAGGTGACGAAGATGGTGAGAGTGGACAAGATTGGGGTTGGGCAAGGAGTTAGTGGGTAAATGAGGTGGTGTGAAGCAAGGAAGAGGGTATGAGATGCCTCCTTCCAGCTGTGATGGCCCTTTACCCCTCGCTCCACGCCTGCCTTTCTCATAACTCGCATCGTTTCGGTGAATTGCGGAAGGAAGTACACATCGTGTCCGCTCAGCAGAAAGAAGAGTCCACTTGGACGGAAAGAACATTGTTCTTCGCTCTGACTTTCTCGCTTGCAGACTGGGAAGAAGGGCCAGTCGTTTCTCAGAGTTGGAAACCGTAACCCGAAGCGACGTACCTAGATCAGTCCCGCGGAGAGTATGGCAAACAGAAAATGTCTGTATTCTTTCCATCCGAGAAGTCTTCCACAAAACACCCTCTGAGATAAGGTATACTGCCCACGACAATAACCTGTGCCGACATCGCAAGTGTCCCCGTAGCACACCGGAGGATTTCGCCATCTCCACCATGGAGTTCCAAGTCCGCTCCGGGCCAGCGCCGGACTCACGCCGGAAATGGAAGTAGTGGGCCACCAGCATGCGCCCTCACTGGACGGAGTTGTAACTCCATTGTGGATAATCGGCGGCAATGGTCCGGAGTGGGCTTCCTGTGTTCTCGAAATCGTGAAGGCTGTTAGTCTTCTGCATGAACCTTGGTTGTGTATAGTGACTGGACTCTGTGAGCTTTGGATGCAATTCATATAAGATAGGGCTGGGCTGCTACCGAGAACTCACACTCTGGGTGAATCCATCATCGTCTTCTCAGCATCTCTCTCCTCTCCTCTCCATCACCGGTACCAATACCGCCATCGTCTTGGTCTTGGGCAACTACATTCAGCCATGGCGCCTTCAAGTACCCAAGATCTGTTCGATGTCGAACATCTCACCTCCAAAAGCATCACCAAACCTGCTCCAACACATCAGCCAACTGCGCCAGACTTTGAACTCTTCCGTCACCTAGTACCCCTAGTCTCAAGCGGCAAGACAGTACACCTCAACGCTGCCTTCATGCCCCCTTCAAATCTCATCGTTAACGAAGCCCTCTCCCGCTTCTGCTCCGAGGCTTTACACCACCCCTCTCCAAAGGCCCACTGGAAAGAAGACGTCGAAGCAGTGAGGGTGCTCCTGGGCAGGTACATCAACACAGAACCGTCAACCATCGCCTTCGTGCGAGACACCACCGAAGGCCTGGGAAGCTTCGTCCGAGGCCTCAAGTTCCAATCAGGCGATAACGTCGTGATTCTCGACTGCGAACATCCGAATCAGTCGTTCGCTTGGCTGACGCTCCGCTCGACTGGGCTGGAAGTCAGACTCGTCCCTACAGACCCGGAGAACCCAGTCGCTGCGGATGCGGCCACCTTTGCGCCATTCGTTGACGAGAGAACCAGGGCAATCGGGCTGAGCTCTATCATGTTCTACACGGGACAGCGCAGCGATGTAGCGGATGTCTGCGCGGCGTTTAGGCATAGGGGGATCCACGTCCTCGCGGACCTCACGCAACAAGTCGGTTTTGCTGCCGTTGATGTGAAAGCGTTGGGTGTTTCGGCGGCGGCGTTTAGTCTGCACAAGGGTCTCAACTCGCCGACTGGCTTCGCGGCGCTGTACGTCGATACAAACGTCGTCCAGGAGATGGATCCGATACCGCCCGTTGTCGGCTACGGCGGCGTCAGCAGTGTTGGCGATTCGGAGGACTTTACGGTCCCGGAAGGCCCTGTGATCTTCCATCCTACTGCTAAACGATACGAGCACGCCAACATGAGCTTTATCTCAGCCGTGGCCGCTAGGGCGTTTCTTCAGTTTTATCTCGACGTGATGGGGCCCAAAAATCTCGAGGATCGCTTATATAGGCTTGGAGATACGCTGCGACAATCTTGCGCTGACTTGGGTGTTGGTGTTGTTGGGCCGAGCGAGAGGAGACACCACGCACCGCATCTCCATGTTCTTCGTTTGCAGGACAGGGGGTGGATAGATCGTTTGGAAGCGGCGGGCATCGTAGCGACAAAATTTCGGTCCGGCATCAGAGTCTCTTTTGGCTTCTATAGCAATCTGGAAGATGTCGAGAGGTTGATGGCGGTGATTAGAATGGGGCTTGAAAGCGGCATCCCCGTGTGTTAGTGATGCGCGGTCAAAGGGGTTGATGAAAAATACAAACCGACAGTTTTGTCTCTCGATCGACGCTGTTTTGTAATGAAATAAATGTGTAGACAGTCTTCCATAATAATCTTTGATGACTTCTTTCCTGTTGAATGTCGCAATCCTCAATGTGTTGACCAAGGGCCGGAGAGGCAATAGCGGCACCAGGATGGACCAGTCCTGGAGGGGAATGTTCCAGCGCAAGTCCCCTGTAAAAACAGTGAGGAGCATCCCACATCAGCAACCTCCCATCGTCACCTCAACCTCCCATCTTCATCAACCTCATCCTTCTTAAGCCGACCTTGACTTTGACGAATCCATGCCTCCAGAAGACCGTATAGCGGTTCTCAAACCCACCAAAAGAATATCGTAAGCCATAGTCTACCTACAACTAGTACAATCCTCTAAAAAACGCATAGATGCAAGAGATGCCAATACCGAAAAGTTAGTGACGCCAACGAGACTGATCCCTCCACAGACTTCTCTCCAATTCTTCGCTGAGACATCTCGCCAGTTCAAATGCTCCCGCACCGAATCATGCCAAGCCTGCATCACGTCCAATACGCCTTGCGAATACCGGCCGGTAGATCGCAAGCGCGTCCCAGTATCCCACGAGTACGTCGCGAGCCTGGAGTCGCGCATCTCATGGCTTGAGACCTTTGTCCAGTCCCTCCGTGCCGCAACGCCAGAGCAGCGGGAGGAAATGCTCAATTCCACGGCGGCGGAAATGGAGGGGAAAGATCATCCTTCTCCTCGTAGTTCTAAGCAAGCCCAAGAAGAGACACAAACGGATGAGGCAGACCGAGCCTCGTCATCGGCATCTATACCAGGCGACTACATATCCCACCTCGGCATCCACGTCCGCTCAAGCGCAAACCTCGAGCTAGGACTCGAAGGCTCCCTCATCTACCACGGCGCAACCTCCATATTCCGCGCCGACCTCCCTTCCTCCTCCTCCTCTAAAGACCCCACGGACTCTTCCGCCGCCACTACCACCGCTCTCCTCCGAGGCGGCGGCATCGAATAAAACTTCGAATCTGTAATGCAACACTTTGGCATCGACGGCCCATCCTCCCCCCCCGTACTGCGATCCCTAACCCAGTTCTTCCGCTGGCAATATCCGCACTTCATGTTCATATATCGAGAGGCCTTCCTCTGTGACCACTTCAGCAAGGACGATGGTGATGGTGATGACCGTAGCAGGAAACACAGAAAGTACTGGTCCCCTGCGCTCCTACTCTCGATATGCGCTCTCGGGGCGCTGGTAAACCTCGAAACAAAGGCCACGAGCGAGCGCTTCTTTCTTGCGGCCGAGAGTATCATCATGGTGACAGGCCTCACGAGGCCAAGCGTCGCTACAGTGCAGGCGTTTCTGTGTCTTGCGCTCTACGAGATTGGGAGGGGGAACTTGTCCAAAGGGTGGGGGTACTCTGGTGAGCGCAGATATCCAGCAACCATCTCCCGTAATCTTTCCATCGTGATATTAGGCTGACCGGATGTCCCTCCTAGGAATCGCCTTCCGCATGGCCTAAGACCTCGGCCTCCAACGAAACCCCAAAGATTGGGTCCACCACAACTCCTCCCTTGCAACGCCCGAAGACGTCGAAATCCGGAGGAGGATCTACTGGGGTTGCTACATCTCCGACAAGCTCATCAGTCTGATCCTCGGCCGGCCCGTGTACCTAGTCTACGACGACGCCGAGGTCCAACCCATGGAGACACTGCCGTTCGTAACTCCCTCTCCTTCGCCATCGTCTCTGCGTTATGCTTTCGTCGAAAAGATCTAGCCCCTTAATGTCAGCGTCAGAGAACCCCCCGAAATGAACCTCTGGCGCCCTGTAGGCTTCGACGAAGAATATAGAGAATCCGCAAAAGCCAGCTCCATGATATCCTACCTCCACGAACAGATCCGCCTTTCGCGAATCATCGAGAGAATGGTGTCGACGCTATTCTCCCCGCGCTCCAACCTAGACGACCTCGGACGGCGAGTCTGCTTCGATAATCTAAACCTGGACCTCAACCGGTGGCGCGAATCGTTGCCCGACTTTGCAAGGTGGCCTTCTGTTCCACAGTGTTCGCATCGCCTTGAACTATGATCAGGCCATTGCATCCCGGGAATGCGACGCGGACGAGAAGCCACAGTCGTATTGCGTCACATCTGCGCGACATACCACTTCCCTGGTGCGCACCTACCGAAGTCAGTACGGGCTTCAACACGCACCGCTCGTGTTCGTATACGGCGCTGTCCAGGCGAGTCGCTCGGCCAAGGCATTTAACATCACAGAAGAGAGCCAGTATCTGATCCAGATGCTGGGAGAACTGTCATCGGCTTGGAGCCTGTCAAGAGAAGTCATGGCCAAAGTATTGGACTGCTAAATACCCGCGAGAGTACACAAATCGGGCCCTTTCCCCCATCCTGGCCTCCAGACCTGTTTATCCAGCTTTCATAGCAATCACCACCATAGCCATCCGTGTTATTCTTCTGAAACCCCACCCATATGTCAGCTCCTTTGCCCAGAGTGTCGTCACAATACCCCTTGCCAAACCCTAGCTGCAATGTCTTCATCGGTGTGGTCTCGATACAATTCAGACATTCATCTGCTCGAAAGACTTGGCCCACAAGGTCTTGGCGTCGGACGCGGTGTAGACCCGAAGCTTAGCATCAGTCTCGGCCATGGTGTCATTGGCGGCTCTGGTCCACTGCTTGGGTTTGCTGAACTTGCAGCCAACGGCGATGGTGTCGAGACGAGGAAGAGGAATTTCCTCCGCGCGTGTCTCGCAGAGATCCTCGATGATTCTCTTCACCTGCTCCTTGTACGCAAGAACCTTGGGGGCATTGGGCTTGTTGCTGCCGCCCTGGAATCTCACTGATGAAGCATCCAGAAAGAGCTTCTCCAGTCTGTCGGGGAGCTTCTCAGCAAGGTCGAGATCGCCGAGATCCTTGACTGCACCAACGAAAGAATCGAGCTCAATGCGGAGCTCTCTCAGCTCGGTCATCTCGGGGAGGCAGGTCAGGTTGCGGTTGCCGAAGAACATAGTCTTGTGTCCGAAATAGCGGATCGACAGGACTCGAAGCTTGGGACAGTACTTCGGCAAGACCTTGTTGATGTTCTCTCTAGCCACATAGTTGCCGCTGTCTGCGGTCGTCTCAACTTCAAGATGAAGCACCTCTGGGCAACGGCGAAGAAGGACGCAGAGGCTCGAGGCGGTCCAGTTGCTGCCACGCAGCAAGATCTTCTTGAAGGGAAACTCAACGTCTGAACCCCACTGCTCGAGAACGCTGGCCAACTCGCCCTCGGGTCCCTTGAAAGCGAAGTCGATGAGTTGGGGCGAAGAGGCCGCAAGGGCCAAAGTGGGTTGAAACACCTTGCCGAAGAAGGTCTGGGAGGATCTCTGCAGCCAGGTCTTGCTGCAGATGTCCAAGCTCGTCAGGGCAGGGAACAAGGGCGAGCAGTCAAGCTCGTGGGATGAGTCAGGAGCAAGAAGACTGAGACCAGCAGCCAGGAAGCGGTCAACGATGTTGAGGTTGTTGGCGGGGAAGATCGTCAGGTGCTCAGTATTGTCCAGCAGGAACATGAACAGTCCAAGGACACACTGAAGGTTCTCGGAGGCCTTCTTGCCGCAGGTAGCCTTGCAGAGGACAAGAAGCTGGCGGTCGCGCTGCGAAAGCTGGGAATCGTTGATCTCCGCGGACGCCCAGTCGCCGAAAGTGGGGGCCGCATCGTTGTACTTCGTGAATCCAACCGTGTCGATGCTGATGAGGACGGTATGAACGAGGTTTCTGGTCGCAGGTTTCTCGATCAGGGTTCTGGTGATGGAAGCCAGCTGGTTGGGAGTCTGTACGGGGACGGTGAAGTATAAGTCCCGGCGCGCAATGTCGTAGAGGCGCTTGCTCACAAGGCAGAGGTTGCGGAGGTTCTCGCGGCCTCCGCCCATTTGATCATGAACCCGTGCGGCGATCATACCGATGACCTCGTTGGGCATGTCGGAGAGGGTAAGAAGACGCTTGATCTTGACCTTGATGAATTGGCGCTGGATGATGGCGGGCTCGGAAGCCATGGAGGCCAACTCGTTCTCGGTGCGCTTAGCGGCTTGGGCAACGAGTTTCTCCATCAGCACGACGAAGGGAGACGGGTCCGCGATGTCGGCCATTGTGGTCTGTGAGGCTCGTCTGCCGCCTGTTGCGATGGAGGATTTGGGAAGAAAGAGGAAGTGGTTGACGGGGAAGAGTGGAAGGCGTTTGAGGCGCACTGAAGATGGAAGACCTCAGTGACAACAGGGCAAAGAGGGAAGCCTGTGGTGAATTGTAGAAGAAAGCAAGAAGGGGTGAGGTGCCTTGGGGGTCCTTCTCTGCTTTGCTTCGGTTCCGGGCCGAGTCTGCCTCCTTCTCCATCGCGATGCCTCGAAAGGGGAGGAAACAAAACCTTTTTCGGCCACTCAGAGGTCGTCGACCACGTGATGGGCGGTCAAACCAAACGGAAAGAGCCTTCGAGAGGCTACGTATCGAGGAAGGGGACTTCAAGTACTCTCTTCCGGTGCTGAGGTCGGGGGGTTGTGGTGAGTTGTGATAAGTAAGCGTTGACGGGACGGAGCACTTGGAAGGGGGGCGGGGACACAGTCTTGAAGTATGGGGAAGACATGGCGAAAGAAAGGGAAGGAATCTTGGAATCAAGAAGGCATTGCTTTGTTGAAATGGAGCAGGCTACATTGGATTTGGTAGACGTACTCGCAGCCTGGGTTGTTGCAAAGTCTTTGATATCAAAGACTTGATGGGTTGTTGAAAGTTCAACCGAAAAAGAGACTCGGAAAGGCTTCCAACTATCTGGAAGTAAGTCAATGCTGAAATGAGAAATGGAGACGTACTGATTGAAGATAGTTCAGCTGAAGGATAACTTCACCTCCAGAGACCCAGGAAGACAGGCTACCTTACTTAACCTCATCGCAGAGATATCAAACAGACAAACATCGAAATACATCAGCCATGACCTCGCCCGCAAACGCAAAGTCCCTCTCGACCTTCTCGTTCTGGCCCCAAGCCTCCTCGCTCCCATCCAACACAGTCGCCCTCCTCATATCCCTCCTATGGCTTCCGACCACCGGCGTCCCTCGATGGAGAGTACAAGTATTATCCCACATGACTAAATCACCCACCTGCTTCCACGGAACCGAAACCACAAACTTGTCTTGCGTGGCGTGACGGTAAAGGTACTCCAGCTTTTCCCTCCCTTCACCCTCCTCAAGACCTTCAATGTGGTGACAATGCGAAGGCACAAACAGGTTCATTCTCCCGCTGGCTTCATGGAGCTGGGCAACCTTGTGCTTGGACATCGGGTGCTTGGCCGGCTCTAGCTTTGCGAAGAAATCGGGGCAGGCTTTCTTTCGGGAGTACCAGAACGAATGGCCTGCGACATAATCTTTGGAAAGGAGTTCCTGCTTCCATTCATCGGGGAGCTCATCCCACGCTGCACGCGTATCGGCAAAGTCGGTGTTGCCGCCCGCTTCCAATGGCGGGATCTCATGGGCCAGGAGGATGGAGTAGCTTGCTCTTTGGGCGTTGAAGCTGCTGTCGACATGGAAGAGCGTGTTGCCCTGCTCAAATATTAGAGATGATGTTGCCCGATTCAGTTCGACACCAGCCGGGAGAGACATACCTTGCTAATCTGAGCCCGCGGGTCTTTAGAGCTGATGACGTTGCCGTTGGCGTCTACGTTACCCTGGTCCGTCAACTCGGGCAGACTCATCCGCGACGGCGCACCGGTACCTTTGCGGCATTCGAGCTCGCCGAAGCGGCTGGCGAAGGCGACGTGGCGGTCATCGTCTAGGCCTGTCGCTGGGAATACGACTACTCCATACTACAATTCAAACGATGAGCGTCATTCTCCTTGGTTGGATAACCGTTGACACAGACCTTCGTGATGGCATCTTGGATCTCTTGAAAGACCTCTTCCGACAATGGCTCGGAGAAGTCAACGCCATGAATCTCTGCCGCGAAGGTGGGGTGGAGGGGCTCGATGGTGAGTGGCATGTTGCTTCTGATGCTGTCCAAACCTCCCTATGTTTCTCTACTGACAAAGCGACAGAAAAACAGCTTCCAAGCGATTCTGGTCTTACTATCCGTGGGTGTAGGGACAAAGTTCAAGCCAGACAATCGAACCCCATGTCTTGGCACTGGGAAGCCATCACATGTCTATCTTAAGGCACCGCTCTTAAGCTCATCGACTCTATCTTCCTACGGAGTACTCATCAATACGTAAGATCGACTCAGTCTCTAGGTCAGTCATCTCACCGCCCCACGAGCTCTTCATTTAAATTGACCTTATCTATAGTTTATCTCTGCCATCACGAGTCAGACCCTGCGACCCATATCATTGACAACGGCTATCACCAGTATAAGCTTTCCGTCGACAGGGCATGTCCCTGTCAACGCGATGTCGTTTGCACTCCATGGGGTTATGGGACGACCGAGGTTCATCCCTTCGATCTGTTTCTCGGGTTCTTCCACAGCAACCCACCCACTCCGATCTCATAACTCTGAGCTCGCTCGCAACATCACTTTCAACGAAGCACTCGACCGTTCACCTATTTCTCAGCCTCACGATACCAAGGGGTGATGTAAGAGCATACTTCAGTCATGCCGTCCCTTCGGCCTCTGCTCAACCCGATCCTGGGCCTTGAGCCCCGCCAGCCGGACCGGATCCCCACAGACACCGTGGTGCGGCTCTCAGCAATGGACAGCTCTTGGATGATGCGCATGATGATTATGAGCTGGAGCATGTGCTTCCACGACGTTCTCGATCCAGCCATGCTCCATGCCTCGCTCTCGGAGCTTTTCACCATCGGGAACTGGAAAAAGCTGGGCGGCAGACCGCGATTGACGGTAAGTTGTTGTCCTTGCTACATTCCAAAGGCCCCTACCCAGCTTCTGGTCGGTGAAGAAGAAACACGAAGTATTAACGTCTAACAAACATATCAGAAAGACGGCAGACTCGAACTTCACATCCCCCAATCCTTCACCCCCTCCCGCCCAGCAATCCACTTCACAACAGAACCAAACCCCTCAAGCATAACAACACACCCCCTATCCTCAACGATCCCCTCCCCCTCAAACCACCCCATCATCCTCGACACCCCCTCAACCCTAACCCCCCTCCTCGCCGGCCCGGAAGCACCAAAGACCTTCACAGACTACACAACCACAGACCGCCCCCTCCTCGCCCTCCACATCATAACCTTCTCCGACGCAACCTTCGTCACAATAACCTACCCGCACAGCATCACAGACGGCATGGGCCGCCGCGACCTCGTCGAGAACTGGTGCCGCGTCCTAGCTGGCAGACAAGACCTCGTCACGCCCCTAGCAGACCCGTCGTTTGACCCAATGGCCAACATCGCAAAGGCAGAGACGCAGCGCTACGACGAGCCGTTTCTATGGGAGCACAAGAGGTTGACGGGCTGGGGTAAAGTGCGGTTTACGCTTGGGTTGTTGTGGTACCTCCTCACGAACCGCATCCGCCAACGAAACATCTTCATCCCCGCCTCCTCACTCAAACGTCTCCGCGAGCAAGCCGAGACAGACGTAGCTCCAGCCGCAGACTCGGAGCCGACAACAACAGGACGCCTCAGCGACGGCGACATCCTAACAGCATACCTAGCCCGCCTAGCCTGCTCCCACATCCCCGCCTCTTCCCCCCAAAAACCAATCTCCATCTCCACGGCCCTCGACCTCCGCGGCCGCCTCCACGAAGACGACCTTCCTGCAGGCGAAGCGCACGTCTCGAACCTGGTAGCGTACAACTGGACCAACACCACAGCTTTGGGTCTTCTCTACGCTCCATTCGGGAAAGCCGTCACACTGATCCGCAACTCTGTGCGGTCGCAGCTCACGGATGCGCAGGTGTATGCGTCAACGAGACTTACATACAATGCCGTCGCGGAGAGCGGGAGCACGAATCAGTTTACGGAGCCGAATGGATTCGTGGTGTCCGTGTCAAATGTGGGCAAGGCGAGATTTCATGAGGTGATTGATTTTAGTCCTGCAATTTTCAAGTCTGAGGATGAGCCGGGGGGTGAAGTAAGGGAGGAGAAGGAGGAGGGGGAGAGGAATACGCCGAGGGGGAAGATTGTGTGGCAGTGTAATACGCCCAGAATGAGCCTTCTTCCGCCGTGTCTTATTTATATTCAGGGAAAAGATCATGAGGGGAATTATTTGGCGCAGATGGTGGTTTCGGAGCGGACGTGGCGGGTTATCGAGGAGGAGGTTAAGAGATTATGACACACCTCGAGGCCCTTCACGTTTGTCATAGGGGGAAAGATTGGCATCACGAGCAAATATCACCTTGTTCAACGCGAGAGTCGGAAGTCAAAGTAGGAGATTGCTCGATTTCTGAGCCAAAAAGCAGCATATTACTTTGCTAGTATCTCTACGGAGTATCATCCAACAAAATTCCGCCAAAACGCCACGCTACATTAAGTCGATAAATACCAAAACCCTAATACAGAACACGAGGCACCCAAAACGGCGCCTTCTCAAGCTCAACCTCGATCCGATTCTTCCCATTCAGTTCAGCCCCCTCGTCCGAACACTCGACAACTTTACGACAATGCTCCACCTCTTGCTTGCTCACGCCCGCCGGGTCGCGCGGGATCCAAATCACCGGCGTCGGCGACGCCATCTCGGGCGGCCAGTATGCGCGACGAGCGTAATCCGCGGGATACGTCTCGGTCGGATCGGGCAGGTCGACGGGGATCGTGCGCCGTAGGGTGGAGAAGTCGTCAAAGACGCCTGGGTGGAGCCAGCGGAGGACAAAGTTGGGATTGGGGTCTGGGTCTGGGTCGATCCAGTGCATTATGAAGCCGATTGGTCCCGCGAGACCGTATTGTTCTGCCGTGGCTTGCATCTTTTTAGCCATGGCGCCAGCGGACCAGTCTTGGACGGAGGCCATGAGGCCCGATGCGCCCTCTACGCCTCTGGTGCCGTTGACTTCGTGCGTGGGTCCTTCATTCTCCTCGCCTGGGTCGAAGAAGTCGGGGTACGCGGCGGTGATGTCTGCGTCGGTGAGGAAGTCGTCTTGCGGGTAGTCTGGGGCGACGAACCCGCCGTCGAGCTCTTCCATCTCGAGAGCGAGCGCGCGGGGGATGTTATAGAGTAAGGGGAAGATTGCTTCTCGGAGGGAGATGTGGACGAGCGCCGTGAAGACGAGGAAGCCGATCATGAGGACCATGGGGATGTAAGCTGCGCGCAGGGCGAAGAGGCCGACGAGGCAGATTGTGGCGAGATAGAGGCCGACGAGGAGGTGCATCAGCGCGCGGGGGTATACGAGGCCGCGGGTGTCGATGGAGGCGTCGCTGACGTAGAGGAGGTTGTATTTGTAGACGAGGTAGATGCAGTAGAGGCCGGCGGTGGCGAAGCCGAGGACGACGGGCGCGATACAGGAGTAGCTGATGGCTGGCGGGCAGTCAGTATCAAGAAGCAGAAGGGTAGGAGAACAGCGCGGCTTACCGATAACGCCCATGTTTGTGAAGACGGGGAAGACGGCACCCCAATGCACGGGGCGCTCCCTGTGCCAGATCCTGAATAGTCCACGGGGGTTATCGAATCCCTTTGCCATAATGTGATGGCGGAAGATGTCGAATGCCCGCAGTAGGGACGCAGCGCCGACAGCTAGGCACTGGACGAGGATGTAGGAGATGTAAAAGTTGGAAGACTTGGGCAGGTTGTCGGCCAGCAGGTCCTTGGCTGAAAGAGGGTCCTTCAGCACTTGTGTGAGAGCTGCCGATGCAGCGGATGTAAGAGTCGTAATGAGGAAGACCTGAACTACTTGGAACGCGAAGTAGGCATGTTGCACGAAGAGTTCGATCAAGGAGAGCGACGGGACGCCTGCAAGCCTGGCACAGCCTTTCCAAGAGTTAGTAGGATAAATAAAGGGGTGGACGAGTATTACTCACCTCGCAACATCCACGGCACAATGGCCATGAGGAACGATAAGGCCAGTGCGGGCAGCAGACCACTGATGATACCGGTAACCGGGTCAGGCAGCTTGGTGATCCACGCCAGGAAGGGGAATGTTTCCGACAAGAACTTGATGTTGGAAATGGTTCCCACGATGGCGGATGGAATAGACCAGAATACAATGGCAGCCGTGATGAACGCTCGCACCAAGAAGTCTCTAGCGATACGCTCAAACCATTGCATCCGAAGAGAGCCCCATACCACTTCGTCCGGTCGAATACCAATATACCGCGGCGACATGTGCAGCGGCCGGTTATGAGCCAGGGTCTGGAACGCGCGCTCGGCGTCAGCCTGGGAGGAGAACTCGACAAATGCTGTCGGTAGTCGACGGCCTTCGCCCTTGAGGAAACCTCGGCGCAGCTTGTTGATCTGGTGCGTGAGGGCCTCGATGCGCAGGCGCGTCCACTTGATCGTATCGACTCGGCGGAAGAAGTTGGCCAGGGGCCGGTGGTAGGGGCGTTCGGCGGCTCCGATCCACTGTGCGGCGACGGAGCCGTTGACGTCGGGGAGAGCGGTGTTCTCTTGATGCGGGTACCCTTTCTCGGGGTCGTCGGACCGTTCAGAACTTCCACTTGACGGCGGGCTCGAGACGGTTTCGGGGAGGGCGGGAAGAGCGGCAGCGATTGCCTTGAGTCGCTTGTTCCTCCGCTTGTTGGCCATCTTGATCAGGCGAATCTCTGCCTTTTCCAACCGCATCGCAGTCTCGTCTCGCTCCTTGACGAGCCGTTCCAGGTCGCTCGTGTCTCGGGGAATCCAGACGTTCTTGACGGTGTCGCCGAATAACTTTCGCATGCGTGCGGCATCTTGGTATTTTGGCGGGACACATCCGAACATGACCGTCCGGGAGGATAGGCGCTTGGAGTAGTAGGGTGATAGAAGGTAGGCATGGCGAAGATTGATGTAGTATATACATTCACGGTAGATGGTGAAGAGGATAAATCCTGAAAGGGTATTAGTACACAGGGACCATCGCATGGGATAGGGGCACCTACCGAAGTAGACCCACGCGATGACAGCGTGGGCGAAGAGCATCTTGGAGTCCTGGACATTGCCCATGGTGATGCGGTCTAGTTGTGAAAGCCCACCGGTGCCGGTGGCATGAATAGTCATCAACGTTGGCCATGTCATGCAGATGCCAACGAAGCAGATCATGGTCAATATCCTCAGATACCGGAGGAAGAGGAAGGCATCTAGCGAGGAGCGATTCAGAATGTCCGTATCCGGAACCGTCCAGAACGGCTTCACCCAGTTGAGCCATCCTTTTGGTAGCGGTACGCTCTGCTCGCTGTCGTGGAATCAGTATACTATACGGATTACTCTACGGGAGACGATGCTGCGGATGACATACTGTGAGAAAAAGTCCCTTAGAATAGTGCGCGGAGAGTAGACGCGGAGACTCCTCCGGCGCAAGGTCCAGAAGATGAGCAGGCATACGACAGAGTAGATGAGCACGGGGATGAAGGTGCTGACGAGCGACATCAACGAAGACGAGTCAGAACCAGAGCTCAGTTTGCTGATGGTTCCGCCCCCCGTCGAGTTATCGCGGGCGGAACCAACTCGATCATCACCATTACTGCCATCGCCGGTGAGCGTCTATTCACAATTAGTTTGGGAGGCCTCAAAGTTCACGGGAGTGACGGTACGAGATGGGGACAGGCTCGATTGTTGGGAGGGGAATGTCTTACAATGTCCATTGCAGCTGAGACTGCACAACATGTCTTTGCGCGCAAACAAGGTACCCGATCCCTTTAGTTGAAGCCGGCTGAAAGGGCGGGGATCGTGGGATTGATATTGGTAGGATACGGAGCACGGCGTACGGGGTGTTTGGAACCGGCGTGATGCCGACTTGTCAGTGTCAGACGATGGAGTTTCGCTGGGCGTTCGCTCGATAAAACCTGCACCCGGCAGGATAAGTAGACTATGGTCTGACCCCCGCGGACTTGCAGACTTAGCGTTGCGGGCGATCAATTAGATCATTGACGGGGGCTGGCCGTTTTGCCGTTGGGTTGCAACCGGCTGGCGTGTACGATCGGTTGTGCCGTATGGTGTGTGGGCGTGGGTTTTCTGTCTGCGCTACTTGGGATGTGGCCGCCTACTGCTGGCCCGGTAGGGATTGGCGTGGGCTCTTCTGCGATGCTGACCCCTCAATATCAAGACTTTCTGCTCTCGAAGCGAACTTAGCGAAGCGATTGATCGCGCAGACCGACAGTATTTGCGACGCCCCTCGGGGGGCCTGGTCGGAATGGCGGCTGAGAGATAATATTGATGGATGTCGCTGATGATTGACGAGTTCGGACGAGAGCGCCTGAAAAGACAAGACGGGAGACGCGATGACAGTTCAGGGCTCAGGCAGCGGGAAGCCAAAGAAGGAAACGTGTGCCTGAAAGGTTTCTCTATGGCTCTTCAGTCGTTCCTCACTACCATTTGGTGGTGACTGAGGTGGTCCCCTGGGCGGCCCCACTCCCACGGTCAAAGGCCCACCTGTGGCAGCCTCCATTGCCACCAGCCATTGGCTGCCTCCGAGAATTACGCCCCTCTGTCCTGTGATTGGCCGTTAAGACAGTCGCTAAGATTGATTGCCTTTTAAGTGGATCATAGAGGGAGAAACATTGCCCCATGGTCCCGGAACAGGGGTATTATAGTGGGCCCTGCTGACGGCTGACGGCATCCATGCACCCGACCCGAGAAAAGCTTTGATTACCAAATCCTCTTTCCCTTTCCAATGTTCCACCCCTTCCCAGCGAAGAAACTACGGCCGAGGTTCGCCGAGAGCGAGGTAACAAAGACAAACTGGGAAACCTTGTCCACATTCCCGGGCAAAATTCAGACATCCAGACTCCAAAGAAGAGGAAAGAAGAAAAAACCAAGTTTTTGGCCCCCATGCCCCTTTCGGAGGTTACAATTGAGTCCACTCCAGCTGAACTCTAATTCTTGGCCCAGCACGCGCAAGTGCGGACGGAGCTGGCTCCGATTTCCATCGCCGCATGAGGACACTGATCGACGATATCTTCTTTCAACGCTCAGCTGAACTCTTTCTCATTCACCCGTGCCATTCGCCTGAGTACCGCAGATGAGACCGATCTAACGACCGCTCGGATCCACCCAATACAGTCTTCACCCCCAGCTTAGACGTAGAGCCGCCAGCCTCAAGCACAAGCTCCTTCCAAGTTTACACACCGCGAGTCAGCAAGCCTAGTCCAGCCTTCGCACATCCCTCTCATTCTGCAAGTGATTGGCGTCGCCCTATATGCAAGGGAGATACGGATATTGTCTCTAGGCTGGGCAGACGATCTTGGACGATGTGCCACGTGATGCTGCCTTGTCAGGATGAAGCTTTGACGTCTGACACCCCACGACGTGACGACAAGACCAGGAAACCTGGCATTGAGTCGCCGTTTACTCGCCGTTCTCTCGGCGAGACCTCTCACGGCCAGACCGAAGGACTCGGGCTTTTGTTTAGGGCCATTCCAACTAACCGCCGCGGAATCCACCCAGCATTTCTGATCGGGAATGTCTCACTACTTTCGGATACCAGGATCATGGGAGATGTCACCGGACTTCTTCCTATTTGTCAGTTGGAACAGTTGAAATCTTGACTTTCTACTTCAGGACTGATTCCGATGATGTTCTGGGGTCGATTGCGTGGCTAGGCTAGCCTTGGCTGCCCTACTCCGTACTTGCAAACGGCGAGGTTGAAACGTATTTACCAACTATCACAAAGCGAGGTAGCAAGTGGAAGACATGTATAGTAGAAAGTGGCTTGATTCCTCTAAGTGGAAGATCCGTATGAGGGTCATATCTATATACCATAAGACGGGTAATCGGCTTGTGGAAAGCGGTATCGTACGGCAGTAACCGGCAGCGCCACGTGTGGCGCTGCGACACCAACTTACCCCACCGAGTAACGTTGCAACATCACTGGATAATTCTGAAATGAGCATATCTCACCGCATCGTGATGTGCATGACAAGGAGACTGTAGACGTGTTCTCGGGTCGGGGGCTGTTGGTATTTTGGTGATAGCAAAATGCGAGTTGTCCAATAGTAGCACCCAGAAACCAACATACGCATGCCGAAGAAAAATGTTCACGCGTATTTCGCAGGCATCCTCAGAGCCATGAACTCCTCGTCTCTCCAAAAGGCCCGATACATGAGCTTGAAGAGATACGCGTCTGCTTGTCTTGGAGATATGTCTCGCCCATCCATGTTCCTGGCCTTCTTGCATCATCACAAAAGTTCTTCATCGGGCCGTTGTGCAGCGAGCTTTTCAAGTTCCCGACCTCAAGATTCCCTCTTCAGTCGTTTTCACTTGTCGGATTGGATCGTTCGTCAAATCTAAGACCTGTTGACTGGTAGTAGACATGGATGATTTGAAAACTCTACATGCAGTTATTGGTTCGCCATGAGGAAGAGGGGTCAAGTCCCGAAACTGAAATTCTGTCACGGGAGTTTGTCAAAGACCGCACTGAGATTGAGATGAAATCAGTAATCATCAGCACTGCTATCGCCTTAAGACTTATGAAAGAAGAGCACAAATTTCGGCCCATCTACGGCATGTTTTCTGTCACTTGCCTCCCGTACTGCGAAGAACCATGCGCATGGAATGAGAGGAACAGCGCTTCAACTTCTTCCACGCACCGTTAGCAGGATTCAATAACCTCATTCCACGATTTGTTTGCTGTTGGGCCAATACGAGTGTGTTTCGGAACACAGGGCGGTATGCTCTACTCTGCACCGAGGAGCCATACGCTGATGGCGAGAATAGGGGTAATGTGACCCGTCAACCACCTGGCTCCATTGGGCTCTCCCTGCCGCCAAGCGAATGCGAGATCTTGAATTAGGGTGCCTTTGTATCCAATGAGAACCTCCAGAGCCCAGTTCTCTTCTGCTGTTAGCATTTAGCTTCTTCCAAACCCACAGGAGGTAATGCCGCGCCGTGTGGGCAGACTTACCCATGCGATCATGATCCATCCGGTTGGAATGTGTAGATAGCTGGCTACCCCTGAATGCACGAAGTTTGCTCACCTGCAAGGTGACGAGAGGGTAGTTAGCACTTCGATGCTTACAATTCGCATCATTACCATGTTCACTCTCTCTACTCGGTGAAGTGATTGCTCATGATAATCTCCCATTGACCCGGAGTAAGCCATTCGTCATACGCACGAAAGGCAGATCACCTGCAGAAGAGGAACGTCTCCATCAGCCAGAGCCAGCTCACATCCAATTAAGATGATGGTTGCATGTGCGAACAGTCAAATCTTGGATGGGCTCCCCTAGCCTGTCAGTAAGACTAAGAGAAGACAAGGCTTGATACCACTGCACCTAGCCTCTGATGGTCCAGATCTGCGTGTACCCTATCTTTGATTTATCTCTGGATATACTTGACTGATTGCGGGGTCGTTGACTCAAGTAAAGTGCTATATTGGCCTTGCACATTTGTCTTGACTCTCGAGCCTTAGTTGGGCTTACCAAATTCTCGGCAGGAAGACCATCATCGAGCCAGACAGCCTCAGCCAGAGATATCACCTGTCACATGCTCTACGTAGACCTGTCACCTATTCTTGACAACACAATCTTAGGCACGCATTCCATTGATACATAATGGCCATCTCTTTGTGAATCTGATGGATTCTGCGGGGAGCTGTTCTCGGGACGGATTAAGAGGGCTACTTGCTGCATCTCAGAAAGCCTTGTCGCTGCTGATCTGCTTCAATCTATGTGCAACCACGCCATAGTACCATCGGCTGCTTTGCATCATTGTAAACTTGGAGTCTCTAGGCCGCTCCGATTTCAAAGACTTTGAGAGCCCGTTTGTGACGCGTTTGTGTGCCCCCGTGAACCTCCCAAACTAGCCCGACTAGCTTCTCTTTAGCAGAACACGCCATTGTAAGTGTCTCAACCCGCTTTTCACCATCACTAGCATCTCACTAAAGTAGGTTCTTCTTGGCATCAGACGATGGATCGTCAAGGCAGATAGGACGCGGCAGACCTCAGTGATACCTGCCAAAGATACACTCAAATTTAGGTCTGAGGTTGTGTCTGGGGAAGATGCTAGGCGTTAGTAGCGAAGTGTCACGAGTTACCTTACGCCACACATATTAAGTCTTAACACTTTTGGTAAGGTAGCGTTGAGAAACTTTTGGTGGCTCTATTTGCTCATATGTTCTTGAGAGCTGATGGATCTCTATACGGCCTCTATACGGACATTCATGGGACCGTTCGTGATTTGTTAATTACTGTTGGGCAGCGATTATCAGGTAGGGGGTCAATGGGATGTATTGATAAGTATGAAGAACGAGTGGCTATGGGAATATCCCGACTATCTATATAGTAAGTAGAAGACCCTTTATACTGGCATATCCTTAGCAAACTCAGTCATGCTTGTATAAGACCATATTGTCTCATAGGCATAGTATGACAATCGTTATAACGAGTGTACTAGGATGGGCCTGATACACCCCCCTAGGTTCAAGTCTTTACTTGAAGCTATTCACACTTCTTCCTGGCCCAGCAGGTATATAATGTTAACAAGACAAAGTTGACGAACGAATTCTCGGTGTTTTTATACGTTCAGTGGTTTAGTTAGATTATCAGCGATAGTGCTATTGGTATCCATCTACTTGAAAGTGATGTCTCCTTTCCGATAGACTTGGCGAGCCTAGAAATTCTATATATCGATATGTTTTAGCCTGGATGTTCTATGAGGCTTTTTATCTGTTAGAAGACGAAGGGTTTGACTATTATCGTAGTAAATAGTAAAGAAACCGTCTAACGTACTTGATAAGCGAGCTGCCCAGACAAGCGAGCTGCCCACCCAACCGCGTTCATCCTTCCTCCTCACTTCTAATGCGTATCACGCCACAAATAATCCTGTCGTCACAAAGCAAAGAGGCCCAATTGAACTTAGCAGTCGAGGCTATCCAAAAAACCCTAAACTCAGCATTCGAGCCGCAGCAAGAATCTATTCAGTCCCCCCTAGGACCCTAGGCACCCGATTAAAAGGGACACCTACACGACAAGATACTATACCTAACTCACGCAAATTAACGGAGCTTGAAGAGGAGAAGCTAGTTAAGTATATCCTCGACCTGGATTCCCGATCGTTTCCTCCCCGGATCAGTAGTATAGAAGAAATGGCCAATCGATTGCTCGCCGACCGCGACGCGCCCCTAGTTAGGAAGCGCTGGGCTTCAAACTTCGTTAAACGACAACCACAGCTCCGGACGCGCTTTTTTCGCAAGTACAACTGTAAGAGGGCCCAATACGAAGATCTAGACGCGATAAACGCATAGTTTCGGCTTGTAGCGAACATAATCGCGAAATACGGCATTATAGACTCCGATATCTATAACTTCGACGAGACTGGGTTTATGATGGGCCAGATTATATCCAGGATGGTCGTCACGAGTGCCGAAAGGCGTTCAAATACAAAAATGATGCAGCCTGGCAATCGTGAATAGGTTACAGTCATTCAGGCCATCAGTTCGTCAGGCTATAGCGTTCCGCCGTACATCATCGTTGCAGGCCAATATCACCTCTCTACCTGGTATATAGAAACAGATCTCCCACGCGACTGGGTCACCGCAACGTCTGAAAACGGATGGACAACAAATAAAAGAGGCCTAGACTAGCTCCAGCACTTTGATCGGCATACAAAACCGCGTACAACTAGCAGTTATCGCCTCCTCGTCGTCAATGGGCACGAAAGTCACCACTCTACGGACTTTGAGATATATTGCAAGGAAAATAATATCGTCACACTCTGCATGCCGGCCCATTCGTCTCATCTACTTCAGCCCTTAGACGTTGGGTGTTTTGGGCCACTAAAGACGGCTTATGGTCGATAAATTGAGGATAAGATACGCCGGGGTAATACCCATATTACGAAGGAGGACTTCTTCCCCGCATTTCACAACGCTTTCACGCAAGCCCTAACGGTAAAAAACATCCAGGGAGGCTTCAGAGGGGCCGGGCTTGTTCCTTTGAGTGCCGAAAGTGTGCTTTCGAAGCTTGATGTCAAGTTACACACTCCAACACCCCCAGGGTCCCTACCAACAACACCCCCCGCGTGGACTTCTTAGACGCCAAATAATCCAACAGAGGCCTCTTCTCAGTCCGAACTCATCAAAAGGAGGATCTCCCGCCATCAAAATAGCTCCCCAATTTCAATTATTAAAGCTATAGAGCATTTATCAAAGGGAGCGCGGGGATTTATGCACCAGACTGCCTTATTAAGGTCGGAGGTCTAGATCCTCCGGGAGGAAAATAACCTACTTAGCCGACGCAGGAGGGCTAAGAAAACACGTCTCAGACAAGGAGGAAGTCTTACTGTAGCTGAGGCAGAGGACATTCAGTCGCAGAGAGAGGCTACGGCCCAGATTGATGAGGAAACGCGCCAGAGTAGTGGTCGTCGGCCGAGGACAGAAACAGGTCGACGGCGATGTGGCGTCTGCGGAAACACTGGCCACAATGCGCGAACATGTCAGTTTAATGAAGAAATATCCGAGGAATAGGATTCAGAGTAGTTTCAATTGATTTTATGTTTTTAGTGTTGCTCCTTAGGCAGATTTATAATGCGATCATGGTTAGGTGGGCAGCTCGCTTGTCTGGGCAGCTCGCTTATCAAGTACGTTATATCCCGTTAGATTTGGAATTTATCCTGATAAAGGTATACTAGTCTAGCCAGTTAGATTGGCTTTTAAGGCGAATAGTAGTCTATACGGTAAACATCTTGTCCGATAGACAAATAGGTCGGTTATAATACCCGTAGATTGACCAGGTGCCTACCTGGGCTGCTAATAGACAAAGAGGTAGTTGACTGTGTGATGCTTATTCAGAGTATCCAGTGGTCAGAAAGACAACTAGGCTTATAACTGTTGGGCAGCGATTATCAGGTAGGGGGTCAATGGGATATATTGATGAGTATGAAGAACGAGTGGCTATAGGAATATCCCGACTATCTATAGTGAGTGGAAGACCCATTATCCCATCGAGTGCTGCAAGGCGACAGTACATTGGCTCCACATAACGGGCCCCCTTTTACCCCGCACCGCATCTGGTACATCCACTGCTTGAGTTGCCCCTATGATTTCCACTCCGGTACATCTACCAAATCCATCATTACCAATACTCAATTAATGGATTCTGACGATTCTGACGGATCTGGCCGTTCCACGGGCTCGGCGAAGTCGTGTATCTTTGCCCTGCTGCCCGAGGACCTCGCCGCCGCCTGCACTGCCGACTGTACGCCGGAGCAATGTGATAATGCCACTGTTCGGCCCCGCGAGCCTCCGGAGGTTGAGCCCGGTATCCCTGGGAAGTACACGAGGATGGGCTGCCTCGAGTGCGATGTAGCTCTCTGTAACTCAGAAGATTGCTGGTACCGATTTCATACGCAGAATCTCTAGTAATTGGAAGTATCTATTATCAATTACGTTGGTTGGTTGGAAAAAGGGGCCCGAAGTGGCCCGATTGGCTGCTCCCCCGCATCTCAATGTACTGTCGCCTTGCAGCACTCGATGGGATACTGGCATATCCTTAGCAAACTTAGTCATGCTTGTATAAGACCATATTGTCTCATAGGCATAGTGTGACAATCGTTGTAACGAGTGTACTGGGATGGGCCTGACAAGTGTATCTACCGGCACAGAGCAAATGTTCTAGTCAAGTCTCGGGAACAGGTATGCCATGCCTAGCCCACACCACAACCAGTTTGGCCGCAAACTTCGGACGATGCCTTCATAGGTTTTTTGAAAACAAGACAGTCGTCCCCAAATCATAAACCGGTGGCGATTTAGTACCTACTTTATGCAAAAGTCACTAGAAGAATAAAAACAAAGAAGACAAGGACCCCTGTCACATGTGGCTGCTCTGATGTCAGGTGACTTCCGCGGGTTACCCACTTGTGCCATCTATCCGTACCTCTCCGTCCCGTCTCTTTTGGGGAAACCAGCGCGGCCCACGTTGCGCACGACTCACACAACTCGCACGGCGTCACTTCCAACTAGCAACCTAGATGACTTCGCGGGCCTTGGGAAAAGGCCTCTACTCTGTCAAAAAATACCAACCTAGTCTCTATCATTCTTGATTCCAGGCAATCTAAATCTCTGACCAATCGTTGCGATAACCTCCACACCACCCGAAAGTTCACAGCCCTCGACACAGCCCAAATTGGCTACATCATCAGTCCACCCTGATCTTATTGGCGAGGCTATCTGTGATCACTCCCACAGCCTGCATACGCACTCCACACGAAGGCAGCCCGATAGCCACAGAAGGCAGGCACTGTTGGGGGCCTGAGACGAAAGAAGCTGGCAGTCAGGCGGCCTTCGGAGAGTTGCCATAAGAAACCTTAGGGGCGACTGGGACTGGGAGATGGTACATCGCTCTTACTTCCTTCTTCGAGCATGGCTTTCTTTTTGCCGTGAACATCCTCACATTTGGATCCCAGTTGCTGACTAGTCCTCTCACCGATAGCCGCCACGCAAGAAGTATGTCTTTCGTTGGACATGTGTGCGTCACCCCAAATTGTGGTTACAGACTCCCAACACGACTAATTGCTAACAATAACAACAGTGCTACTGCGGCCAGGGAGGCATGAACGTTGTCATCGACCCTTGTGACAACTGCAAATACCCTAGGTGCTCGCGTTGTCGCGTGGAAAGATTTCTGCTTGGGAAACACCAACAATCCATTGCTGCCCACGCCGACCGTAACCACCGAGGGGACAAGTAACAGGAGAAGCTGCGGATGACTTCAATATTCGATCGAAATAGTTCGACTCTGTACACCCTCACGCGATAGACCTCGGGCTCGACCGAAAAGAACCGAAACATCAATGAATCGCAAGCGACGCCACTCTGGAGCATGAAAACATTAATGAACAGGCGGGAATAGACATTGGGCTCAACGATAACGAGCGTAACGAAAGCAGAATGCAAAAAAAGGTCTGAAATGAGACGGCGAAAGGGGAGAACAGGTATGGGGCTTAACGGAACGGAACATGGCACAACGGGTCTGTAACATATTATACCAGACGTTTGGAATAGGAAAAGTAAGGGGAATAAGGGACATCTGGCTCACTAGGAAAGGAGGACGAAACAAAAGTCGTCTAGATTACACGGTGGCAGAGAACGGAAAACGGCCAAATGAATTTGAAAGGTAATACTATACGCTTGGAACGGGGAAACAAGGGGAAACATTGAACATCGGGGCTCGGGGTCAATAGGAAGGAAGACCAAAACCATGATTGTTAAACTACATGTAAACTGTACGGTTTGTATGGAACTGCAAAGGGCATGAGGTCTTGAGGAAACAAAGGGTTCGACAATCAGGGCATGGACACATAGCGCTAATATGGATACGCAAGTCTTGGGCGAGTAGACCATATAAGATAGATGTCTGATTACATATTACATAAATATGAAGTTGAATCTCTCTGCCGAAGGGACCTGGTACTTGAATAACTTGAGTCGACTGTAGTCTGTAGGTGTATGCAGGCACCATACAATCAGTTGTGAGTACGTTGGAATTGTCCAATTAGACACTGTCTGTACGTGCGGTGTGATCTCAAGCCACTCCACTGTCCATCCTCCCATGTAACAATGGGATCATTGGTACGCGAAGATGGAAGTGTGTGAAGCCTCGACACGCTGAGACTACCTTACCTTGCCTTCTGTTGGTCGCACAGATGCAAGTTGCACTAAGGACCAACAAAGGCGAGTGAGTATGTTGTCACACCATCAACGAGTCAAAATTAACCATCTACCCTGACAGGGAGGTTCAAGATATATCTGTGACTTATGACATTGGAAATACGTCCGTTACTGCTGGCCATATCCCTTGGGTGTTGCACCATCTACACGACTCGGTCATACAAAGCGTTGGCCTCGGCTCGGGTTTACAAGAATAAAGCATTGTTCCGCCGGTATCAAACAGCAACTTCTTCCGTCTTACGATCAATAGCCCAGCGGCCGAGATTAAATCAAGATCAAGTCAAATCATGGCCGGGTCTTTGGCATCCAAACAAGTCAATTTCTTGACCAACAACGCTTAAGGCCCCAGAGGACTCCTACTAGTTACGGCAAAAGCCGTTCCTTAGCCATGTCAACGCCAGATCAGAAGCTCCGTGATCCCAGCAAGCCAAAGAACTCTGTGCAGTGGTTCTAGCTGCTTTATCACACAGCCAAAAGCCGAGGATGAGGTCAGCGGTAATCGCAATTGCGCGTTGCAACCACGATCCTCATCCAGTATATGGAAAACCATGCAGAAAATGGACTCGAGAGATGATTCCAGGTTGCGCTGTGTACTTCTTTTCGCAAAATTCTGTTTGTTAAATATGATTCAAACATCAAACATGAGTGTCTCTATCCCCGGGCAAACATGCAAACGACCGTGAAGCCAGCTAAAAGGTCTTGCACAACGCACAGCACAATAGATCGGCACTAACTTCCACCCAGAAGATTGTTCAATAGGTAGCTTGATACCATGTAGTCACTTCTGAAAGTAACCAGCACTTGCGTTGAGATGGGTTGAACCACCCTACAGATGAGCTCTGGCAGTCTCCCTATGTTAGACTTTCAGCCGTCCATGCCACAGTTCTGCTATCTTAGCCTATTTGTGTAGCTACAAAGATATACAGCATTGGATATGTCTTAACGCTCGCGTTGTTTGAGTAAGTACTTATGTATTGATCAAATGCCTGCGTTCGCTGCAGTACACAGTGACCTATTTGATCAATCATCACCAAAGGTGCTCGAGATCTGCAACTAATGTATTGGGGCTTCTCTCGGTGGAGGTGCCACCGTGCCCACAAATAAGGTAGTTACTAGGGTAATGTATCATGCTGCCTTAATTCTAAATCTAGTCCGGAGACAGGATTCAACCAGAGTCTGGATGCATTACGTACTGTCTATCTACCTGATCTGTCGTAGTGCGGCGAACTACGATATCCTGTTGTCAAAGTAAGACTGGCAATATTGACATAGAAGAGACGTTGTATGGTTGCATGCGAATTTTCCATGTATGTCTGCAAGATCAATTGTTTGATAGTAGATATAGAGACCCCAGTTTGAAGTGCTATGAGGTCGATGTCACATGTGTAGCTCTGGCTGAAACCCCTTTTGGCACTGAGGGGATGCATGAGTAATGAAGAGAAGATCGAGTTAAGCACCGCAGACAGATGCACTCATTCCACCCATCGTCGCCCAAACATCCGGACGGTGCAACTAACTATCTTGCAGATAAATTTTGCCAGGCAAATAGCGATTTATTGATGGGGTCTCTAAGGAGGATGCGAGGACCTTGAGTGTGGTACTGCGTACCTAGAAGGCTAGGTCGTGTCGTGCTGGCGAGCTCCGAGCCCCCGTCGTCAACCGTAGTTCACCGAGTGAACGTTCGCCAAAGCCTGAAACAATCCTGTATCGATTGTTTACATTCTAGCATAGCGATTTTAACCTGATTGATACTTAGGACTTTGTTAGTCCTCCACGGATAGGGAAAAGTTCAAGAAAAATGAATGTGTGGCGAGGATTACAAGTTTACAACAAAATGCAGGCAAACTTGAAAGAATTTTAATTGATATTCTGAAGCTTCAACCCTGACTTGCGAGTTCGAGTTGCCTGCTGCTGAATACTCGTCCTGACATTCCTTAAGTATCTACTAACAAAGTAGATTCGGAAAGATACCAGGGCAATGCAGCTTTATTGCCGACTTCCTGGGCCGCTCGGCACATTACCTCTACTAGATGTCCAACTTAGACGGGACAGGTCCGCAGAGCTCCCCCCTAACGAAGTCAAAGACTTAGATCCACGCTACGATCTTCCAAAAGTCACTTAGCACAGTTTAAATGGCCAAGAAAGATGTGAAATATCGGCGGCGAGGGCTGGGACCGGCAAGAAGAAAATGAAGTTTATGAAGACGAGAGAGAAAGAAAAAGATAATAGGCACATCCAAGAATCTCGAGACAGGGGCTATTATGGTTTTGAGTCAAAGTCGAAGAACAGGGACCTCATTAGGTTGTCAACTTATGATCAGTGCGAAAGGTTGCCAACAAACCTTTCCAAGAAGAAGTCCAGTTGCTCCACAGAAACTCAGACTTCGGATCATCAATCTATGAGCTTGTCTACATCTGTCTATTTACCCTGTTTGGCACCATACTGTATCTCCTTATGCAGTCAGGTTGGGGAAACCTTCAATTTCTCACATACGATGTGTTAGTATTTTGATGTTCTAGCCGCTGTTCCATCCCCTCTAACCTCACGACCGGTCACATTATCTATGTCGCAAGGCCAACGCATTGCTCAAGCTCCTCCACAGGGGAAGAGCTCGAAATGCTCCTCTGACCGGGCATTTGACTCAAATTCAAAGGTTCGTAAAACATCCAATGAGAGATGCAGAAGCCGTGTGGGAGACATCGGGCCGCCGAATAGAACCTTGAAAGTCTCGGACTCGGAGGAAAGGGTGGAACTTCGGGCCGTTGAATTCTCCTGCCTTGTTCGGCCACTGAATAGATAAGAGATAATGAGAGATACCGCGTCCCCGGACACTCGAAGATAGTGTGCACTGGCTGTTGAACTTCGTGGATCTCTAACCCCAAACCTGTGCGCGGGCCGGAACCCAACATCGCCTCAGATGATGGGAGATTTCGAGTGGACGATAGCGGTTGCACTTGCAAGCCCCACGGTGGGCAAAGGTGTCTCGACAGCAACTTGATCAGGCGCCAAGTTGGTATCACGGAGCATTGGAGCCCAGTCTAGATCTCGTCTGAAGGCATCGTGAGAGTGGTTCAAGTTGTGGGCAAAAGTCTGATGACAGACAGGGCGCACTTGTGCTTCGATGAGGCCAGTAGCCAAGGCAGAGGAAGACTAGGCTGACCGGAATTATCGTGAACACACTCGGTAGAAAATGATGCTCCGCACTGTTGTTGCCCAAGCTCACTGACGAGCCAGCAAACCGAAATGGGACCCGCACCCTCGTCGAATGATCATGGGTAAATTCCTGGGGGGTGCTCGGCTAGTCGACTTACTGCTCGGTATGCGTTGTCACAAGGCCACATTAACGCGATTTCCTCGTGACTGCACCCGAGAGTGGCGAATACACCATAGGCTTGTGGACGCAGCGATGAGAAATCGAAGTCCTCTTCGCACGCCGTTGTTGCTCCGATTCGCCTCCACGGACACCGAAACAGTATTCTGGCGGGTTGCATCGTCGTGGCATGTCGGGAGTGGATCGTGTCACGGAGCCGGGGCTTGTTAGATGGTGGGCCCGGTCAACGATCTGTATAATGAGCCCAAGAGGTGGTTCGTCTACCAGTGACGAAAACCCCCCACTATGCCTCACTCTGGACGAAAAGTTGGGGTTGGGAGCTTTCAGGAAGGCAAAAATGCGTAGCACTCAGATCAAGCCCATAGGCTGCCTGAAGTACACGCAGAACATTCTGCACGACATTCAGCTATATTGCACAGTGTTTTCGAGGCGAGCTCACCGGTCTACGTGGTCTGTTTATTGGAGTTGGAGATGGCAGACTGGGTAGTGGCAGTGTTTGTACACCATCTTGGTAATATGTAATAGATGAGAAAGTCCGGAGGGGTCCGATTGTTGGTGCCCGAGCAGTTGAGGCAGGGGCACGAATCCACACGATAAGATTCGCAAGCTGACGGTGTTTCCATTTGTATTGTAAAGTACCGTACGGAAGAAGTCCTGCAATGTGACACATTGCCTGTAACAAGAGCAAGCGGTGTGTAGCAAAGGGCTTGTGTGACATCACTCCGTTACGGGCTGCGAAGAAAACAAGCAGAGACGACTCAGTTCTTCAGAGGAACATTGGTCCAAGGTCGAGCGTGGCCTTTAAGGCAACTCACAGAAGGTAATCGAAGGAATGTAAACACAGCCACAATCCTCGATCGGGTAAGCTGTTGGAATCATGCAAGCCTGACGTATGGAGTACCGCGGTCCGTTATTAAGGCTACCTCTTGCCTGCAAGGGTAGCATGGACGTACCGGTACCAACAAATGCTGCGATCCAAGAATTTGGGGTCCAGCACGTGGCACTACCACTCAATCCGGACGATCTCGGTTGATGTGCGTCGAACTGAGTAGCGATATGTGATTTTCTTGGCTCGACAAAAGTGTCATGAATTCCGTCGTCTCAACTGGGATGTGACCTGGAACTATGGAAGTAAAATGCCTGGAGAAATGAGTTGCAATCCGGACGCAGATCCTCATGATAGGTATGTTGGAAGATTGGTGGGCCATTAGGACGGCTGTACCATCGAAGGTATCGTCAAAGGAGCTTGTCCTGTGAATGATGGTAATCATGTTGCTGCCAACTCCGGATCCCACCGATCCACGTTCATCTCCCCTCCGCCCCCCCCATCACAGGACACCTGGGAGCTATCGCTGAGCAGGGGTATCTATCCGCTCCAGCGCCATGATTTGCCAGGAGGACAAGAGCATTCTAGCGGTGACTGACGTAACCAATACCAATGCTTCGGTTCAAGACGGTTTGCTGGCGAAGGGGCTGACATTCTGATGTCTCGTGGTGTCCATGTGCAATAGCCGAGGCAAGGCCAACATAAATTGGCATCCATGTCTGCGACCATAGTCATTTGACTCGAAGTGATGTCTCGCATGACGCTGCATCGGGCTTTCAAGCGCCATTCCGTTCTCACTGGACCTAGGTAGGTATGACACATCTGGCCCATATCACATTGCCATCCAAAAGTGACGACCAGTCAAAATTGGGACCTAGGGCTACATCTTCTGCCATCCACACTCATTTCACTTCCATACCTACCTTTCTCAAAGTCTTCCAACATATCTCAATTGTAGTCTTTCTCCGCTATTACAACATCTTTTGGAACTTGACTTCATTGCTTTTACTCGGCCATAAGTTCCGAACAGAGGTTGTAATAAGCTTTGTTATGAAGCCTGGATGAGTCTCATCGTTCCCAGCCAGAATCTAGACTACCCAGCCGCTCACAGAATTCCGGCGCTAAATCTGTTGAATCGGTCGAGTCCTGAAATGAAAGTCATTGACTTGGGCTGATGAGATCACTTTCATCAACGAGGCGTACTCGGCAATTAAGGCTCTAGTCATTTCACAACAGCCTGGTGCGAACGTGGGCATTGCAGAAAGGGTCAATCCCTCCGTTCCACCACATTCTCATACAAAATGGTAACACTTCCTAGCCCAAACTCATGTAAGATCCTCAAAATATGACCACGGCTAACGGTAGACTCATCTAGTCTCGTGGCAGAATCCGACATAAGTTTACGTGGACTTGTGTACGTGTGAGCCCTTTTAACCTGTATCATCTAACAATTTTAGCCCATTCGTAACTCTGCTGATGATTTGAAAATAATGTACAGTGCAGCTGCGGCCAGGGTGAGATGGCCGTTGTCGTCGATCCATGTACCAATTGTGGAACAGCCCGTTGTGTGCGATGCAAGGTGGCTAGAGTGCCGAAAAAATCAACTTCATCGCGCCCAAGGTCGCACGGTTGGCCAGATGCTGAGTTCAATTCAACTCAGATGAGGTTTTCGTCTAGGCATGGCATCGACTAAAGACAAGTGATCGAGTCTTCCGCGACCCGCCTCCTGGTCGGGGTGGAAACTATCATCTATAAGTCGGGGCCACACATACTAATCTGACTTCCCACAGACAAACCCATGATCTGATAGAATCAGTGGTTCAAGTACAAAGGCACTCTCATACTGTGGTGAAGCATCGTACGTGGAAGCTTCCTAGCGGCACAAATAGAGTACGTTACTAGAGATGGAACGTCAATGTCAGTAATCTTACGGGAAACTGCCAAGTGTACCACAACTTGTAATCGAGTTTAGTCTTGGCGGAATGATGACGCCAATAATGATGAAAAAATATCTGCAATCCCAGGGAGTATTTCCACTGGCACAGGCACAGAACGCTGTCGGCTTGACGCATGCCTCAGTACTCTGTTACACCGTGTGCGTTGAGACAAGCCACGCAGGAAGTACTACCTTGCATGTAGGTACCACCTTACAGCGGATGGTGAAACATCATCTCGAGTGTCTCTCCCTCGAACGGTTGATCGTCGAATTACAAAGGACAGGGAAGATTGAGTGCTGCCGATTTCAAATACTTGAATGTGGGTATACTTTAGACAAATGACAGCAAGCTATTGTGTTCAGCTGACGCGCTTGGGCGGCCGTAATGGGAGCCATGGTCAACTGATGACATGGTTGATGATTGAGCCAGGGAGACGCACATGTGCAGCTTCGAAGAAATCGTATTAGAGTCGGCTAAGATAAACAGGGCTGATATGGACCCTTTGAACAGATAGTGTGGCTGGGAGCTCTTTCTAAGAAGTATGCTGGAGAACTGAATGTGGAAATTTGCTTGAGCTGTAAGAATCTCAATGTGCCCCAGTAGCGTAGAAAGAAATGCGTTAGCGGCCGTCGGATCCCAGCATGTAGCCCCATGGAAACGAAACGACATTTTTGTGTGCCCGGCTCAGGTGTAAGCACATGATAAGGTACCTATATGTAAAAGCCCAGCAGTTGGTCCGCCAGGGGTTTGGCACAGGACTTTTCAATGCTTTGTAACGAACCGTGACAGGGATTAGGAAGAAGTGAGCTGCAAATCCTCAGCGTTCGTACGGATATATGTATACTACGCATCAACCTCTCCTCAAGACGGTGCCGAACCACGGAGAACGGAGCCGGCAGTGGAGTCCCGATTGAATTGGTCAATCGCGCTGCCAGTCCTCCGTTGTGGGTCGGATTTTCTTTTATGTCTAAGAGCTGCAGATGTGAGATACTCGCGAGAGCATCATTACTACTACATATACACTACCTTGCTATTTGCGATTCCCTGACTCCCTCAGACCGCCGTTTGACTACCCCCTTGCCCAGGGAACTGGGTACTAGCGCACGAGCTCGCAGGCATTGATATGGAATTACATCATTCCGCAGCCGGCATGGAGCTGAAAAAAATTTGCTTTCGAAGCGGCTACTGGCATCCAACACGATGGCACAAGAGTGATCTCTGTGGTGACCGCCATCGTGCAGCCTTTCACGACTGATTTTCTGCTCCTCGACTCACGATAGTCGACGTGGTCATTCAATTGTGTTCTGTTTGCACTTCTCCAAGCAAAAGCTACAGCCATTAGAAGCCCTGCTCGCCTCCTTTCACCCGCCTCCTTTCTGAGTAGGCAACCACTACCTCTCGGGCCAATCTCTCCACTGCACACCAGTCGAGACTCGCCCAGCCCACAGCCTTGTATAATGCATTGGTACCCAAAATCAGGTTGACCTAGGACCAATCGAAAGTGTCAGCGAACTCGGCGATTCTCGGAGCGTGACAATGAGCCGGACTTTCTTCTATATAAGATTATGGTAGATCAAGGCCACCTCTTGCAAGATTTTCCTCCGCTTTGATCTTCCAACATCTGACATATTTGATCTTCCTGTAGCCTCCCCCTCGAAAGAAGTTCGCATTTATGTGGACATGCGTACGTTTCTCCGAATCAATTGAGCCGAGTTACAAAGTTCTATCGCCCTCGACCGCCGAATCTGACGCGACTTAGTGCTACTGTGGCCAGTCTGGCATGAAAGTGGTTGTGGACCCTTGTGTCAACTGTCGCTACCCTCGTTGTAGCAGGTGCCGCGTCGACAGAGTGCAGACAAGACATCATAATCACGACCAGTCACACCAATCGTGTCAACATCATCGTTCTACCTGATATACCTACTCGGAGTTTGGGAAAAGTTGGAAGGAGCACGCAGGGAAAACAAGGATACAAAGTTTGCGAAAATTTTACATCTACGGCTAAAAGCATTGGGCCCCTTTACATTGTTAACTAGCGACGAAAGCTTCAACTCCTGTGGACAGACTCAGAGCCCGAAGCTCTATACATCTGAAGGAAGGTAGTTCAAGGAGCCTTTACCAATTCCGAGCTTTGGCGACCGGAAGTTCGGGAACAGTGGCGCTTGGAGTTGTTGCGTAAGCTCTCTTATACCCAAACAGACTGCTGCTCTTTGTTCTATAGAAGCTGTACTGGTGACAAGATATATGCACTTATTGGGAATTCGTGCCTTTGGATTGTGTTGTACGCTTTGTCTAACGCTTGCATGAAGGTTCACTCCGCGCCTGGCCTCTAGATGTCGACCGACAGTCAGATGGTCGTGTCGCCTGACGCGGCCGTATCAGAAGACGCCCTAGTAGTCCCTGGCCAGATCTCACAAGCTCTTCGCAGTGGCTTTGATTGGCCCCAGAGGTTCTCTCGAAGGGGGCCAATAGCGAAGGATTTCGAGAATAAACCGTGGTTGAATTGCCAAGAAGACTTCAACTCACCGAGAGACGCTATCAGCTTTTTTCTCGGGTTCGACGACGACGACGTGAGGTATCATGGGCGTGTGCGTCCTATCCTCGATATTTGCCAGAATATGGACCTTCACGACCTTCCCAGCATCGAAGCCCTCGACAGTGAAAAGCGAGTGGCTTGGCTCATAGACGGCCAGCGCCATGAGGACCAGATCAATTTTCGTAGATGCTTGGGGGCGTTGACTGCTCGCCAACTCACTGAAGCCTTATTACAACCAGTTAGTTTCGAATCTGTGATGGCATCGTGGACTAGTTGCAATCGTCTGACATTTTCGATAGCGCTATCGGGTTCCTCTCACAGCTAATAGCGAGGAAGTTGATAATCCACAAGCGATTACTAACAGTGGGGGAGTCCAAATTTTCGATGCTGAACGCCGCCTGCTGTAAGAGATTGTTTTTTTCCAAGCGCGTCAAGGTTCCTGCCCGAGTAAGAGACTAATGCCTATTCCAGCTATCTCACGAATCTTGATTGTTGGAGTATCCTCGCTCTCGTGAAGACCGCCCCTGTATCCCAGGCTAGACTCCTTGGTGACTTTTTCCACAAGCACCTATGTTCTAGAACTTCGATCGGGGTCGCATTCGCGGTACGCTCTGGCTGTTTCCGTCTACAGACATCTTCCTGTGTGCTAACAAGTCTGCCTTGCCTATCATTAGTCTCAGGGTCCTCAGATATTCTCTCTCGAGTTCCACCTGCCATTTCGAGTCTGGCGAATAACGAAGGGTCTTCTCAAGGACGAACGGATCAAGAGGTCAGACAGCGAGGCTCTACGATCATCAAGGAATGTCACTTACTTGATGCCTCCCGGAGATAATGATGAAGAGAGCCAGGTTCACGGCATCTACTCGGGCCACATTGCGTGCTTGGTCAGCGGCTATGATTACTGGAGATGGACAGCCCACTTCGCAATTGACACCTGGTTCGACGAAGACGAGGGCATCAACGATCAGGTCACTCGCTACGACAATGACAGAGAAGATGGTTTCGAGTGGGATCCTTGCAGCGGCGGACAAGACGACGCCAAAAGGCCTTACTGGTATCCGCGCGTTTGGTTTCTACGTATCTTCGGCATTCGTCTCGATCAGATCAAGGATGAATGGGAGTCAATTTGCCACCACTTGGGCCAAAGCATTGAGAGAGAAGTATGGCAACGCCCCACCCCCTTCCTTGATGCACCATTCCCAGAGACAAGCAAAATAATGGCGATTGATAATTTACGTCCAGGACCGGAAACATAAAAATTTTCTCCATGAATCCAGGCTGTCGCCTGAATCTGCTGTTACTCAGCAGCATAGTAAGCATCTAATCGATAGCTTGGAAAAAACAATGATGGGGTCCAGGGATATTCTTCAAGATCTTCTAAGCGATCTGCACGAATTAGTGAAGGTTGGAGCATCTTTCATGTCAACGGAGGTTAACTTCTTTCTCAATAATGACGGGCAACCGGGACAAGCCGCAGAGTGCTACCCATATCTCACGGAGATCCGTGGGAGGTTTAATGAGCTTGGCCAGCTCAGCTTTCGACTGGGAAAATACCAAGAGAGATGCAGCTTCTTGATACAGCATTGCGAATCTTCTAGGAGAAGTGTGAGCCCCCCTACCTTGGATAGCACTACATAAAGGATTGACATCGCTAACACGTATTAGGCTCTTCAGAACCTCTCGCCGGTTTCAGAAGAGAGGTTCGCTGAAACTTCTGTAAGTAGAGTGACTATGCAATCCGGATTCTGTGGCTGAGAGTTGGTAGCTTGGCTTGCTTCGTGCATGTATGCAGGTGGAGATGGATAAGCTCCGAAACGTAAAACACTCCGATCACCAGAGAAGCAGGCCTATCACTTGATTACTGACACATCATATAGGAGTTGAGAAATGACCAACTCCTTGCAGTCAGACCTAGAGATGAAGACGAGGTTCGAGTACTTGCATTCAGCACACTTGTAAGCCTTGAGACTTGGATCATGTCGAGCGGGCAAATACTGACAATTCTCGTAGCTAACGCAGGCTTTCTCACAAACTACTGCACTTTTCAGCGCAGACGGGGTTATCGCATTCACAAGGAATTGGCAATCATTTCTGCTATCGCTTCTTGTCGCCTATGGTATCAATATCACAATTGTAGCCGCTCTTATCGTCTGGCTCCAAAGGGCAGGCCGGAGGGTACAGAATGCGTTGGATACAGGACCAGGGCTGCCAGTCGTGCAGCCTACGCAGAACTCGAGCGACTCTTCTGCTGTCGCGCTGAGACCAAATGATGAGGCCGTGGCTCAAGGCTTTGCCACAGACACATCTTCAACGAATTCCAATGGAGGTGGTCTGACGTTTCATTTTCGACGTCGATTGTCAGACAGATTCTGGCTGACCTACAGGCAACCTGAGAGAGTGGATGATGTAGAGCTTGGAAACAGGAACACTCCAATTCTTGAGGAACTGGCATGACACTGGATTTCGGGTTACGCACATCATGTTTCTCTTGGCCAAGTGGTTATTTCTCATTGCTTCCCTGATTTAGGTCGTTTTAATATTCTTGGGATCTTGTGGTTTACTCAGTGCTTGAAATGGATTCAATAGGCGTTCCGCATGCATCTCAATATCATGAGCGAGGCGTAAGGAAGAGTTGTGGCATCATTCACGGTAACAGTATTCTATCTCGAATAGTTAATAGATCCAAGTTAAGCTAAGGTCTGATGTTGTTGAGGAAAGGCGGCTCTCGTCATTCGATGTTCCCATTATCAGGTTTGAATTTGCTGAGCGAGCAACTGATAGTGGGCCTATGAACACACTATGAGCACAACTTCGGTGAGCAGGTTATCCTTGAGCATCCGTCACATTTTATTGTTGAGGTACTTTATGTTTCGGGTGCTGCAGCAAGTTGCTCTGTTGTGGCTCCCACCAGACACCTGATATCAAGTTGACATATGCATTGAATAAATTTCTCTCTGAACCAATAAAAGAGTGACGTGTGACAGCGCATGGCGAGAAACTAGACAAAACCTAACATATATAACTTGGGCGAGGCAGAGGTGCTCTAGGAGTTCTCGGGCATGTTTTCAGCCAAGGTCCACATCGCTTTCCTGCACCTCGGAGGCAGACTGATGCTTTAGACTACCTTTACTCTTGTCAATTGAAGCTCTGCAAGTTGTTATTTTCATTGCCGGCTTGTCATCATCTAAACAGAGAGGACTGCCTCACTACTTGTCAGCTTCAAAGCTTCCCCCCGCCGCTGAAGGTTCAGTTACGAGATAGCTACAATTCAATCCAGCTTCCAACTCCATATCTCACTCTACATCTTGCGAGCTATCAAGGAATTAACAGCAAAGTAATAGTTGGGCCCTACTGACAGTACTTAGATGTAGTACCTTATCCAAACATCACTGTAAGCGTCTCGTATTTGAAGTACCTTGTATGTCGCTTTGACAAAGATCATCAGGAAACAAAACAAAATCCTCAGCATCGTGTTCGCGAAGATTCACCTTTCAGAAAACTTCTTCCACAGCGAGCCAAGTCAGGAGAAGACTGTGCTAGCAAGGCGTTTGGAAACAACAAACCCCTAAAATCAGGTAGATTACTACGCATTCAAGTCGACTTTGGCGGAAGAAGGCATCGGCTGAAACTTGCCAAAAGCCGGAAGACTTTCTCTCGTTCACCCAAAAAGCTTGTCACGGAAACAGCATCGCAGCAGCTCGATAACGACAATACGTGGATTCCTCTTTGCGTTCCAATTCGATGCGACATTTCCCCAACTTTGGAAATGGCATCGTCTAGGAAGTGTCTAGACGACATGTTCATCTTTGAAGCCCTCAGAAACATCTTCAAGAGGCGATAGAAATTCGCGTGGGAAGCTTAAAAGACCAATCGGAATGCACTAGGTATGTTAAGGTACGACACCGTGCAAGTCTTTGACGCCCACTGATTTTTGTTGTTTAGTTGGAAACCTTTTGCAGACGGCATATTTGATGTTAAGGGCCGGGCGCAGATTCTGCCGCCGTCGCACTCTACCTTCTACAGGCAAGTGTCGAGCTCTGATTTGGAGTTGGTACCGTCTCACTGTCTTCTTCAATACTACAGCCAGCCTCTCGTTCCTCGAAAGGATTCCGCAAGGTACTGGACAGGATTGTGCACAAGTTTGATGGTACGTTTTCTACTATAAAGAACCTGAGCGCACGCGGGCTACGGACTCGAAATCGAAGTCGGCCTGAACCGCAGTCCCTTGGAAATTCTATGGCTGGTTTTGGTGTTGTTTTCGCTACTATTTGGAATAGGCTGGTCGTTGTGGAGTGATGTTCAGAGTGGAATGTCGATCTCTGCCGTTCTCACAGTGCTTTCTGTCGTCAGCGTGACCGCTTTTCAGGTCAATGCCGCAGAGGCCACCAACCCATGGGCATACCACACTCTGGTCTGATGGCGTTGGGCTCTGTGTTGGATATTTGCAATTCATGTAGTCTTTAAAATGTCCTCCTATTCACAAAGAGTGGTCGAGTTGCGTTGCTGTTGCAATTGGTCATGGCAATCTTGAAGCCATTGACGATGCCACCATGGTGTCTCGGGTTATTGTAGCACGTGATGCAAAGGTAGATCTAGACCAAAATGACTGATCGCGATAAGTTATCTCATATGGATCATTTACAGGGTGTTGGTAACTTTATGCGGAATGAAAGTAAGGCGACCTATAGGGCAGTCGTGAGAGTTGGCCCCTGTCGTCAGAACCAATACCTCGTCGCAACATCAACATGATTAGACCGTAGCCAAATGCAAGCTGCAAGTGTGTCCAATCTCGTCGCGCCGCGTTAGTATGCAGCTCCTCGTGCCCGACGGACCACACCACATTGCTGTTGACATCAGCCTCCGTTGAAGAAGGACCCGAGAATCTCATGGGAATTGTGACATTTTGTTTTTCCTCTTTTTCTTTTCTCACGCACCAAGCTCACACACCATGGCGACTCTCTCTATCAGTGGTCTCGAAAATTCGTTGGAAGGGCTAAGCCTCAACACTCCTGTGCCCTCTTTCCCAATTGCCGACGTGCTAGTGCGGCCACTCGATATCTTTCGGTCTTACATAGCCAAGATTGTGGCCGAGGTAGCTGAGTGCGAACCTGGCGTTGCCTATGAAGCTATACAATCAACAGCTTCCCTCTCTATGGGAGATCTTGCCGTGATCTTACCCCGTCTCAAGATCAAGAAGGCTAACGCCGAAGCCGCAGCCGCGCTGCTTGACAAGGTGAGGAATGCACGCAACACATCTCCCAGAAGTAGTTGGCATGTTTTGCTAAGAGGGCTTTATTCCAGTTCCCAAAGTCACCTCTGTACACTTTCCCGTTCGTCGATGGCGTTCACATCCGAATTTTCTCTTCCCCATTCCTCCTTCCCAGACTTTTGTTGCCCTTCATTGCCGATCGCAAACAATTATACGGAAACGACGAGTCTTTTGGTCTAAAAGATGCTGCAACGCCCGATTCCGGACGCAAAAAGGTCATCGTCGAGTTCTCGTCACCCAACATCGCACAAGAATTTGAAGGCAGACACCTCCGCAGCACAATCAACGGTGCTGCCATTGCCAACTTACATGAGCGGATGGGATGGGAGGTTGGCCGACTGAACTTCTTGGGAGACTGGGGCAAGAACATTGCTCTGCTTGCTGTCGGCTGGAATAAGTTCGGTTCAGAGGAAGCCTTCGACAAGGACCCCATTCGACATCTCCTTGATGTACACAACCAGATCAACGAACTATTTAAGCCTGAACAAGAAGCAAGCGCAAAGGCAAAAGACGAGGGAAAGAACACAGCCGAGATTGAGTCACAGGGCATCTACGCCGAGCGCGATGCCTTCTCCAAGAAGTGGGAGGAAGGAGATGCCGATGCGCTCGCCTTGACCACCAGATTCCGCAACGTCTATGTCGAAGACTACACCAAGGCCTATGCTCGTCTCGGCATCAAGTTCGATGAGTACGCTGGAGAGTCTCAAGTCACTTCGGAGTCAATTGCCGAGGTAGAGACAGTCCTCAAGGAGAAGGGCATATCCGAAGAGAGTGATGGATCCTGGCTCATCGACTTCAAGAAGCACGGCGCCAAAGGTCTCGGCACTGGCATGGTCCGGAACCGCACCGGCACGACCATGTACTTCTCCCGCGACCTTGCTGCAGTCTTCGATCGTGAGAAGAAGTTCTCTTTCGACAAGATGATCTACGTCGTCGCTTCGGAGCAGGATTCCCACTTCCGTGGCGTGATCAAGGCGCTCGAGCTGATGGGGAGGGAGGATCTCGCCAAGAAGATCCAACACGTTAATTTTGGCAAGGTTCAGGGCCTGTCATCCCAACTGGGCAATGCGCACCTGTTGGGCGACATGCTGAACCAATGCTCGAACGCAGTCAAAGACGCCATGGCGACGGAGCAGAATGCCGGAGCCCCTCTTGCTGCCGCGGAGCCTTTAGGTATCACATCCCTTCTTGCCCAAGACATGCACACCAAGCGCAGCAACGGGTACGCGTTCGACAGCAAGAAGATGACCGAATTTGAGAGCGACACTGGCGCTCATATTCAATTACTTTATACTCGACTTTGTATGACCATCAGCCAACTTGGAGCTGACCCGACTGCTCTCGGAGAGGTCGACTACACTCAGCTGGAGGAGGAAGAGTACACGAATCTCCTGAGGCTTATGGCGCAATACCCTGATGTTATCAACGCCGCGTACAAGACCCTTGAGCCCTCGGCTGTGTTGACGTACCAGTATCGGCTGGCCGAGCAGCTGTTGATATGTCTCGATGACGATGAAGGAGAGGATGAAGACGAAGAAGAGGAAACTGCCGAAACCCCGGCGCTTGACCTTGCCCGAGCAGTGCTATATGAGAATGCCAGGCAGGTTTTTGAGAATGGGATGAAGGTTCTCGGTATCAGCCCTCTGTCTTCTTGATTTCGACGTTCTGGTTCATGTCACTGTTGTAGCTCAGATGAGGGGTTTGGTCATTGTTTTGTACCACCGGACGTGTTAAGATTGTCAAGGAACATTGAAAGGCGCATGCTTTGTTGAAGTGGCTTTATTATGAGATCATGACTTGATGACAGACACGGGAGCACACCAAGGATCCCAGGCCGGGTGGCAGCCTTTTACTGTGTTGCATAGCAAAACTCAAAGATAGTCAATTTAATGTTCTTGCTTTGCATGAAGCCTGATGAAAGTGATGTTTGGCGTTCCTCTCACCTGCTCATAGCATTGTAGTTACTTTTCCTGAGCCGTGTCGGGGCAAGAATCTATGATTGATAAGCTTTCCGAAGCTCAGTCTTGTTCTTTATGTATTGTCTTTCACCAAAATGCTCGACAGCTTGTGAGCCCAGGTCTCGGTAAATCAATAGAGCTCAATGAGTGGCCATCCCCGTCGTCCTGCTCCCTCAAGCCCTCACATCAGACGAGAGACGAATACGCCAGAGAGAGATAGAGCGAGGCAGGAAGGTGAAGAATGATGCCACCTGCCTAGATAGATGTGTAGACAGACCCACTGATGAAAATCCTTTCTAAACTTGAAGCCCTCACTTCCTTTTCTTCCTCAATAACACATCTCAAATAAACTACCCCCACAATCCAGAATCTAGGTAAGCCCTCACTTTTCATCACTTTATCCTCTTAACACACATTCACTACAAATAAATCACCTGTTCCTGCCTTCCAGCAGCCCATAATTTTCATTATCCTGAGCCCAGTCGTTCCTTCCTGCCTCGAGGTGAGGCCATTGTTTTGATTTTCACCTTCCACCTCGACCTCGCCCCACCCTCTCGTCCTCCTGAGCCCTCCCTCACCCTCACCCTCATCCTCATCCTTTTCTCTCCCTCACCCACCGCCCTTGTTTTCCTTCTTCTCTTCTTCCAACTTTTCCTCCTCATCAAATCGCTTGTGTATCTTGCTGTGATACATCACTGACCGGCTAGATATAGCTAAGTGGCATGACCATTGCTGCCCTCACTGCTATAACATCACAACAACGCGCGCTGTGAGAGCTTCGACAGCAAGCTGAATATCGCGGTAGAGTTTTCATTTTTTCTCTCAATCCTCGAAGATGGTTCTGACTTCTTATTGATGCAGATTCTTCCGCAGACAAAGACATCCCCTTTCAAAATATCAACCTCTTGTCACTCATCACTCCATCGACTCAAGCATCATGTCTCAACGCTCGCGCGACCGCGGTACCACCGTCATCTCGGCCGAAGAGCGCGCCAGACGCGTCACAGAGGCCAAGACCATGATTCGTGAGACCGCTACCTTCACTCCCGCTCTTCTTGGTCGCATCGAGTCTCGCATCGACTCCAACGCCTTCCGTCGTTGCATCTCAGACAACACCATCTACCAGTCCCTCTGCAACTCACTGAAGGACAAGAACGTCCCCGAGCGCGATCGCCGCCCCGATCTCGTCGACTACCTCGCCCTCGAGGCCATCGTCGCCGTCAACTATGACGGCGAGTACAACAAGGTCCTGAAGGACCTCTTCATCCGCTGCCACACCGCCGCCTGGGTCGACAAGGCGATTCTCGCAGCCAACCACGAGTGGTACCGTGACGGCCTCTCTGATGCCCGCAAGTTCGTCAAGACCCTCATCAACAAGGTTGACTCTCAGCTCCTCGAGATTATTCTCGACGACATCGAGAATACCTACTTTCGTCAGACCCTCAACGACCACTCCCTCTACAAGAAGATTCTCGAGAAGCTCAAGAACAACCGTGACCTCAGCCAGCGCGACGTTCTCACCGCTGTCGCTCTCAACGGCGGCAAGTACCCGACCGAGGTCTTCCGTCACCTCATTGTCCACCAGAACTCCTCCATGTGCCATTGGGGCAATAACGTCCAGGCTCAGCACGCCCTCTATGAGGACGACGAGTTCCAGGACACTCGCGCTCAGAACACCATTGTCGGCGACACCATGGCCAACCTCGAGTCTTTCGCCGATGCTATGCAGAATAGAGAGAAGAGCAATGAGATCCGCAAGAAGGTCCGTGAGCTCAAGGCCATCATGAAGGGAGACATGGGTCTTCTTCGTCACACTCAGGGTGGTCGTATCCAGAAGAATACTGGCGGAGGTGGTGGAAGTGGCAGAGTCGTCATCGGAGGCATTGGCAATGATCTCACTCGCCTCAACAGTCTCGCCGGCATGGGCGGTGTTGCTAGTGCTCGTGCTGGTGATGGTGCTGGAGGTGTCGCTGGTGCCCGTGTTGCTGGTGGTACTGGTGGTACTGGCATGGGTGGTGTTGGTGGTGGAGGTCGCTTGGGTACCGTCGGTGACTTCCAGGGTCAACTCCGTCCTACTCATCAGCGTCAAGTGTCTGCCACCTCCTCCTCCGGCGGTCTCTTTGTCAGCCAAGACGGAATCACCCCCGGACGTTCCGACACAGGCCAGAGCCAGATGCAGAGCGATGGCAGCCCCATTGTCAATGGCGGTGGTATGGTCGGCTTGGGCGGTGCTCGCCTTAACATTAAGAGAGAGGCCTCCAGCCCCGGCTCCGACTCTCGGATCCCCGACCCCTTTGGCCCTTCTTACTAGGGGGCTTCTTTAGTGTATACTTACTGCGCTTTCTGAGATTGGAGGGGGCTAGGGATGGGGACGATTGATGCCTTTTGCTTTCCTCTTGGATGAGAAGAGAAGAGCCGTGTATTTCTAAACTAGGGCAAGGATTAGTGGAACAAAAAGAATCTGGCTTTCCCTTCAACTTGCGCATTATTCATCTCAGTATGGTGCCAAGGTCAATTACTAACACAATATCATGCTTGATCAGAAGCAAAGATGGTGTGCTCTTTGTTGCTAGACAAGCCTTTGTCTTTAGACCCCTGTGGGATCGTAGATCCAACTCCTGAGTCATACTGTCTTCGGTATTGCTCCCTCAAAAGCTTTTTGATGCGAATCTTGCAACGTCTTTGAACGCCTTCATGCCGAGGGGTTTTGCTCTTGCCAGAAGACTTTATGGTTGGGTTCGTGCAGTCCCACTCGGATTTGCCTTTCGCTCAGCTCGGGCCGGTCCGCTGACTTTGTTATGGTAACCGTTCTCAATGCTGAGTGACTGGATGACCAGCCAACCTAGTCGACCTCGAACTCTGTTGTTGTAAACGTATGACTACAGGCAATCGAGCCACGAAATTTGGTTTCTATCGTTGTGAATGGCCAAAATGTTGCTGAGACATCGGAGTTCGGGAAATCCGAAGATTCTGAGCGAAATAATTGCCGGATGGGAGTCTCTTACTTACTTCAGAGGCCAACAGATGGAGTTGGAATAGTCTTCGATTCCTAGAGATGGTTCAGTCCAGTACTAAGATGTAAGAAATCGGGGGAACCACTCCATTGTCGACTGAACGGGGATCTGGGTACCGCGAGAGAGTCGAAATCTTGATGAAGCAAACTCATAAGCTGGGGTACACACGGCCGGCGTCCCTGTAGATTCATACAGATTATAATTATTTAGACAAGTACCCAGACATCAATATACCAAGTCGTTAATGATTCTCGCTCCCGGACCTCCTTCAAACAGCCTCCCCTGGCTCCCTAGGATTGCTCGTAACCACAAACTCCGTCTTCTTGACAATAACCGGCGCATCAAGATGATAATCGGCACTGCCGTCATCCGACCCCTTTCCTATCCTTGAACTCTGAACCCCAATATCCCGATCGCTGTGATCGATCCCGCTGCCGAGCGGCTGCATACCGCTCATCCCCGGACGCCAGCTCTGCAGCGCGTACCTGCTTCCGACATTGCCGCTGTGTCCCGTCTTTCCGTAGCCGCTCGCACCACCGTATTTGTTGCTTCGACTCCCGGACCTGCTCTTTTCGTTGAAGTATTTGACGAGGGGCGCGAGGGTGGGGATGCAGCAGACTATGATGCCGAGGTTGTTTTCGATCGCGGACCACATGATGAGGGGCGAGGAGTCGAGGTAATTCGCGAGGGCGTGGACGGTTTGGATTCGGATGATTTGAATGACGGTGATGAAGGCGCCGAGGCCGAAGAGTCCGAGAAGGACGAACTTTTTGCGCTTTTGGATCTTGGAGGAGGCGAGGACGGGGAAGGGAAGGAACATGCTGGGGAGGGAATTGTGAGCTGATGTTTTGGAACGTGTTCACCGAGGAGAACTTACACAATAACGTCAAACGCAATCGTAAGAGACGCCATGCTGGTGTAGAAGGGAACTCCCGGAATGCAAGAACCGTTTGTGATTGTTGGGTCCCATTGCTTCGCGATCTGTTCTTTGTCAATGTCTGGTTTGTACTAGAATAGGAGATGGGAAGAACCTACAGGCGTGCACAGATTTATCTGCACGAGCAAGAAGGCAAGGTGGTACGCAACACAGAGACCAATAGTGACGAAGGTTGCCCATCTGTAGGGACCCTTCGGGATGAAGCGGAGATATGAGAGAAGCAAGCTGATCTTGAAGCCGAGAATACTGCTGATGTAGCTAGATTGGATGTTAGTTATGATGCCTGATTAGTCTTTTGGAAATCAAACTCACTTACAAAGGAGCGCCGGCATATTGTAGCAGACCAAAGTTGTAGAGATTCTCCAGAGGCATGTCTTCCAACTTCTCGAGACCAAGGCCCCATTTCGTTTCTTGAGTGATTGTTAGACGTCAGACGAGATGGAAAGAGCCAGAGAACAACGTACGAATAGTGCTGACGATTGTGAAACCACAAGCGGCAAACCACGTAACAAAGATGATCCAGTCATCTAGACAAGTCAGTATGCTGTACAAGAGCCCAGGTACCCTATATGTAAACCTACCTGAACCAGCGGCCTTGAGCATGATCACACGGACATATAACCGCAACATCATGATGATCAGTGACAGCGCGGTAAACACCAACGCGATAGCCGTGATCTGGGGCCCCGTGGACGGCGTCCCCGGCGGGGTGTTGTATGTCCACGATTCACTCATCGTAGGCTAGACTGTTGCGAATAACCTCAACTCCTTCGAAACCCGTTCGATGGAGTTCGAGCCCAGACAGACGTAAGGCTGATGGTCTGCGGGTAGACGTTGTTCGACGGGAAGTGGTGAGACGGGATGGACGTTGCCGATCTAACCGACGAGCCTAGGTAGGAGACTAGGAGGAAAGGGCACGAGTGGACAGAGGTGGCGGAGCCGACTGGCTTTAGACCGCTTTATCTGGACAGGAGCTCGTCGTTCATAACATCATTAGACCAGGCCTTTCAGCTAGTAACGTTCGTGCCAAGAAGGGAGGGGGAAGAGTGGAGGGACTACCAATATACAAATAATGTGCTCTTGCTCTCAGGCTTCTCTCCCTTTTCACATTGACTTTCCCACATAGACACAACCTTATGGATTGGGTATCCTGTTCCGGCACCGAGCATCTGGGCCAGAAGGCATCCCCTGTCGGAGCAGGTAAAAGATATCACACTTGAAGTAACGGCCAAGCCGGGCTGCAAGCACGAACTTTGTGAGACCTTCTAGGCCGGATGTGTGAGGTGTGGAGGGCTTGTCCCTCGGATCGTCTACAAGGTAACGTCCCCCCCTTGCCTCGTGCACTGCACGTTTGCGAGAAGCTCGGGGGAGCCACGAGGAAGATAGGAACGCATACGGGGTCAAACTCCAAACGAGGAGCATTGAAGCAGAGCTTCTTTTCCCCCACCGGAAAGTGTGCCGATGTTGCATTTCAGGAGTGCTTTCTGGAGACGAACGTACCCATGCCTGCATCTTGCAAAACGCATCGAGTTTGCGACCAGTCACCTCGAATTTCGCGAACTGAGCCACCGGCCGGAGATGCGTCTGGGCTTCCTCGCCAGACCTGGGATTCTAGAAGAGACGTGGCGTCGGCGGCCCCCGTCCCCTGCTGGTTGCCCCCCCTTGTTGGACGCATATACGGAGTACTGTAGTACACGCACGCTATGCACGCGTACGGGCATTGCACGCGGCACTAATTAGCGCAGATCCAGGGATGATGGTCTTTCATAAGAGAACAAGTTGTTGGTTCCCCTGGCAGTCAGCCAGATTTCGTAAAATCCGTATTGTGGGAACCGCGTCCGCTGCCCGTTTGTTATTATTAGTATGGAAGTTGAATCCCGAGCACGGAACCCATCCGAGGAAGAGAAATGAGCCGCAGTCTAAGCCAAACCCGAGGAGAGGTCCTTTATGTCACATGGCGTTACCGCGTATGATATATCACATTGGGGGCTAAAATGCCACAGTGGCAGAGGTGACAGCTGAAAGTTTTGACAACTTGGCGGGCTAGCTTCAACTCGACTTTTACGCAATTATCAAAATTCATGGACCATGGAGTGGACCATGCAACCAGAATGTGGCCAGACTTGGTCCGTGTCGCGATGACAAGTCAGTGGTGAATGTGACATGCGAGGATATCCCTGTCCGAGACACGCCGGTTCGAGCAATTTGCCATGTGCGGTAAAGCTCTGAACTCTGGTATCGACATGCTATCCTTATAAAACCAGGTTGTCTCATCAAGAAAAGGTTTCTCCCTGAAGCAAACTTTTTTCCACGTATCCGTCGTGTTTGCAATTTACTGCTAGCTACTTATGCGCTGGATGGCCCTGAAGCGTTCAATTGACCAAGAAATCTTCTGTTATCAAGCCAAAACTTTGTCAAGATGAAGTCGACTGGGACTTTGAGAGTTCAAGTTGCTGTGCCACATTCCGACCACGTGGGTCTGATATGCCGACTTGGCCTGCAGAGTGTGCCCTGCAAACCCATGCAAGTTGTAACCATGTCTTCAACCACCCCCACCGATAAGAAAGAAGTTCCAGAAGTCCTCGGCGCCATCCCGCTTTTCAGGTGAGCGTATGTGCTCGAGCGCGCTGCGGCACAGCAAGCAACAATTATTCGTGACTGGATTTCCGAAGAACATGCTCCAAAGTCTCCAACCCCAAACTCCCCGGAACCATATCCGTACCCAGCCGGCCAGCCTTCTCGGGCATCTGCGGAGACGAAGAAATTTTGGCTTTGGAACGTCCATGGGAACTGGAGAATGATCAGGAGAGGGAGGCGATCCATCATCCGGGCACGAGGAGGGAGCCACCGAAAAAAGAAAAGGGTCCTCTTCGTGACTCGGACAGACTGATACCGAACAACTTATCACGCCCTACGGAATCTTCCTTTCGGATCCGAATTTCCCTATTGCCAAGGAACGATACCAAGGGAGCAGCCACAGATGCCACACACACCAATTCGGAGGGAGAAAAAACGTTGATCGGGACGGGACCCGAGTGTCTGTGCTGTCCGTCCGCCGGCGTCGTGGTGGCTGACTGTTTGTTTTGCTGCCCGCTTGTATGAGGCACTTTAATGCCGACTTTGCACAACGGCCGCCAATCCCTTTTCAATAGTGTTTCCTAGCACCGTTGATCTCAACTACTGGATGGACCTTATGTATTGAGAACGTCACAGTAACGTTGATCCTATGGTAGCCACATGATGTCACTCAGCTGCATTGGAGTTTGGATGAACGTTGTGGTTCATCGACACCACTGTCTCATTCTTGAGTTCGTGAGACCCGAGGGGTGGGAGACCCTTGGACGAGATTCGGGGGCCCGACCAGTATTTGCAGACAATGTCGCAATCAGCCAAAGATTCGCACCCTGCTCTCCGATCGAGCCTGAACCACTTATCAAGATATTCATCAGACGTTACAGCGGTCCAACTCCCAACTCCATGGACAGTTTGGCCAGCCCCTTGTTCCTCTATACGTTGCCTCGTACGATGCGGTTGCTACCGAATCTTGGAGGAACCGAGGAACTTCATCTCATCGGCATTTGGCGAGTTCAGGTTAGACCGCCGCGAGGCCCCTGCAGTTGACCCCCCTTGAAAGTCTGAAGGATGCGTGGGTCTGCTTGATCGATCCTCTTTTCTTACCAAGGGTCTGGTGGCGAGCCCCCAATCGGGCCGGGGTTCGATAGACTTTGCTGAAGAATCCCCGCAGCTTCAATTTCCGGTCCAGGTTGCGCCCGACTATTGAAGATTCCTCAAAAACGCCGAGGAGAAGTCCGGGATATTGTCCAGTAAACACCAGTTGGACCGTAGTTTAGTAACCAGCAACCACTTGCTACGAGATCCCGAGCCGAACCGCACCAACGATAGGTTGGCCATGGATGTAAGCATCAACAACATCGTCATTCTTGCGTCTACAGTAGCACCATCTCAACAGCCGGTTTCTGCCCATCGTCTCAGAGCGTAAGCGAACTGCACTCTGCAAGGAACGATGCGTGATTCTGCAGCAGTTTGGGGTTGCTGAGCAACTTGAGCGAGGTATTCGCCAGGGTGCTGCCGGGAGCACTGCACCCTTTGATCTGCGAGCCACTCTTAATTACCCGCTGAACAAGACTTTGGAAGAGCGAACAACCTGACCGCGTGGAGCCCGGCCGTGCAAGCCTGACCCGGCCTTGGCCAGGTGGTGGAAGACGACGGACCGCGGAACGCTCGTGGCCCGGATCTTCATCGCCTTGTGAAGTCGTGGGAGCCGGGGTCGAGAGAGCAGGCAGGCCGCCACAAGCGACAACGAGAAGTTGAATGGAGCTTCAAGCGGAGATAGGTATCAGGATGTCCGGTGTGAGTGTCGAGCATCCGTACGCTGTCCGCTCTCTCGCACTCCAGACTGTCGACCGTCCTGGCCACTAGTGGCCGGCATCCCTGGTGTCCGGCCGATATCTAGGACGATATCGACCTCGTCTCCCGCTCTACAGCCCGCAACGCTTTACCGCCCCTGGCCAAGGATGGCAGGGGAACAAGAGGGAACCAGCCACAAACGGCACTGCATGAGAATCGACCCTAGGGCCTTCTTCCCGTTATTGTTCCCTTCTCGAACGATAGCAAGACGGATTCATCAGCAACAGGTGAGAAATGCGGCAAACTTCCACTAGTTTGAGGGGGCGAAGTCCGCCTTCTATAGGACCCTAAATCTCGGTCAAAACCCCAGTCGGGAAGCGTCCTCCCTGTCGAGATGGACTCTCCAAACTCCCATGCCGTGGTCCCGGAGGTCGGGTAGGCCACTTCCTGCAGCATACTAGAAGTGATGCTCATGGCCACCCGAAGGAAAAACTTTCTTTTGATGAAATGGTCCAGCGGCATTTCCCTCTCTTTTCCCTCTCCCCCGCCTCTCCCTCAGCCGTCGATCTTTGTCTCACATTGCGCTGCCTTTGACTTTGCCTTTCCAACCCAGGTCAAGTCAAAGTAGTCCAAGATGAAGAGCTTTGTCCTCCAAGCGGCCCTCGCCGGTGCGGCGCTCGCTGCTCCGAACCACCGTATCGGCACCGCCTTTGTTGAGCGCGCCGTCGGTGACTGCAAGTGTTTCCCCGGTGACTCTTGCTGGCCTGCAACGGCACAGTGGGATGCCCTCAACACCACTGTCGGCGGCAACCTGATCGCGACTGTTCCTCTTGGCGCGCCATGCCACGACCCCGTCTACGATGCTGCCACCTGCGCAACTCTGCAGAGCGAATGGCAGGATGCGGAGATCCAGTAAGTGTCGATCCCAACTTATTGATATTGACGACATCAAGTGACTAACGATGATGTAGCATGGGATCCTCTTCCTCCATTATGGCTCCCTTCTTCGCCAACCAGAGCTGCGACCCCTTTCAGCCGCAGTCTCGTGCCTGTGTTCTGGGTAACTACGTCGTCTACGCCGTCGACGCCAAGACCCCCGAGCACATCGCGGCCACCATCTCCTTCGCCGCTGAGAACAACATCCGCTTCATTATCCGTAACACCGGCCATGACTACCTTGGTCGCTCTACCGGCGCCGGAGCCCTCTCCGTCTGGACTCACCACCTGACCAGCACCGAGGTTGTTGACTGGAGCACCGCCACCTACTCCGGCAAGGCCATGAAGGTCGGTGCCGGTACCCAGGGCTTCGATGTTATGGAGGCTGCCCACACCGCTGGCCTTGCTGTTGTTGGTGGCGAGTGCCCTACCGTTGGTATTGCTGGAGGTTACACTCAGGGTGGTGGCCACAGCGCTTTGTCTACCTCCTTCGGTCTCAGTGCTGATAACGTTCTGGAGTGGGAGGTTGTCATCGCCAACGGTACTCTCTTGACTGCTTCTCAGACCGAGAATGCTGATCTCTACTGGGCTCTCTCCGGTGGTGGCCCCGGTAACTGGGGTGTTGTCACCTCCATGACCGTCAAGGCTCACCCCGATGCCAAGGTCGGTGGTGCCACCCTCGTCATGATGGCTGCCGACAACGACAACACTGCCTTCTTCAACGCCATCGACGCCTTCCACGAGGAGCTTGCCGGTATGATCGACGGCGGCTCCATGGTCGTCTACTACTTCGCCTCCGCTTTCTTCCAGATCGCCCCCCTCAACGCGTTCAACAAGACCGCCGACGAGGTCAAGACCCTGCTCGCCCCCTTCGTCGCCCGTCTCGACGCCCTTAACATGAACTACACCACCACCTACACCGAGTACGAGAGCTACTACAACCACTACGACAAGTACTTCGGTCCCCTGCCCATCGGCAACATCCAGGTCGGCATCGCCCAGTACGGAGGCCGCCTCATCCCCCGCGACAACATCACCAACATCGGCTCCTTCTCCCGCAGCGTCGCCGAGAAGGGCGCCACCTTCATCGGAGTTGGTACCGACGTTGGCAAGTTCGGCACCAAGGAGACCAACTCCGTCACCCCCGCCTGGCGCAACGCCCTCGTCCACGCCACCCTGACCACCGTCTGGAACTTCACCGCCCCCTGGGAGGAGATGATTGCGAACCAGGACCTCATGACCAACGTCATCATGAAGGAGATCGAGGCTCTCACCCCCACTGGCGGCGCGTACATGAACGAGGCCGACTTCCAGCAGCCCAACTTCCAGACCGAGTTCTTTGGCAGCAACTACAACTCCCTGTTGTGCCTGAAGCAGAAGTGGGACCCTGAAGGTTTCTTCTACGTTCGCAATGCCGTTGGCAGCGAGTCGTGGACTGTTTCTGACAGTGGAAGAATGTGCCGTGTTTAAGTCGTAGAAAATACCCCATAGTAATTGAAAATCACCTTCGTTTTTTGTCAAGGTTTTGCCTCGATGTCACAAGTGATCACACGAAATAATGAGCCAAGCCTCACATTTGAGTCATCGACGTTCTACGTGAAGGATTTTGCCATAAGTTGGTTACATGCAGGTACTCCTTCATCACTTGAATATTGACACGTCGGACTCGCCGTGATTGAGATTGCTGAGTCTCATGTCGTAAATGTTTAGAATAAGTTGCTTCCTGCGGAGTACTCGTGCAATTTTGGTTATATACTAGCAAAATAGGATCGATCTATCTACAGAGAAGGGTACATATGTTCAGGTCCATCCTTTCATTGCCTCTGATGACATTCAGGGGACCGGATTTGCTGATAGAGTCAGCTGGTAAGAGCCTCTCCCAAACTCAGAAGAGCTCAAACGCGAACGCTGTGGAGTTGGTAGGCGGCTCGACGAGGATCGTAAGCTGTAGAATGAAGTATTAGTATTGCTGTCACGTATGCAAACTGCTATTCAGGGATACGAATGACTCACGCTGTCGGAAGCGGATGAAAGGCTGGTAACACCCAAATCAACTGGCTCCCCAACCTCAACCTCGGTGCCAGCCCAGACAAAACGAAGAGTACGGACTTGGACAGAACCGTCGCTGGGGAGACCAAGTTTGCTGAGTCCAGAAATCTTGATCTCGTAATTCTTCTGAACGGTCCTGGTTCCCGCGAGGATCTTGACGCTATTATTCTCAACAGTAGCAAAGACATCAAACGTCCGGTCAGCCGAGGCGGTGGTTGCGACTCGCTCGCCGGTTATCTAAGCGTAGTACTTGTACACATGCCATTCTCCGTTGGGCTTGCACGTTCCCCTGGCGTCCTTGAAGAGAGGGTCGGCCATGTAGTCGTGCAAGTCGGAGCCACTACCCCAGTTGGCGCGAAGACCGCGGAGGTTGTGGCGTTCAAGCTGGGCGAGGTAGAAAACTCCGTTGGCTGGGTTCTGCTCGGATGGCCAGGCGTACTCGTTCAGGTCGATTGGTCGATCTGGGAGGTTGTAGGTACTCTGGAGAGACTTGAAGTCGGGAACGACTCTATCGGGTTCACGTTGCCAGTCGCCGATCTGATGCCAGGAGTAGATGTCGGTAATGGCGTCGTTGGCTGCCACGGCGGACATCCAAGCTTTCCAATTGTCCAAGTCGACAGCTGGGGCGTTGGCGGCAGATGGTCCGCTGATTAAAGTGTCTGGAAGTTCGGCCCTGCAGTTATGTTAGTTGACATCATCATGATGGACTCTAAAAGACTGTCTGACCTGATGATCTTGTGAGCCCGAACATAGTAGTCTAGGTACTGATCCCACGATCGAGCCCAGAAGATGTCAAGATCAGGCTCATTCCAGATGTCAAAGACGAGCCTGTGGAGCATGTTGTTCGACTTGATATCATCGACAAGACGGTGAAGGAAAACCTCGGTCTCTGTCCAGTTACCGTTGTCACCGGGGAAGGTCGAGCCTCCCGTCTGACCGCCGTCGGCACCCCAGAGGTCATTGGGCAAGAGGATGAAGTCGGCTCCGTACTTGCGTGTGGTTCGGTAGTTGGAGAGGGCCGAGTCGAAGCGCTGCTGATATCCGTCGAGTCCGCCGATCCAACCGGGGGCAAGAATCTGGGCACCCCCGGCACGGCTGGCGTGGAACTTGATGTCCGTGACAAAGGAGTCGGGGATTGAGGTGTCAATGTCTCTTCCGTTATCGGGGAATCCGTAGGTGAAGCCGGAACCCAGGAACTTGGCCGGGCCACTGGGGTTCGCAATATCAACAGTTGCTGTTCCAGTCGAGGACTGTCTTACTGCCAGACCATTAACATGGCCAGCTGTAAGAGCTGCAATGGCAGAGAAAGCCTTGAGAAGAGACATGTCGATGATGGAAGGATTGAATGGTATCGTGTCAAGGTCAATTGACTGCTGACTGCATGCATTCAATCATCTCTCCATCTACGAGACATCCTACTATTATACTCCCATCGCGATACTTCGTCGCAATGTGAAGCCATTGTGAGTATGAGCCACTCCACCGGAGTAAACGTCTCGACAGACGTTTGCGCACGGCAGATCGGCGCATCTTAGGCCATGTTTGACGCTATCCTTCATTTCCCCGCATGCCAAGGTGAAGCTGCAAGAGCTCGTTCACAATTTGCGGGGAAGAGCGGATGAGAAAATCCACTATCAACACGACGTTGACCCTCCTCCACCGGGCATTGCGACACTGCATCGTGGAAGAGAGAAAGCCCAGCCCGGAAGACGCGTCGCGCTCAAAGTCCGAAGCTTCACTTGCCGCCATCAAGAATGAAGATCTTCATTTACCGCAGAGATCTGGGTGAGTACGGAGTTCTATGAAGCATGTGGTTTGGAAACCGGTTCTGGGATATCTCAACTCATCATCCGAAGCCCGACGCGTCGTAGTGCGGTGAATACGTGATGGAGCCCAATCTGATGGTGATCGACGAGAAGCCTCATCACGATGGCAATACTAGGTGAAGTTGATGGCTCAAGTGTTTTGACCCGGTCACGTAATTGCAGCGCAGCGCCGAGTTACAACTAGTTGATGAACTGAAGTATTGTGTTCATCACTACAAGACAATCTGACCTCATCTCAGATGGTTGACATTGATAAAGAACAAGGCATGGACTCTTAAGGAGAGAGGCGATGGTAACGACGTATTTCTTGACTAATTCCGATAGTAATAAAGGCTCTTCATGATAGCACAACGCGAACTGCCCTGATTTAATCAAAGCAACGAAATAAGTGGTCAGTCCCCGAACTCAGCCTTCTTTAGCCAGAACTTCGTCGCCGCTAGCATATGCATAGACCTTGTAAGAGGCAAACTTGGATGCCCTGATACGCCTTGCAAAGAGAATATCCAACTCCTCAAACGTCCTGTCCTTTGTCTCAGGGAGGCGGAAGAAAGTCCAAATGAAGAAGACAAAGGCGCAACCCCCCCAGAAGAATCCCGTCTTTCCTCTCCAGTCACCGGCTGTTGGGTTGAGCATGTAGGGGTTGATGACATTGCAGACGATCTGAGCAATATAGTAGGCGATCCGACTGAGGCAAACGCTCTTGTTGCGGAGGCGAGTCGAGGAAACTTCGGAGATGATGGCGTAATAAATGGGACCGACGGTGAGATAGTAGACACCTAGCCAGCCCAGCATCATGCCAGCCTGAGCGTAGTTTGCCCCATCTGAGTTAGGGGCACCGGCGCTGATTGAGCCCACGACGACGAGGATCAAAGCCAATCCTCCGAGGCCCCATAGATATAGCGTGCGACGACCGAAGCGGCCAAGCAGACCCCATGATACGATCGTACCGACAGAGGCAATCCCAAGACCACCGGCTGACATGCGGAAGGAGATCGATTCCGGCAAGCCAGCTTGGACGAAGAAGTAGGTAGGAGTACCGCCCATGGCAGAGCCACAGAATGGCTGTGCGGCAAACGCCATGCATGCGATCTCGGTTCTTCGGAGGTCAATGCCGCGGAAGCAATCGAGATAGGAGGTTCCTTCGTCCATCTGCTGCTCAATCTCGTTGGTATGAATCATCATGGCGACTTTCTGCTTCGATTTGACAGCTTCGGATGCGGATCCGAGACGGAGAAAAGACTTTTCGGCTTGCTCATAGTCGCCGAGGCGGACGAAGTGCCAAGGAGACTCGGGCGCGAACCACAAGATCGCAAAAAGCGGAAGCGGCCAGACCCATTGTATCGCGAATGGCACACGGTAGGACCACTGGTTGCTGCCATCGGAGAAGCCTGCCTGAACGCCTGCTGATATCAGCTGGCCGAGGGCCCAGCAGAGGTTGACGAAGACAGTGAGGTAGCCGCGCAGTGCCATCGGGCAGACTTCGGAGGCGTAAGCTGGGGCCGTTGTCGCGAAGACGCCCCAGGGAATGCCGCAGAGGAATTGGCTGACGAGGAGGACGGGGAGATTCGGCGAGAAGAAAGAGATGAAGATAAAGCCGACGATGCTAGCCAGAGACGCGAGAAGAACCTTTCGGTATCCGAAGCGATGGGTAAAGTATCCGTTTGCGAAAGCGCCGGTAATTGTACCGACACTGACTGCGTTGCTCAAGCCATTCTGCCAGGATGCCGTAATCTCGTAGGTGCCCTTGCTGGGAAGGTATTCACCGTAGTGTCTCTTGAAAGCAGGCTGGGCAAAGAAGGAGGAGATGAGCACGATATCGTAGCCTTCCATGATGATGGCGGCGGAGACGAGGACAGACCACAGGGCGGCCTTGGGATAGCGGCGGATAGCCTCCATGAAACCCAGCTTGTGCTCGTCATCTGTGGCCTGCTTGGCCATTGCCAAGTCTTTGATAGCATAGTCTCCGGTGGGAGCATGTTCGAGCTGGCCGATCTCGAGCGGCTCGTCTTTGGTGGTGGCCATTGTGCCGGCTATTGGGTGACTTGACTCGGGGACCGAAGATAAAATGGTAGACTTCGAATTTGTCACAGCGTAAGCAGCAGCGCCGTCGTGAAGATGATCGACAAGCGAGGTTCGGAATTGGTGGAGAATCTAGACATGATATAGAGACGCATGTAACGCCAGAAGAATGCGTCTCCGTTCACTGTCAGCTCCGTAGGGACGGTATCCCACGGCGTGGAACGCACGTTGTCCCCGCATGTTGTCAGTCGAAGATCCGGGGTAACATGCGGAGAAAGAGTTTGTGGTAATTAGCCTTCCGGCACAAAGAAAGTCGTCGTGCCATCTGATGGCTTGTTAGGGTAGTTGCCTTCCCCCACCGGAGTTTTCTAACTTCTCACTACAATAACCACCCGGATCCATGGCTATGCCGGGCTGACCAGTTCCGGTGGAGAGTCCTTCGCCTGCTCTCGAGGAGGGATAACCTAGTCCGAGGTGGACTGAATGAGCGAGTCTAGGAGATCGGCGTATGTTCGTTCCACTCCCCAGACCGAGTGCCCCCTGACATTCTCGCCTATCCCTCCGCTCCCGACACTATTCGCTGGGTCTCCGTTCTGCTCCGGTCTCCCCTTGAGCATCTCGATGCCTTCCTTGAGAATCTTCCGAGGGGCGCCGTCATTGCAGATATTACCCACCTTGGCCATGTGGCCTGCCATCTTATGCCCTAGCCTGACATAAGTCTGCACCATCTCGTCGTCACATGGCCGGTCGAGGTGGAGGAAGCTGGGCTCCGGATCCTCTTCAACTTCCGCCACCGCTTCCATCGGGCTACCTTGTTGGCCGGAGCCGCCATTGGTTAAATGAGAGCCTGAGTTCTGATGCCGCCTCATGAACAACATCATCGTGCTGTAAGCCCAGACCACCAATGTTGCGGTGAAGATGCCAAAGGACTCGAGAAAGTTGTCTACACTGTAACGACGGATGTGCCAAAGCATTGCGCTGGCATGGACGACAGACAGTCTGGCTTTGTACTGATCACGCAGAGCCCATTGGGCGACGAGAGATCTCGCCTTTTCAACTTTGGAGTTGTCGACGTTACGGGAGGATGCTCGCGCCGAGGCGGCAGCCGCTAAAGTCTGCAAATGGGATATCGGGGCGAGAAGGACGAGACGTGAGAGGTGTAGGTGTAAGATGACGGGATGCTCCCACCCACCGGCTTTGGCGATGATCGCGTTAGCGTTCCAGTGGAAGAGATCGAGAGAATCGCAGGCGCTGTTCCGCCATCTCGATAGGATAGGTAGTGAAGGGGGCCAAGTCTCCTCGATGGTATCGCCGGGACCGCACTTCTGGACGTCGGCCGTCGGCGTCCACGAGTTGAGCCTAATCTGGTTATGGTATAGAGCCTCTTTGGTACGCCTAATGATGGCGTATGTGAGCACCATGGTGCTAAAGTCGCCCAGGTTCGGTGGCAGTCTCTTCTCCATGTACAGCAATTCCATGGCTTCAGGAATGGTCAATAGATGATTATCAATGTGTGAGCTTTGGTGATTCTCTGATTGTATTATGTGGCAGAGTTACACACCTGGTTTAGACTGCTGCTGTCCAAGTTTCTTTGCAGTAGGTTGGTCCCAGATGGAGTCAAGGCAAGGCATGTGGCCTTTCGCATCACCCAGCTTGAGTAAGACATCTTGACCCCTTTCCAAGAATACAACAGCATCCAGAACCTAGAGGAGGTATGTTAGTCTATGAGCCCTATGAGTCACAGTTGGGGGCTTGTACATACCCATATCATGAGACCCGTTCTCAGCCTGGACTCACTGCCCACCCACCTCCTGAGGACATCTGATCCATCCGCTTGGTGCTCTACTTGTGTCAAGTTCTCTCGCTTACCAAGAAGGTCCATCTTTCGGCAGGCATTTATCAAGAAGTGCCTTACTAGGAAGGACAAATCGTAGCTATCGCCGGAAACACCGTTGTGCAGGTTCTGTATCAACCATAGAATTGACGTTTGCGCAATGACTAGACCTATTGAATCTTCCGCAGGGCTTGCCAGGGATACTTGAGAGGACCCTAACACATCATCCAGAGCGCCTGTTGAGATGTAAAACCGTACAGCGCTTTCCAAGAGTTGAAGAAATAAGTCTCTGAAACGGAGGTTGGTCTCGCCTCGAGAGTAGACCGAGCCAACTGCACAGACGGCCAAAAGAAGAGGCCAACTCGCTGGCTCATGGTAGAAGTCGGTCGATTTCTGCGGTAAGGTATAAGCGGGGTGGAAATGTTGAAAATATAACCGGAAATAAACTCGAGCATGGGCTAGTGATGGGAGCGGTGTCGCGCTGCGGTCCCGAAGAAAAGGTTCAACACTGATGTGGTGTAGAAGGTTATCATAAGCCTGCACGGAGAGATCAAGCCCTGTTCCTTCATCAGCATCCCTGGAGGTGTCTGGAGCTGCTGTGCTGGGAGTAGGAGTGTCGTCATCCGGCCGCACTGAGTTATCCAAAACCAGACTCCTCTGTGACGGACGACCTTTGAAGGGTGCTCTAGATGGAGCACCATCAACATAGTAAGTCGCTGCGGTAGATGATGATTCTATGGATCCCGTTGTGCTCCCATTTGGTCTGCTCCTGGGCGTTGTTCCTGGTGGATTGAATCGCTGTACCGACGCTGGTGGAAGTGCGGCATTCGGAGTTTGGACTGGCTGACTGTTGAGGAGGTTCAGCCATGGCCCTTGACGTACGGCTTCATAGGCATTCATGACGGTCTGCACGCCGTCCAGGTTGGCTGCAAAAGCCTCTCTCTCGTTGACAGAAGACATGATACCCCAATCAAAATCTGCGTAGTACTGAGGAGAGAGCCAATTGATGGCCGAAATACCAGCAGATTGCTCGGGAAACTCCTCATTGTGAATGAAGTTGTCCATAGGATTCATGCTATACTCTACTTCGCAGGTGTTCACACGGAAGTTTTGATCGTTGCCTCCTGTAACTTACGAAAGAGGCCACGACGTTTCGACTGCGCGCCTCTCTGGCGCATGATCCGGGGTTGGGAACGGCATTTCAGTCATTCCTGAAGGTTGTGGAACCTGCACAGGGTCGGAATAGTCCATATGTCCCTGATGGCTTTCATGTCCTTCTTCTGGCGCAGCACTCTCATCCGGAGACCGGAATGCTGAACGAGTAGCTCGTCGGCGGGCGACGGGGTATTTGCACTCGAAACCTTTACCCGTACAGTGACGACAGGGGCTCCCTTTTGAGCATCGTGAATGGCTTACAGCGCATGCCTGACAGGCCCTAGAAGATGCCACGGGCCGCCGTGACTCGCTTGCAACTTCATCATGAGAGGCCGCGTGTCGAGTGAGAACATCCCTATGGAAGCATCAGTACATGAGATCAATAAGTCAGTTATGAGAACGTACAATCGAGAGAAGCTCTTGCCGCATGCTGAGCATGAGAAAGGCTTTTCTCTGGTGTGCGACCGCTTGTGCCGAGTGAGATGCTCCTGGCGTCCAAAAGTGCTTCCACAGTAGTCGCATTTGAACACCGGGACATCAGCGGTTGGATTCGCGACGGCGATGACGTCCTCACTCTCGGACGCGGAGTCCGTCCGTTCGTTGCTGGCCTGTTCTCTCTGAGCCATTATGCTGTCATCTGGCTCACGAAGCAGCGTCTTGTTCAACAAATGAGACCTCCATGCTGGATCTCTGAAAGAGATGTGAAGAGAAGAGGAATGAGCATCGGGGGACCTGCTGGTTAGTCTCGTATTATTTGAAAACAGGGCGGGGAGCTTGCACTAAAGGCAATTGAACTCAGTGGCGTGTTTGCCCCGAGAAACACGAGATGAGATGAGATTCGGGGCGACTAGCCGCACGCGGGGTAAGAACACATTCATTTGAGCGGCACATGACCCCTGTAACTTATGCCGTTTCTGTCACTATTCCGCTGTAACTCGCCAAAAGCCAAGAGAGTGCAGTCACACACGATAGCCCAGAAGAGGTGAATAGCAACTACCTGATGTGAGTTCTGGTAACACTTCCCAGCGTCCCGACGGTTCAACAAGAAACAACTATCCTACTCTGACTTCTGCAGAATCACTTCTGCCTTTGACTTTCTCACAAACACTGGCATCCAGTCCAGAGGGCACTCAATCTCAATCTCCTGCCCGCCCTCAAAGCCCTGCTCCTCAGAGCCCTCACGAGGAAGAGTTGTCCATCGCTCTTCACCAACCAGTTTCGGGAGATATACTTTTGCCTTTGTGATGCCAGGATTAACAACAGGGCAGCAAAGATAGGCATCGCCATACATGTACTGCTCAGCCCCAAGCTGCCAACACCTCTCATCTCCCGGGAACTCGTAAAACAGCGATCGGATCACAGGTGACCCGCGCTCATGGGCCTCAGCCATCAGCCGCCGCGTGTAGTCTCTCAATTTCTCACGGATAAAGAGATACTTGCGGCAAATGTCATACACTGCAGGGTCATACGACCAGACCTCGTTGGCCGCCCCGCTGCTCGAAGCCAGGTTCCCCGGCTTTGGTTCTCGGTCTTCATGCAGTCTCATCACAGGGCAGAACGCGCCCCATTGGAACCATCGCACAAAGAGCTCACGGAAGGCTTCGTCATTAGGGTTGCCGCCGTGGAAACCTCCAATGTCGGTCGTCCACCAAGGCAATCCCGTGATGCCCATGTTCAGTCCGGCTGCCAGCTGGTTGCGGAAGCTGCCCCACGAGGAAGCAATGTCGCCGCTCCAGATAAGCGCGCCGTACTTTTGGCTGCCGGCCCACGCGCAGCGGAGCAAGTTGACGATGTTCTTCTGGCCAGCCTCCTTCTGGCCTTCGAAAAACGTTCGGGCGTACTCTTTGGGATAGATATTGCCAACAGATAGGTTCGGGCCCAGGAAGTAGCGGTAGTTTTCAAAGTCGTAGACGGAATACTCCGGCTCGGCTTGGTCGAGCCAAAACGTCTCGATGCCCTTGGAGAAGTAGTTTTGTTTATCCTTGTTCCAGACATACTCCCGAGCACCTGGGTTAGTGGGATCGTAGTATACGGTAGAACCTTCGAACTCGAAATTGGTTCGAACACCCCTTTCGGTGCGGACTAGGAAGCCGTGCTCAAGCATCTCCTGGAAGTTGGACGATCTCTGATCCACTGTCGGCCAGATCGAGACCATGAGCTCGATATTCCACTCACGAAGCTGCTGAATCATGGCATCTAGAGTTCGGATTAGTCGCTAGTGGATATAGGGTTGATTAATGAGCTGTTCTTACCTGGATCGGGCCAATACTGAGGGTCGAACTTCCACTCGCCTTGCAATGGCCAGTGAAAGAAGTCGATAACGATCAGATCGAGGGGAAGCTCCCGGCGCCGGTACTCGCGGGCGACTTCTAGAAGCTCCTCCTGAGTCTCGTAACGGAGTTTGCACTGCCAGAAGCCCAACCCATGCTCTGGCATCATGGGAGGTTTGCCAGTCACATTTGCGTAACGCTGCACGATGTCGGCGGGCGTGTCCCCGACCACAACCCAGTAATCCAGGATATTGGTAGAGTACGCCTCAAAGGAGGTCGTATTTTTTCCAAACACAACGCGGCCAATTGAAGGATTGTTCCAAAGAATCCCGTAGCCTAGAGAAGACAACGCAAAAGGAACACTGGCCTGCGAGTTGCGGTGCGCCAGCTCGAGATCGAGCCCCTTGAGGTCCAGGAAGGGCTGCTGATACTGGCCCATTCCAAAGATCTTTTCGTCGGATCGCTGGCTATCGAAGCGAAGTGTGAGATGGTAGTCGCCGCCTCGGAGGGGCTTGAACTCGCGAGCTTCGACCTCGATGGCGCTACATTTCGCATCAAGCAGGTCGCGACGGTTCCGAGCGTACTCTTCGAGGACGACGATGTCATCGGCGTTATAGATGGTAATCTTTCCCCGCTTGCTTACGACTGCCTTGGCCTGTCCGTTGCGTATGGTGGCTGAGCCGTCTTCGGCGAATGAGATGTCCGTTCTGACCTGTTCGGGCTCTTCTTCCAATGCCCATGCCTCGGATGGCATCACATGGGCTTTGGTAGCTCGGACTCGGAAGGCATCAGGGCCCCACGAATGGATCCATACTTGCTCTCCATCAAATTGATAGACCAAGAGGCCATCTTTTTGGTGAATCATGGTGGAGACTGGTCTTCCGATGAGATGGCAGGATTGGAGGTAATTTCACCGTACAACTATGTGTAGCAGCTGATGAGGAATTGCCAGTTGAACAGAGAACACGAAAGCTTCAGAGCAAGTGGCAAGCCAGAGATAAGGACCTCCTCACAAGCTTCGACTTATTGTCCCACCGAGAAACTCCTGGGTGATTTCTCCGCTCCACGGAGTTCACGCCGGCCGCGGCGCCTGATCACCAGGCTACCAGTGACAGGAATAGCCGCCATCATGATGACCCAATTCCTTGAAGGCTCTCCACCGGAAATATCGTCAAGAAAACGGGCCCCGCGGTATTTCTGAAGCAAATGCGGCGGTTTTAGTTAAAAGAATGGCTAGGTTGGCTGGGCTCGATAGTCGTGTTACCCCGCCGGAGCACGGTCAGTTCGAACTCCGGTGGGGAGATGAACCCCACGATCCTCGAGGAAACCAACCTGGCAAACCATAATACCGGTAGAATTCATAAACTTCTGGATAAACAAGAAGCCTCTAGCGTATGTGAGATTTCGATCCGATTCATTGAGCTCCACATCAAACCTGTGGGCCGAGCGTCCTCTGCGGTGCGCGGGCTGATATGGCGTGTGGCTGCCCGATGGCTTCAGTGCTTTGAAGGCTATGTCGCTGGATCTGGCCACAGTTTGAGCGAGACAGACAACTCCATTTTCGGCTGTGAACTGACGTGCTTAAGCGGCAGTGGCATAGTTCAGCGTCCGTGACTAGCTCGCAAACGAGTGGCCTTGGTTCCATATCCATCCTTGATCCTGTCTCCCGAAACAACTCTCAGTGAGGTACTCGCTGAACTCCACCGGGTCTTCCTCTCCGACACCACTGATATCGTACATCATAACTAAGACCGATGTTAGCTCAGAACCATCATCGAGGGTCTTTGCCTCACTCTGCTCGAACTCCGAAAGCGCTTGCGTTATAACTGGGTCTTCGCTGAAGCTTAAGCTAGCCGTGGCATCGTCAACCGCGTCAGCCGCTAGTGTGCATTGCTGTAATGCGTTCTGATCGATGTTGCTGCTTGGAGCTATGGTGGTTATGTTGGTGACTCGGGCAGTGACTTCAATGGCATTCGAGCTACCACTCGTTTCATTGTTTCTTCCATTTTGGTCGGATTCCGTTTGCGGGGGAACATCCAAGTGAAGCATTCTCTCCATCTCCTTGGTCATGACAAGCTTCATGAGTTTCGTGAGAATGTTCAGCCCCTGTTCAGCAACAACAGACTTCGATTTGAGTTGAGAATGCATCTCAATCAACTTTCGAAGACCCATCTTGGAATCATAGGCTTCCCGGCTCAGTGGGTCCAGTCCAGTCATGATGGAGAGCGTAACACCGGCAGTAAAGAAATGCAGCGCGACAAACGATAAGGCGTAGGTGTCAATCACCTCTTTGAAGTGCGGCGTGCACCCGATATTCGCAATCTGCAAGCCAGCGTCTCGGCAACTTCGCACCGAGCTCTGGAGAGGATCATTCTCTTCGATGGAGCGGAAATCTGAGCCCTCGGCCGTGTTGATCTTCTTCATCGCTCTGTAGGCTAGCAAGGGCCTGTGAACTAAAATTCTGGCGTTTTCGTACGCGAGTTTGAGTGCTAGTGCCTGGATGCGGAAAGTGTGCTGATGGTGTTCTGGGCTCAGAGAATGATTGCTGCCCCCTGCCCAGTTCGCCGGTCTTGCATCCTGCTGAAGCTGGTCACCTCCTTTCAAACGCAACTCTTGCGGAAGATGCTCGTGCCATTGACGGATCTGTTGGTCCAGTCTGGTGACGGTATTTATGAGACGTTGAACTAGTGGTCCTTCAGTTCTTGCACCAAGTTCATTGCTGTTGGTCTGCTTCCGGTTTCCGTAGAGCTCCGAAAGTGCTCTTTTCACAATGACCGACAGCTGCGCCATCGATACCTTGTACGAGAGCACGGTAGCTTTTCCAGTGGATTTCCACCTGACAGACTCCCAAGACGCATCTTTGGACCGCAAAGGATATTGTTCGGGTACATCGACGTTGCAATCCTCGTCCACTATGCTTAGGGGAAAACCATACAGCATCGAGCAAAAGGTCTCAATCTCGTAGATGGCCCACCAGCAACGTTTGCGTGTCTCGGCTGCCCTGTGGATTGGGTTGTCAACATCGGGCACCGTGAAAGACTGTTCCTCATCTTTGTATCGTTGATGAAGTTTGAGAGCTTGGGCGATACGCAGCCCGCTTCCGCAAATTGGCCAGGCGAGCTCGGGTTCCCCGTGGTACAGGTAGAAACTTCCCAACAGGATGCACATTTGCACAGCCTCAATGGATCCCAAGGAGACGATGTCGAGGAATCTCACCTTCAACGTTCCCGATATGGTTTCTTGCAATGACTCTGGGTCTACACCAAGTTCAGCGAGTTGAACGTTCTGTTCGGGGCTCGCGTAGCGGAGACTGGTCAAGCAAACAGCAAGCACAAGGCCAAGAAGGCCCGGATTAGCCTTTCTCGGCAGAGCTTCCTGTGATGTAGTTGTATGAAGTTCTTGAACTCGAGCTCGAAACTCGCTTGTAAAGAATATCATCATAAACCAATGGATCTTCTCGAAGTAAATGTTGACGAGCAACGCCATAGGCGCAGTTGGCGGCAGAACGGAAAGAAAGTCTCGCTGGGCTGCACTCATGGCACCATGTTGCCGTGAGATGGATCGGATCCGCTGCTGCGAAAGGGGCCGAGGCAATGACGCGATGGAAGCACCAGCTTCTCTGATGGCTTCGTGCGTTCCTCTTGAGGTCCATCCAGTAGCCGCGAATGCTGAAGTGTCTGCTTCTTCCGGCGTATTGATGTCGTGGTGTTGGAATGCCTTGTTCAGAACCAGAGTCAGACACATGCGAAACAGATATTTATGAGAATACTTACCTCGTCCAGGAAGCTTACTGCAGCCGAGTTTGTCGACCAAGGTCTACTAGACGTGACCTGTTCCGACAGAGCCCGAGGTGCGGGACTAGATTCATCGCGAACCGACTGAAGTTCCGATGGACATGTTGCAGGATCTATGGTCACAAGCATACCGGGAGAGGGACTTTGCTCGGTAACTTTATCCGTTCCGGCTGCTCGACGGTCTCGTTTCGCTAAACGAGATCTGCTTGTGCCCGGCACCCTATCTCCCTTCCGGGTCCGTGACGGGGTGATACTGGGGCCCTGGACCCTCCAGATGCTAGGCGTCTCATTGATGCAGTCCACTCCGGCTCGGAGGCACAGAGTACAGGGACGCTGAGTATCACACTGGACGAGCTTGTTAGATAATGTATTGAATGTTAAACACCGCCGGAACAGAAGGGGGCTGGACGGCAGAGACAACATGCCTTCAATTTCTGTTTTCGACAGCGTTGACATGCGGCTGCAACCTTTCTCCTTGGTCTCTTTGAATCCATGGAAATTTTATCATCCGAAATGTTCATTGATGAAAGTTGGCTTAACTCGATGCACGAAATGCTGTTGACGTGTAGATGTGAGTTGCAGGTTGTCGCTGGCAGAACAAAAAGGTTCCACCGGAATGAAGTTCCCGAGCAGGTTATGCGCTAGGCCATTTACGGTAATACGTTCCGGTCAAGCACTTGATGACCACGCCGTTCCGAATAAGTCGAGGAAGCTTTCCACCTCGCCAAATACAAGCGACCAGCTAAGATGGTTATGTCCTGTCGTACGAGGCTTTTGGGATACTGGGAGTTCGAAGAGAAAATACTGATATTCCAAGTGTGCACTATGCAAGATGTCTCAACGATCTCTTGAGCAGCTGGCCAATATCCCACTCGTCATCTAAAAGTGGCAAGACAACGGAATCGGAAGTTCATCTGATGGGGAACAATTTCGATATGATGCGAGAAATTTTGGGTTCATTATAGTTTAATACAAATGACTCTAAGGTGCAAATTTGTCTACATGAGGTGATAGAAGTTGCATCACTTCCGCAGGACTCAGTAACCTCCCGTCGACGGCCCGCTGATGGGCTTGAACTCCACCTCCGTAGGCTGGTCCGTGATACCACGTGCAACCGCAGCCTCCATAATCGCAACAGTAGCAGTAGCTCCAATCCGGGTAACTCCAAGTGACATGACGTGAAGCAGATCATCCAGCGTCCGAACACCTCCAGCAGCCTTGACTTGAACCTCGGGCTTTGAGTGCTCCCTCATAAGCTTCAGATGCCTAACAGTTGCTCCGTTGTATGTGTACAAGCCATTGGGTTGCTTCACGAAGCCGTACCCAGTCGAAGTCTTGACAAAAGCAACGCCAATATCGGAGCAGATTTCGCATAACCGGATAATGTGCTTCTCTTCAAGATAGTCATTCTCAAAAATGACTTTGAGGATTGCGCCATGCTTGGCGACGACGGTGTTGATTTGGCGAATCTCTTCGGCAACATAGATCCAATCTCCTCCGAGCACCTTGCCGATGTTGACGACCATGTCAATCTCTTTGCCACCGGCAGCAGCAGCTTGGTTGGCTTCAAAGACCTTGACTTCGGTCGTGCTGTTACCGTGGGGGAAGCCGATGACGGGGCAGACAAGCACATCGCTGCCCTGAAGTTCCTTGTTGGCGAGAGGTATAAGATATGGCTTCACGCATGCCGTGGCAACGCCGTGCTCTTTCGCAAGGCGCAAGCCTTCCAGAATATCGGCATCGGTCATGGTAGGGTGAAGGAGTGAATGGTCAATCATTTTTGCGACCTGTTGAAGGGTGACGGTGACGGCGTTGGGAGTTGGGGCGGCCATTGTGGTCGCCGGGTTGTATCAATTCAAAGATGGAGATGAGGTTTGAGGAAAGGGGTGTGGGTTGTGAGTGGTGATGAGTGGCAATGATGAAGGCAAGTAGCAGGATCAGCGAGCTTAGACAGCCATCACTAATATTTTATATAGCTTGAAATGCTTTCCTGTAAGGTCATACTGCTTGTGTGGTGATGTCTGACTGTCAGTTCCATGGTAGCCCTTCCGTCGGAATCAATGACCAAATTAGGTAGTTATTGTGAGATGAGATGAGAATAATAACGTAACGCCGCGCTCTCACTGTAACCAGATAACATCGCTCCAGCTTCCGGTGGATTGTATTACAGCAGCGATTACAGTGTTGAGAACTGTTCATCATTGAATTTTCCAGTCATCTCGGCCTTTTCATCTTCACGCAGTGCGCTTCCTGCAAATAACTGAGCTATTTGGGACGCCTCTTGAGTCAACCAAGGAATACAATCACACCGCATCGTTCCTAGTTCTCGGTTCTGTAAGCTGTCGCGGAGCTTTAGAACGTGGGCGTATGCCAGATCCGGGTGCTCTCCACATGGTTTGAGAAGATGTTGAATTCATCGATGGCCTTTTAAACATCCCTCCCCTTCACTGCTTGACAGCTGAGCAACTGAGTGGAACTAATTCTTTGAGTACTTATTTGTAGGCTGAACATAGCCTCACACAACCGCTTCATTTTCTGAGACTCTCCACACAAGTCTTTCACCGCTTACGGCCTTGTTTCGCAGGAGCACAATGGCATCTTGAGCCCGCTCCAGTAACGTATCTCCCTCGACTATTCTTTGCGGGTTTGGCCTCACCACCTTTTGCTCCAACAATGACGGTATTATTTCACATTGCATCTTGTCCTTGAATAGTTTGTTCTATATCAAATTTTAGTCAGAAATGAAGATTTCGAAGTCGCCTTGTGGAGGACGGATGAAATACCTTGAGAAAAAAATGTGTTCTGACACCCTTAACAACAACACCTTCCTTCCATTGTCCTTCAGCGGGCTCTGTCATCTGGTAAACAGGGGCCTCAATCTCGGTTGGGTCTTTGATGACGACAGGGAGCATAACCGCAACCTTGGTGCCTTGATCCGCCAGGTGGGTAATAGGTCCAAGGGATCCTGACAAGTGTCCAATGCAGTCGATAACGTAGGGGACGCCCTTGGGACCAAGATGGTCCTCGATACTCTGAACGACGTGCTTTTCTCGATAGTCGAAGCAGGCCGTCGCACCTAGCGAGGTGAGGTACTCATGATGTTTCCGGCTCGCGACCACGATGAGGTTCTTGTACCCCCAATGCCGGAACACCTCGATGGAGTACATTCCAACTGACCCGGCTCCGCCCCACAGCAAGATCGGCGCATCCGCTTCCGGGGGCGTCCAATCTTCCGGGATGGGCCATGGGAGCGGCAGTCCGAGATCGACGGCGGTCTGGAAGACGGTAACGATGTTGTCGGGCACAGTTACGGCTTCCTGCATCGTCAACCCCTTGGGCATCTTCCCTAGCAAGAAAGTGGGGACGGTGATGAGGGTCTGGGCCGCCTTTTCCTTGCCGTCCTTGTCGTCGCGGAATGAGTACCCCAGAACTTTGTCCCCGACCTCGAGGTTGACGTGGTGCGGCCCGGGCCCGACTAGGAGCACCGTTCCTGCAAAAGTGTCGCCCAGGATGCGGGGGAACATGTCGATCAGCAGGCCGCCGTCTGCCTGGTGCAGATGGTAAGGCGTTGAGGAGGTCCATTCTACCTGGACAATGACCTCGCCGGCGTCGGGTGGATATGTCGGGGCATCGATGAGGATGAGAGGCTCTCTTGGAGCCCTGACTGCTACTGCGGGATGAATAGCAGGGATTTCGATTTCCATTCTTGGCATTTCTTTGGTTTCCGTTCTTATTGTAACTTTCTGAAGCTTCCCCTGGAAACGCTTCTTCAAAATGATCGAGAAAGAGGATGATGCCGGGGTTTTAGGTCGTACGAAAGCTCGAAGATCAGGACCCACAGACGATCATACGAGGCGAACCGACAAGTCGAATGGTTCGTTCACAAAAGATGCAGATTTCTGATGGAGAAAGATGGAAGAATAAGCTTTGGATTCTGCTCTTGGGTCAGGGGTCTGATGACAGCATCGTGCATGTCTAGTTCGTTCGTTAGCAGCTGTCTTCGTCGCCCCCTACGATGATGGCAGTTCTGCGGCGAGAGGGGCTTACCAATCCTGGCTGGGTCTGTCACCGTGGCAAAAAACGCTTACGATCGTCTCAAGAATGTCGGGGCATTGTGACATTTTCTCCTGTGTCTTTCCCGCTGCTGTCCGTGTGCAGTATCTGGCTCGTGCGCGTCCACCTTTATGCATCGTTACTTGAGATGAACGCCGCGGCGACGTGTGCCAACGTCGCCGGAAGCCGAGTGGAATGTGCTTTCATAAACATTCGAGCCGCGGCCGGCCTTCTTCGACACCGAGGGAATGGTATGAGTGTCGATCCAGCATTACATTAATGGACCTTGGTCTGGGAATGCCCTAAGAACTAAGTGGTACATCCTCCTCTCCAAACACAGCACTGAAGAGTGTGGACAGTTCCGGCCCGACGTCCGTAAGCGGAAGAAATGCAACTCGGCGAGAACCGGCGAGGAACAGGACCGCCGATCCGGGTCTTCTCTCCAGTGTCTCCACAATTCAGGGTGGAAACGCTCAGCGCTCCGGCACAGATTCCAGTGACGTGACGGAAACTATATGTACCCACAACTACCTAAATGCAGTAGAGGGATCTCTCTTTTGTATATGGCGCAACGGTACAATTCCGAATTCTGTCATGACGCAAAACTTGAAATAACCTTTTCAACGCTTTCAAAAGTGAACTTCTAGTGTCAGGATGTATGATATGCGTCCAGAGCAAAAAAGATTGATCAGTGGGAGGCTTGAACTCCCGGCCTTGGCATTACATAACATTTCAGGTGAAATATTAGTACCACGCTCTAACCAACTGAGCTAACCGACCAGTTGATGTTGAAGTGAAGTGAGCTCTAGTGCGCTTAGGTCGGATCCACTGCGTGATTTTCGTTCAACCTTCAGACTCCACACACGCCAACGGAGATGAGTCTCGAAAGAGTGCAGCTTGCTTGCCCGCGATACATGTCGATTTGTTCGTCCGAAGAACGTGATCTTGATATGGAAATTTTGCCGGATCGATGGGTCGCTAATTCGAGTAGAAGTTTGACAAAAGTAATTCTACAACAGCAGCACCGGCTCAGAGCTCTTCACCAATCACTATAGATAGTATTGCAACCCAGTGTAGCTTAAAGGAAGCACGTTCACTAAGGGAGATCATTAGATAATGGTTATGTCTCGTCCAGCAACTTGTCTATTTGTTTCTAAAGGTTATGAGAATCCGAAGTATTCGATTGAAAATCGACTTTGTACGGAAAGTAACCACCAACCAGTAGGCAGCTTGAAAAGTTGAATCTTGAAGACCATCATCGGCCATTTCTTACAGAGACTCTCTGAACTCAGGCTTCAAGGCAGACACTGGCTATAGTACTGGTTCGAGACTTTACAGGTTCCCTGCGAGCATGTCGTACCGCCAGTCCAACCTTGACCGCCGCACTGCCCATACAAAGCAACAGTCTTGCCGCCACTGCTGGACGGAGGAGAGCTCGACACAGGCGGAGAGCTGGAGGCAGGAGGGGAAGCATTGCCACTTCCGGAACCGGAACAGCTGAGGACCGAAGGACCCGGGATTGTGTATGAGCGGCCACCGTTCGTTGGCTTCCCGGAGTTGTCGTAAATATTGATGAGAATGCCTGGGTCGGTCGCGGAGTAGGCGCCGGGAAACTTGACAGTGTTGGAACCGGCATTGGTACCTGAACCAGTAACCCGAATTCTACTCAGTGTTAGAGGTCAATATGTCCCCAAAAGTCTCCCGTAATCCATTTGTAACTTACTGAGCGCATTCCATGTAGAATTGGGCCTCTCCCTGTGTCGAGGCGGAGTGGAGGGCGATGATCTCAACGCGCAGGAGGTAGTCCCCAGGAGCGACACATGAGGGAAGGGTGAAGTAGTGCCAGCCATTGTTGGCTATCATGGTGTCCACGGCCCATGTGCTTCCACTCAGGCCAGAGTCGGCAATCTTGAACCAGCTGAGGCCAGTTGTGCCAGTGCTGGCGGCGTTGCTGACTTTGGCCAGATAGACAACGATAGGACCTATTGTAGTATCCGCATTAGTATTTCATGGATTTTTAGCTTCGATAAAGGGTGTATAATGATGAAGGAAAATCTAGTCTGAGCGCCTCACCTTTGTGACTCGCGGCGATGGGATTATCGGCGTCGTTGGTGCCTTGAGCACCTCCAATGATGTGCCCCCACCAAGCACCGACCTTTGCACCGGCGGCGATGGACACAATGTTGTTATCCTTGTACTGGATGTTGTTGTTGCAGGCAAAGCCAACGTCATTGACGTTTTGAATGGGGTTGTTACTTGAAGGCGCGCGAACCCCCTTCAATGATCCCTGGTCAGCTCCATTAATAGAGAGCTTTTGGAAGATCGTGTGGCCCGACACAGCGGTAACAAGGCCGAAGAAAACGCTCGAGGGTCTCATGATCAAAGTATTTGCGCCGTTGGCACTTGCTGGAAATTCGATAGGGCGGTTGATGGCTACTTCAATCAAGCTTACTTTGACGATGATCCACCATCCTTATATTGAGTGTGTACGCGCGGAATGTGTCAAACCTACGACAATCGTAGCCTTTCATTTTGTGGATATCGAAGGGAGATTCTCATTCCAAATTCAATATCTTGAAAACTTGGGCGGCATTTCAGGATTCTTGAAATCACTTGTCTGGGTAATAAACACCACACACGCCAGGAGCTAGAAGCCAGTGAGACTTGTGCGGGACTGTAACCGAGTTTCGGTAGCTGCGCTTACCCGCGAGGCGACAACGCCTTCTTTGTTCTAGCCCATGTTTTCGATAATTGCTTCGTCGTCGAAAGCTGTGGTTTGTATCCCTTGGTGCGGCGAAGGGAGTTGTACCCTGGCAAGCATGTTTGCTTCTTATGACCTCGCTTAGATCGTTGGCAGCTCTAACCGATCTGCCCGAGCCCCAGTCCACAAAGTCGGGAAATCGGAAGGCAAGCGAACAGATGAGTACTATTGAAAATTTGTTGAGTATCGCTTAAGTGTGGCTGTTAGAAACTGAGACTAGCGGCTTGTTGTCAAACGAAACTAGCAGATGTCAAGAACCAGCGTGATGGATCGGGCCCGACACGTTGATCGAGTTTTGTAACTTAATTGCCCATCACATTCCTACATGTGATTTTCCGTTCTCTCTCGAAGGTCTTTTGAAACCAACCCTGCCCTACTACCCCAATGCATCTAACTCCGTAATATACCGCAATGGGAATGCCGTCACCAGGATCTAAATGAATAAGCACAGCGACGATTTGATGGGTAGTGTAAGGTACCTTGGAATCCATTTCCGCCTCTGGAACGTGACCATTAAGTTCAATATAATCATCATGCCAATACATTCAGAGAAATCTTTGCCCTTGCATTGGGCATTCTTCTATCATGCGGGACTCTCTCGGAATAGCTTCCTTCTCAGCGTTGGGCTTCTCTCGGCCCCATATGCTCCACCCCGCTTCGAAAGTCGGCGCAAAGAGGAGCACAAACGGCCACCGGCCGGTAAGCGGAGACCATGAGTTCACGAGGAGGACGAGAAGGCAAAAGGTTAAAGGCAAAAGGTTAAAGGCAAAAGGTTAAGGATGTGCAGTCTGACCTTTGTTTCAAACAAGCTTCCTCGCGTGGAGTAGCCAATGAATCCGAGGTCCTCGGGTGCAGATGACTTCAGCACTCGAATGTATGGCGGGGATAGCCTGGTCCAAGGCGTAAGTTTACCACCATTTCTTCAGTGTGCAGTACCTGGTCAATGCTGGTAAAAGAGTATGTATGCCCTGACTCTCACATGGCTTTCAGACTGGAGCCTTGACCTCGAAATAAGCTCTACTTGCGTCTCTTGAGATGTTTAGCAAGTTTGCCTGCAGATGGGCGATCTCCAAAGGTACCGCAATCAACCTAATCAGGAAAGTCGCTGTTGCCTTAACAAGTGCTCAGTGCGGAATATGGGCAAATTTCATTAAGGCCATAGAGAACAGTTATTAGCCTAAGTGCCTCACACACTGCTGCGCAATGAGTTGGGTCAAAATCTCATTAAGCCCTTGAAACGGGACTCTCCCTCAATCCAGTTATTAATGTACTAGCCCTAGTCGCCGCCATATTCCTCAAATGCCGAGGATGGAGAATCTCCAAATTCACATAGAGGGTGTGAGAGTCCAGACCTTAGGAGCTGTCGATCTGATGAGCTCGTTATGGGGTACGTAAGGAACGATTCTCTTGGCAGACACTCGCTCTTTGCAACACGCTGACCTAGCAGGATGATGAACCGTGTCTCATCTTGGGTTGAACAAGTGTAAAATGCTGAAGGAGGCTAGGCCACACCACTTGGCACGACGAGTCGTAGCCAGTCAACGTCTCGCAACGTCCGATCAGGCGGCTAAACGAGTTCGGAGCCTTCCCCGGAGCCATGGCTTTGCGACGGCTGTAAGTTGCCTAAGGTATTGCGCGAAACGTTGTTTTGTTTTTAGAAATTTGACATCTGATGTCCTTGGTAATCACCGACCATGTCCTCGGAATCGGTCCGCAAGCAGACATCCCGAGCAGGTGCTGACGTTATTAGCCCGCCGTCGCTTCTGGACTAGCCCCCGGCCCCCAAGTCTCGCTAATTGAACTGGTGATCGTGGCTGCCGCGATCCCGAGTGGGTTCCTTTGTCGACGTCAGAATCGATGGCTTTTCGGGAACCCGGATATCTGGGTCGACAACCAGTCTGCCGTTTGCGGAAGACATCAATGTCAGAACGCTTTGTGAATTATTCATCGGTTCATTCTCCTTGGTTTGGAGACTTTGTTCCGCCTGAAGGAAGCCGCGCCAGGCCGGAGGAACTAAGCACCCAACCGCAAAATCGGATGATGGCGAATGGACTAACCCTCAGACGCGCTGTTCTACAACCTATCGCTTGTGGCCGCTCAGGTCCGTGAGACAATGGGCTCGATTTCGTCCCTCTTTCTAGAACAAGGTTTCGAGTTTCACCATTTCCTCTCACAACTGTTGTACCTGCTTCCCCCCCCTCTCTGTCCCCGAAACTCTTTCTCGTCGTCCCAAATTATTTTTCCCAACTGTCAGGATACAACCGAATGTGGGAATGCCATGTTTGCTCTTTGCCTCGATGATCGAATGACACTGCGCCAGCGCGTATGATGTACTTGCTGTACAAAACGATAACCCGAGCGACGATACCACCGTTTCCCATACTACCGCGCGACGTCGATCCTTCCGATGATGTAGTCGATAACCACGATATTAGCGCCATAATTGTGGCATCGGTGGTCCCGATAACCATCATATCTACGTTATTTGCGTTTGCGCGGCTGTACGTCAAGGGATGGATCCAGCACCGGGTTCAATATGACGACGGGATTCTCCTGGCAGCGGTGGTAGCAGGGTGGACGGCAACTGGAACGACCCTCAAGGCTGTCGCGCTCGGTAACGGGAAACACGTCAATGTGCTCACCGATGAGCAGAAGGAAGAGACGCTGAGGTGGACGATATTGTCGTTTGGTTTTGGGATCATTGCGCTTGCTTTGCCGAAGCTCGCAGTGGTGGCGCTCATGAACCGACTTATCAATCCGCGACGACTTCACCGAGTTCTCTTGTGGGTGTTGGGGTTGCTGTGCTGCGTGGGACTGCTGGGAAATGTGATTGGGCTCTTTGCGCAGTGTCCGCAAGAGGCTGTGGTGAACATCACGTACACGAAAACCGCCTGTCTGGGTCCGGAGAGAGCGGTTGCATATTCAATATCTACAAGTGGTGGGTTCAAATCCTCCGACATAGGGGTCAACAAAGAGCGGATTGACTGACCACGTGGACGTATCTAGGCATATCAGCTGCTACAAATGCCTACCTCGCCATCTATGTGGCACTATCTGTTCGAAGGTTGAAAATCGCACGAAGAAAGAGGCTAGCTATAACAATTTCTCTTGTTCTGGGTCTACTGTAAGTCACCCTGAGGACTGGACGACGGGCATCCCAGACATGGCCTAAGGCTGTCCACGCCGCCCCTCCATAAACACAAAGCCGATCTAACTTGCATTATCAGCGCCTTATTTACTGCTTTATTCAAGTGCACGAGGCTAAAATCTCTTGGAAGCCCCGACTTCACTTGTAAGTAATACGCTTGTCACTGTTAGTCGAAGTAGGTACGTATTAATCGCTGACATTGAAACCAGACGACTCAGCAGATCTTGTAATATGGACGAAGTAAGTTATTAGTAGTGATGAAAATGTTGCCGATGAGAAGTTATGAGGGAAGACACGTCGGCTCAGCCGTCTCTTCATCAGTCAGTATGCAAAGATGGCTGACACTGAATGCAGTCTTGAAGCAGACGTCGTCATTATCGCCGCCTGTATCCCGGCCTTACAACCTCTGGTGGATCATCTCTTTCCGGAACACTTTTCGACACCGATACCATCTCCGACTAATCCAGCTTCACCAACCTCTACCGCTTCGAGAAGAAAACTTTGGCCTGGTCCTACATGTGGTGACCTCGAGGCCGCAAGAGAGTTCAGCCTCTCTCCTCAAGGTCCCGAGATGATTATGGTCGAAAAGGAGTTTGAAATCGCCTACAGCAGAACTACGGTGAAGAGATCTTGCACATCGGATACGTGGGTTTCGGAGTTACCGGACGAGGAGAAGTTCCGGATCGTGAAGGATCATGGTCCTGATGGATCAATCACGACAACAGTGGTGGTGAGATCTGCGACTCGTCCACCGGACCATCCGGCATTTCCGCCGCAATGACGGAACAGATAATGACAGATAGCTAGAGACTAATACCCTTATACATAATGATCAAAGTAGTTAGTGAGTTAGCCCACATTCATATTAGAGTTGTGGTAATGAAACAAGTCGGGGTCTATCCTTGGGACGATACGCCTATTTAACGTTCTCTGCTTCTTTTCCAAGGTTCAGTTGTAATAATATTTCTCTTACTGTGACCTCACGTAGAGTGTGAAATGACTAAGGCTAGTGTTGGTTCACGGGGTCGTATACGACAAATAGTGGTAGCAATTATCACTCGTCTGTTGGTGATCCTATTGCTTGTTCTTGTCTTGTTGTTCTTCTATCTTACATTGTAGGCAGGAGTCGGTCGAAGTAGGTAGTGACGGCCTGGGTGGTTGCCCCACCTTTATCCGGCCGTGATGACTAAGCCAGTTGTCCCACTTCGCCCAGGGCAGGTGCCAGCCAGCCCATGGTACCTGCCTATTACTCCTTATCAGCCTTTGCTGTTCCAACAGCTAGTAAAATTTACGTGTTATGCTGCTATAGCTAGAGATGCGCCGCCTCGCCTTACCTACATTACAGGCAAGTTGGGCATCTACATGTCGGTGTAGAGAATGAACCCCGGGACTGCCTCCTCACAAACCATGAACGTCCAAGCTGCGCTAGGCAAGTAGTCAAAATACGTCGCCAGGCGCGCCCCGTCCTCGGGTGAGAAGACCGTCTTGTCCCGCTCGTGCTCCTCGGCAACTTTAGACGGCAGCGACCAAGCCAGGAAGTGGTCCCGTTCTTTCCCTGGCGGGAAAGCACTGTCCAAAGTGTAAGTGACAACCTCAGAATCCGAAACCGAGGTTATAATCATGTACTCACAGCGAATTGCCCAGTGCTCCGTGACATAGACAAGGCTCTTTTCGCAAAAGGCCTTCCTTCCAGATGAAATCCCTGCCAAGTTGAATGGCGTTATCGATTTTCGCCTTCAGATCCGGGAAGAACTTTTCAATATGCACGAGTGAGAGAACAAAACCAGGCGCTCCGTGACAAAACTGAGTAAGACCCTCGTAGATCGTATTACCGGGGTCGTCTTTGGTCTCCCAGTTACCATTCTCTCGCTGTACTTCAAGCATGCGCTCTAGCGATCCCCGGATCATTAGATTCTCAGCCAATTTCGGGTCTGTCAGTAAGAGTTGAGTCAGGATGCCAATGTCACCGTGGACGGCACCGATGTAGCGCTTTCCGCGCCACGTCCACAAGGGACCTGCACCAAGTGTCTTCTCGATAATCCGGGTTTTAGCGGTAGCAACTTGACTCGCTACCTTCGGTCTCTAGTGCATCTAGTTGTCAACTACATTTTCCACCCGTTAGACGACTAATATCGAACGTACCGAGAACTCTACAGCACGAATCATATACAAGATTCCAGCATAGCCAAAGAGGAGCTCATATGGATGATCGTCTTCGTCAGCAAGTCGTTCCAGCACTTCTTGAAACTTTGGCGCCCGTGATTCGTCTAGAATTGTCTGCACTGCCCAAAAGGCAGCGCTCTCGCATGCGAGACCACAAGGGGCCGAGTCTCCACCCTCACGCTCAGCCGCGATGTAAGAAGCCGCCCATTGCTGGAGCGACTGCCCCTGGATTCTGATTTCGGGGTGAGACTCATGAACTCTAAGCAATAGATATGCCAAAGACGTCGGTCCGCGGAAGAAGCCTCGGCATTGGTCTTGCGTGTACAATTGAAGAGGAGGGTTGGCATTGATGATCTGCGTCAATGACTCTTTGACAAGTATTTCTGGGTTCTCTCCATGAACGAACGAGGCATAGCTCTCCAATGGAGTTGGGGTGGGAATGAAGCGCGGTGTATCCAGAGACATGTTGATCGTGAATGCCCCAGTCTCTGAAGTACTTGTTTCAGATGTTTCTGTGAGGCCCTGTGCCGTTCAGCTTTAGGTTGTGTTTAAACAACTCTCTCCGACATGTGCTGAATCTCATAGTCCATAAGAGCGGTAGAGGCTCACCAATTCAAGGTAACGGCTTATCAGCTAATTAGGCAGCAAAGTGGAGATTTAAGAAATGACGTCAAACTCATGCACGCGTTTGTCAGCATTGCAGATAGCAGTGAATGTTGTCTCGAAGCTCGTGTTGACCCTAGAATGAGGTGTAAGTTAATAACAGACCGTGGCTTGGTCTTTCACCGACTGAAAACATTCGCCAAGCCGAGGAATAATTCTCAGGTACCATTTTGGAGAAGCAAGTCTTGGGGCAGTTCAAACTAGGGCACTTAGACTTTGAGACGACAAGCAAGCCGTATTGGTCAATACACTTTCTTACCTAAGGTAGAAAAGACTTCAAGCTGTCGCCATGTTGTAAAGCCAGCGCGCGCCGATTGTGATTGCATACATGTACCTACCTGGGCATATGGTGAGTTGTGGTGGTGTCCACTGTAAAGGCTGTCTGTATGCACTCTCCATAAGGCAAGTACTCTGCACGCGTCTTCTTGAAATAACTCCATGAGTTGCCTGCTAGAAGTATGAATATCCAATATCTTTAAGCAGGTGATGATGCCGTAATATGTAGTGTCGAGGTTCAGATGTACATGTAGTCACCAATGGCTAGAGCCTAGGAGAACAACAACGTCGTGGACATGGACAGTGCCTGTTGTCAAAGCTCCCAGAGCTGTACACAGTGGAAAGCAATTGAGGTAGGAGCACAGGGCTTCCAAAGTACCCTCAGCATAGATCTCTCCACCACTCAATTACTCACGGCGTTGCTCACTTTATGATTTGAACGGCCTTTTCGAACGGCTAAGCTTTCATCCCTAAAGCTCTCTATCATTGCATCGGTAGCCTGGGCTTCCTGAGAGACTTAGTAAGAGACAGCCACAACTTCCTTTGAAAAGCCTAAGACTCTCATCGTGCCGGCCTCCGCCCTCAAGTCTTGGCGTAGAAAATTCATTGCCCTGTTTCATGCCCCTTTCTCTCTTCCAGACTGCCTCCGTTCCAATACGACTTGCGGCCCCTTTTGTTCTCCCTCTTTCCCGGATTCTTTCAGGAAATCCCACCAATTGTCCATGCCTTTTCTGATTCTGCGGTTCCACCAAGGGGTGAAGTGGGTTGCCGGTGGGTGTCTCCAAGTGCCGCATGTTAGTCAACTCCAGGGCATGATTGGCGACCGCAGGCCTGTCATTTGTGGAGAATTGGCGGAAAATGGGGGGCTGCCACGCGGGCAATTGATTAAACAACGGCAGAATTCTGCTTGTCGTCGATCCATCTGACACTTTAATCTTGATGTCTAAAACATGCGACCAATTTTGAGAGGGAGTCTCGAAAGACTCTTAAAGGTCTTCGCTCGGAAGTTCGGCTTCGATATCTGAGCAGTTTTGCGCACTTTGGTACCAACACAACTTCACGAACGGCATCACTCATCCGGCTCTCTCTCCACAATGTTGTTCACACACGCCATTCTTGCAGCTCTGGCTACCGGTGTCTTTGGACATGGTGTCGTACAGACCCCAGAGCCCAGAACGGTACGTTCCGAGACCATGTGGTCTTGCACCGGAAGTTGAAGCTAACAAATTGGGTTGTAGACTGGCGCCAAGCAGGAAGAGCTCTGCGGAGCTGCAGTCACCAAGAAGCTCGACAGCGATATTGCCGGTCCCATCGAGAACTCCCTCGCGGTAGCGGACGCCGACTACAAGTGCAACTTGTTCCAATGCCGTGGGTACCAATACGAGGATAACGAGGAAGATGTTCGCGTCGTCACGGCCGGAGAGGTCATCCCCTTCCACATCGACCTCGTTGCCGGTCACAGACCCGGACACGCCGTAAGCTAGGCCTTTGCTTATCACTGATCGAAGTGCATATGCTGATATGAGTGACAGAACATCTCGGTGATCGATCTTGCAAACAACACCATCATCGGCGAGCCGCTCATCTCGTGGTCCGACTGGCCCACTACCGACCCCGACCCGTTGGCCGACAGTAAGTGGATACCAAGATCAGCCAAATTGTGTGTGCACCTTACTTACAGACATGCAGCTGACTGGAACATCACCATCCCCGATACCCTTGCCTCCGCTTGCGACGTTGGTGGCAAGTGCGCGATCCAGTGGTTCTGGTACGCCGAGACCAACAAGCAGACTTACGAGAGCTGCATCGACTTCTACATTGGCGCATAGGTTCTGAATCCGGATGGAAGGTGCCTTGGACGGCGCAAAACACATTGACGACTCCATGTTGTACATATTTTCCCCCATACACTGTATCTACCATAGACAACTTAAGTACATACAAGCAAAGAAATTTCTTGAACACCTTGCTGCTCCTGGAAGCCGACTTGATATGCGATGTGTCTCATAGCACTGGGTTGGATTAGGGAATCAGGGCTAGTAGAGAAAGGAATTTGTTCGAGACTTTAGTAATTCTTCCAAGAACCGGTTGACGGCATGCTATCACGCGACTTCTGGCCTAAGACCATCACGCAAACTGTCGGAAGAACTTGTAATGTCCAGTGCAAAGGTCAAGCTGAATCAGTGACTCCGAGTCAATGACCCGGGCCGATCAAATCCACCCGGCTTTGGTCTAGTCTGCCTCTCGGTGATCCGCCGCTGTCAACGGACTCGTCTTCGGCCCGTGGCTAGCGCTGAGTGGGGTACAGGGGCCGCAGACCTCGGTCTCAGCCGGCCCCGCACTCTGGATGCCGAAAGAGCTGCGCCATTGTCAACAACAAGGTTGAAAGACTCTCTGAATGCTTTTGCTCTGATATAGTAGTTGAAGACTTTGACGTTTCCTCCAACCTCTTTCACATCTGTACCTTACACACGCAGGACCGCACGCCAACACCATGTCTCAAGTTCCATTTGCAGATCCACCATGGCTGAGGGGCCTGCCCTCACCGTACTTCAACGAGTCACACCGCAGGTTCCAAGTTGCCTGTAGAAAGTTCCTTGACGAGAACTTGCATAAGGACGCCATGGAATGGGAAACGGCGGAAGATATCCCGTCTGATTTGTTCACGAAGTTCGCCAAAAGAAACTTTCTCATTCCGGCGTTGCCGGCGCCCTTACCCGTAGAGTGGCTGCACAAGTTGGGAGTCACGCATATGCCTGGGGAAGTACCGGTAGAGGAGTGGGACGCGTTGCATACCATGATTTACTCAGATGAGGTAAGAGCTCTAATTCTTGCGCGTTTTGCCTTACTAATAATTCGGACTGTAGATGAGTCGCTCAGGACTGGCTGGACCTCCGGGATCTTTGACTGCTGGCATAGCATTCGGGGTTCCTCCTCTACTGCACTATGCCAATGCCGAAGTGCAGAATCGCTTCCTCCCTGATCTCCTCCTTGGAAGGAAGAGAACCTGCATTGCGATCACTGAACCCGAGTACGTTGTGCATCAACTTCTCTGAGCAACCTCGTTACTGGCGAACACCCAGGCTAATCTCCCCAATTCAACAATTAGTGCAGGATCAGACGTAGCCAACATCGCCACAACAGCTGAGCTCAAAGGCAATGAGTACGTCATCAACGGCGCCAAGAAGTGGATTACCAATGGTTTCGTGGCAGACTTCGCAACCATGGCCGTTCGCACCGGTGGCGAAGGCTCAGGAGGGAAGGGCATCTCGCTGCTTGTGGTACCGCTTGTGGACCAACCCGGTGTGAGCAGAAGGCGCCTTAAGGTCGCCGGTCAAATTGTTGCCGGCACCTCGTATCTCGAGTTTGACGATGTCAGGGTGCCGCGAGAGAACCTCATCGGCAAAGAAAACGAGGGCATGAAATACATCATGCACAACTTCAACCATGAGCGGATGTTCATCTCGGTCGGCGTTACAAGGCAAGCTAGAGTGGCTTTGAGCGCCGCTTTTGCGTACTGTATGCAGCGCAAGGCGTTTAACAAGGTACGTATATGTCCTTGGGTCTGCCGAAAACGTGGTGTTCTCCGCTAATTACCATAACTGCAGACTCTCATCGGGCAACCGGTGGTCCGTCATCGACTGGCCAAATGCGGAGCAATCCTCGAGTCACAGTATGCTTGGGTTGAGTCCTTTGCGTTTCAACTATCCAAGATGCCAAAGAAGACTGCGGATGAGGAACTCGGTGGGTTAACGGCCTTGTGCAAAGCCAATGCCGGTATTGTTCTCGACGAGTGTGCGAGATGTGCCGTGCTGCTATTCGGCGGCAACGGCTACACGCGTACCGGCAAAGGAGAAATTGCCGAAAGTAAGTGACACTATCTTCTAGTAAACGAACTTCTGGAGAAAACTGAGCTAATTTGGTCGCTTTTAGAAATCTACCGCGAGGTTCCCGGTGCGAGAATCCCTGGTGGAAGCGAGGATATCTTGCTGGACTTGGCTATCCGGCAGTTGACGAAGCGGTTCCGTGCCGAGACCGAGAAGGAGAAGACAAAGTCCAAAATGTAACTAGTGTGTGGCCAATACGAGAGACCTGGGATGGGTAAAAGCGTAGAGATGGTCTGTGATTGCCATGCTGTAGTTTCCATGGGCGATTTCCAAGTAGTATGACGACTCTGTCTCGGAATTGACATCGGAACATAACCAGTACAAGAACTTCGGCAATCAAAGACCGATTCACTTGGAACTTCTAGATTGGGATATCTTACACGAACAAAGTAGGGATTCCAGTTCGCCTTATCTACGACTCCGTCTAAGTCCCGGCTGGGGTGTCTCGGAGAGATTGACAGGAGAACATCGAGAGTCCGAATTTCCGCGAAACCACTAAGCCGTTTTTGGACAAAAAGTGCGAGGTCCAACAACTAGATATCCCAGATGCAAGATATCAGGAAGCTGCAATCAGCATTAGGGGCTGGATTTGCATCGCTTTTATTTAGAAAGCAAGAAAGAGTTTTTGACTTTTTGCTGGTTATCATTGTCATCATAATCTCTAAATCAATCATCGCACCAATCCCGTCAAAATGGTCGCCTCTACAGAGCTCTCTGACTTTGTGCCTGTATCGGACTGGCCTACCCTGGAAGAGCTGGTAGCCGGCTTTCAGGAACCCATAATGCCCGCATCTTCAAAACTTGCCGGCAAGACATTCAATCATGTTTTCGACATAGGTCTTCGTATATCGCACCAATTCCACGACTCAGAGACGCTCACTTGGAAGATCCTCGAAAGAGACCAAGCCGGCGTCACCGGTGATGCCCAGTACAAAGCCTATGAAGTTCGAGCCGACATCTACTTCGTTGATTTCTACAAACCCGACTACAAGGAGCAGGTCAGCTTGATTCTCGACAACACAACTGGCCAGGCGATCGCGTGCGTCTCTGGTTTCAGCGACCAAACCAACGAGAGGAGAACATGGACTAAGTTCTTCAACGCCATCAAAAATGACCATGGTGACGTCAAACCATATGAGACTACCGAGGAGCTCATCGGCAAGCACATTCTGTACCGCTATAGTCCTCGCGATGCCTACGAGCATGTCGACCTCAACAAAGACACTCCCATGTGGCACTGCCTCAGCGGCACAGAAAAGGGACTCGCAGACGCAGAGCTTTGCAGGATGCTGAAGCTGAGCGATAGCCTGTACTTGTTGTTTTGGACAGAGACTATTGACGGGTGGTTGGTCCAAGGATCCCGCGGGAGATGGGGGAAAGATATGGGACGTCCAGCAGAGAGATATTGGGCCCGGAAGGTGTTGATCTTAATCTTTCCGAGATAAGCTGACTCGAAACCGCTCCTGGAGCCAGTTCTAAATCGTTCTTTGCCTATTCATTATCTTAGTATGTGGCAGCGCCACACGTGGCGCTGCCGGTTACTGCCGTATGATACTGCTTTCCACAAGCCGATTACCCGTCTTGTACGGTATATAGATGACCCTCATACGGATCTTCCACTTAGAGGAATCAAGCCACTTTCTACAATACATGTCTTCCACTTGCTACCTCGCTTTGTGATGTAGTAATTTTAGGTTGGAGTTTCACTCCATGTGGCTAGTTCTGGTGTTGCTATCTTCGAACCCCAGCGACGATCTGGTTATTGGCTAGAATGCGGGGTGCATAATTCCCTGCCCCTCGCACTTTTATCGTATGTCGACCACCATCGTGGACGCTATCGTGTACCTGGTTTACCTGCAAATTGTCACTCGGCGCATAGATAAACCAACTTCCGAGTAACTACATGCGTTCAACTTATCAATGTATATAGTCCCAAAGCCATGGATTTCATAGTGAGAAGAATAAATTGGGATTGCTTCTTCGACGTTAGGAAGCCCATCTGAGTTGTTTTAAACACCACTCACTGCTCAACGCCGCGATGGCTTCCGAATATATTCCTGAAAAGCAGGTTACGCCCACAGGCCCCGAAGAAGGAGTGCCAACACAAACCGGTTACGTTCAAGAGGTTAAGGTATGCATTCAGCTGTCATCTAGGTACGCTGCCTGTGGATAACAATGCTCATATCACTGCAGCGAAACTTTTCGCCAACAGCAATACTGGCAACACGTGTATCATTGATGGCAACGTGGGAAGCTCTGTGCAGGTATTACATATTCGAAGTCTTGATCGAGTCATCTTTAACCTTTGTTCTGGCAGCACGATGGCTACGGGCCTTATAAACGTAGGCCCGGCCTCGCTAGTTTATGGGGCTGTTATTGCTTTCCTCGGATCTTTATGCTCAGCTATGTCTCTAGCTGAGTTGGCGTCAATGTAGGGGCACCCCGGAAATTGCAAAATAGGCTTATTGACCATCTGCATAGTCACCCTACGGCAGGAGGCCAATACCACTTTGTCGCACATTTGAGCTCTGGGAGAAGAGGACCGGTTCACAGCTGGTTTGCCGGATACATCACGTAATGTTCACACTCCAAACCCAAAAAACTTGTACACAAACTTATCTGTAATGCCTGTCAGTACTCTAGGATGGGTCGCTTTAGCCGGAAGCGCGCCGTTTCTCGCCGGAACCCAGATTCAGGGCCTTCTGATATTCAACTACCCCGACTCTTATACCTCTGAGCGATGGCATGGGACCATGCTCTACTGGGCTATCCTTCTAGGCTCTGCCCTGGTCTGCATTTTCTGCAGCAACGTTCTACCGCTCCTGGAAAAGATCACTATGGCATTGCACGTTGGCTTTTACCTGATCATCCTGATCATAATGGCGGTGGTATCGCCTACAAAGCATCCAGCTTCCTTCGTATTTGCGACATTTGGGAACAATTTTGGTTGGTCAAACGATGGAATAGCGTGGTGCATTGATCTCTTGAGTTGCTGTTACGTGCTGATGGGATACGATGGAGCTACCCATCTCAGTGAGGAGATGGAGAATGCGGATATCGGCGTACCTCGCGCAATGGTTGGCTGGGTGGTCATCAACGGTGCTCTCGGATTTACATTTCTGATCACGCTACTGTTCTGCATGGGTGATATCGAATCGGCATTGAGCTCGCCAACTGGATTCCCCATCATCCAGATCTTTTACAACATTACTGGGACTTTGGCAGCAACCAACGCACTGACAGCTGCTTTGACAATCATGGCCATCATATCGACTATTCCACTAATAACTTCTGCTGCGCGTGTCATCTGGGCATTTGCAAGAGACCAAGGTAGGTGCATCCAAATTCACTGCACTGTTCAAACTGATCTAAGCACTCTTCAGGACTTCCCTTTTCCCAAGTCGTCTCCAGGGTCGAACGAAAACGCGGCATCCCCACTGTTGCCATTATTGTCACAACCTGTCTACTTGTTCTCCTCGGACTCATCAGTATCATCGGCTCCACGACGGCCTTCAACGCCATCCTCTCTCTCGCAGTAGTAAGCCTTCAAGCCTCATACCTGTTCCCGATTATTCTTGTGCTCTGGCGCAGAATAGTCTGTCCAGAGACTCTGGTATGGGGGCCTTGGCGCCTCGGACGGATCGGAGTGGTAGTCAACGTGATTGCCGTGTGCTATCTTGTTTTCACATGCGTATTCCTAATCCTTCCTCCGTTTCAGCCCGTTACTGCTCTGAACATGAACTATGCGCCAGTTGTTCTTGGTGCAGCTTTACTGTTTGGTACCTCTTATTGGCTGTTGCGAGCGACAAAGAGATATGTTGGGCCTCTGACTGAGCTGCATGTTATGAATGGTCGTGTTCCTGCTTGAGTAATACAGAATTTCCACATTTGTAGAATGAAGTCAGAGTTGGTTTTGAAAGTCAGCGTTTATCGTTTCTTGAGCCGAGGCAAACACGTGTGATTAATCGACGTAATGTACGTGTATTTCTTGACAACGAGAATTGAATGAATTGAATCATTGAAACTACATTGCCCATGTTTCTGAAGTTTTGAACCCGTGCAAAACATGCACACATGTATGGAACCCGTCCCTGAAAGTGCGATTGAGAAATGAATCCTTGAAACGGCTCTCAAAGTTTTGCGTGATCTGATTTTCATATGTCGACAAAACATGATCGGTTTACGAGAAGCTCGCAAGCGCGGTATAAGGCATTCTCGGGGTGGCTCTTGTTGATAAGCTGGAGCCAATCGGAAAGCACATACGATGCGGAATTGACGGCACACTTATCTGTCAAGGAGCCCCGCATGCCTATCCGGCGGTGCTGATGCAGTACACCAACCTCTTCTCTTCGACAACATTGACACTTCCATTCGATTTGTCACATTATCGCGCGATCATGAGTAGCAGCTCATCTCAACGTTCTGGAAAAATAAAGTCCAGGAGTCAGTACTAAACATCCTGCTTTCCGGCTCTCGCGGCTTGAGGAATACTAACAACCTGAATGATGACCAGGTGGCTGCGTTCGCTGCAAACGCCGCGTAAGTCAAGATCTTGTTTCAATAAACTCACACCGTATGACATTGGCTGTTATGAAAGAAGCTGAAATGCGATGAGGCTGAGCCGAGCTGTTCACGATGTGTAAAGTCAGGTGTCGATTGCCCCGGCTATGCTTAAGCATTCAAGTGGTCAACGAAATACGAGAGTGCTCCGCACTCGCCTCCCAGTCTCGTTGATTCTTTTGATAGCTCGCCTGACTGGTTTCAACAAGAGGTTTGGAATGTCTCGTGAGCTATCTCTGATATCCCGCTCAAGCGACAAGCAGCGGTTGAAACGCCAAACAAGTCACCATCCCAGCCTCTGGCGCAAGAGGCTTCTGGTTCTCTGACCACGGCCTCTTCACCGGAAATTCCCCATGTTCGAGCTTCATCTTCCAGGTCAGATTGTGAAAAACTCACTCATGGTGGCCTCCAGTCACCTATGAGCGTTGGAGACTTCGGAAGACAGGAATCAACTCCAGAAGGGGCCGACCAACCGCTCGGGGATCCATCTGACTGCACATCAGAGATGTATGCAGATGAAATAATACTCTGTGAAAAACCTATGGACAGTGCTCTTCTACTTTATGAGCCCCTTGACCAGATTTCTCTGCTTTTAAACCATTACTTTTCACTCGTCTGCCCAATCAGCTCGTCATTCGACTCCGGACAGAACCCTTTCCGATCTAACGCATCAGAAATGATGGCTAGCTCACGCTTGCTGTTTCTTTGCGTCATGAATATGTCTGCCTCTCACTTCCATAAAGACGATGGTAGCTCAATCGCGCCTTTGAGCTTCCAGACCGAGGCAATCTCCGAGATCTCAAAAGAGCTGTGTAAAATCAACAACCCTACCATAGTCACCTTCGACAAGCGAAACAATGGTCCGTCGATCATTTTGTCGACATCACTGTACTCCGTGAAGGATGAAGTGCTGTTAGGCATCATTTTACTTGGCATGACTTCGGTAAGCCCCGCCCCTACTGTAAGCTGATTTGAGAGGACTGACACAAAGGTTAAGAGTTGGCATGATCCTTCATCTCTCGGCTTGTCCCACATCCACGGGTCGCGACAGCTCTTTCAATCCTGGGTCAAAGACCAAGGACTGCACTGCCCTTCAGAGTCACGCATCATGACGCGAAGTCAAGCATTCCTCGTGTCGTCGATGGTGTACTGGGAAGTGCTGGTCTCTTTTCTAGTTGATCAAGCGGCCCAGTCGCTTGCTTATCTTGATAATTTCCTTGAAAACGCTATGATACCCTCCTCATACGTCTGTCCCTGGACCGGTGTTGGAACTTCAGTATTCATCTGTTTAGCTAAATTAGATTCACTGATCCGAAGGAAAAGGTCTATCGCGCGTGTTGGGTTTCAAGATAGAGGCGGAATCTGTCAAGGAATGGCGTATGTGAACTTCCTAGGTGAGGCTTCTTTGTTGGAAAATCAGATGCGCAGAATGCAGCTTCCCAAGCTGTCATCCATCGAGGACACTGGCGATATCAAGGCTCCGCCGATTCATTTCCTTCAGCTTGCTCACTGCTACCAGTTGAGTGGCTGTCTGGAGCTGTACCGCGCTTTTCCAGAGCTGGCCAAAGCTCGTTTGGAATCAGATCCAGCAGCCTGCATATCTTGCGATGGGATAGACAGGCAGTCACAGCTGTTGCTAGGGACCGCTCTGGATATCTTGAATACTCTCGAAACCATACCGGATGATTCTCGGACCATAGCAACGCAGACTCTCTTGTTCACTAAAGCGGTTATTGCCTGTGTCCTTCCAACAGCCTTGTATGGAGTTGAGACCTGGTATGCGGGCCTAACCAAACCAGCCCTAAACAGCGGCACCAATACTAGCAGTAGCACTGCTTTACAGATACCTACAGTTGGTACAGGACAGAAGGGCCTGGCCCGTAGACTTAGCAAAGTTATTACAGCAGCAGCAAGGGCTATCCTGCCTGTCTGGAGAACCACACCGACCAGTAGCCTCATCCGAGACGCTGGCCTTCCCACAGCAGAGGTAGCCCTCGAAGCAGCGCGACTACGCTTCGCTATACGCCTGCAGAAGGTTGACCAACAGCATCCCTTGGTCCCAAGGCTGCTGCAGTCAGGGCGGCAACAGACCAGGCTTCAAAGAACAGCTGGCCTTTTACCTAAGTGTCCAAGGCCAGCGCTCCTACAGCCGCAATACCTCCCAGGGTCCTATGACCCTATAGTTACACAGACGAAGGAAGTAGCAGCTAGGATCTTCCAGGCCTGGCTCAAGACTGTGCCAGGTCAGCATACAGTCGTATACTCAGACGGCTCCAAAGCTCCTGACGGAGCTACCGGGTACGGCTTTGTTATCTACCGCAACAATAAACGTATAGCCCAGGCCTGCGGCCGTCTCGGCTTAGCAGAAGTGTTTGATGGTGAGGCGGAGGGGGCGAGGGCTGGGCTCCGACGGGCCCTTCAGACCTCCCAAGGCCAGCCTATACACATCTGCATCGACAATACCAGCGTTATTCAGGGGATTCGCGGTAAGGTCCCAGACTCCTCACAAGCGGCCTTCCTTGAGATCCAGGAGGTAGCTAGGATACACGATATACAAACCCATTGGTCTCCTGGGCACCAAGGTATTAAAGGAAACGAAGAAGCAGACAGCCTAGCTAAGGAGGGAACAACTCTACCAGTCCTTAGGGGCCAACTAGCTACTCTATCAGGTATCAAGTGGCTTGCTAAAGAGCGGCCAAGACGCCAATATAGACGATGGTGGAAACAAGAGGCAACTCCCCGCTATACCCAACTAGGGCTCAAGGCTACCCTTGCTTGCCCTCCTGAACTTGGCCTCCCTAGGGCTGCCCTTCATCACCTCCTCGTGGCACGGTCAGGCCACGGGGACTTTAAACAATATCACCAACGCTTTAACCACACAGAAGCACTACTCACCTGCTCCTGTGGGTGGGTTAAGGAGGCAGACCATCTAGTCTACTGCCGAAAGACCCTACTGAGGAGGCAACAGTGGCCCACCCTCTACCCCTACAGCCGCCAGGAGCCCGTAGGACCTATAGGGTCCCTCGATCGCTACTTCAAGGGGCTAATCACTGACTCTGAAGGCTTCCAGGCCTTCCTCTGCGTGACAGACTTCTTCCAGAAGATCTGCCCGCGGTACTAGGAGATAGGTCATAACCTATCCTCCAAACGACAAACTACCTCTATTAAGAAACCAGAGGGTTATAACGGAACTAGGGCACCAGTGGGAACTAGGGATGGATAGAACACATAGTGGCTCACGAGCAAGATTTGGAGGACGTCAGGATACGGCGTGTACTATATAGTATATAGCTAGAGCCTGCGACCCTTCACGCCACATACCCTCCGGGAGGTCTGCCGCAAGGGCGGCTGCGCCCTTGCCGCCATGGCGTTAAATAGAACAACAACAAATATTGCTGGCTCGATGAGCGCCAGTTCACGTCAGAGCAGTACACTTTCAATCGCACTATCGAGCGATGGAGGAAATTTGTGCTCCAGAGATTGTCCCGGACCTACCAAATTATCGGTCTACGCACAATTCAGCGCGCCATTGCCCTTCTTGTCAAGGTGTGGTCGCGCATGGACTTTGGGACAGCACCGGGAGACAGAGTGAGCGACTCGGTAGGAAAGATTGCCGAATATGCTCACTGGATAGATGTTATAGAGGAGGAAGGGCTGGAGACGCTCCTCGGTTAGCTTCGTCATACATAGAATATGATAATACCGTTGTACGGATCTGACGCTACATGTGACTGCGAACGCAAGGTATGAAAAGAAGCTTAAGTTGGGCCTCCGATGCCAGATATACTCTTGATCTAGTTGAAACGATAATAGAGTCATAGAAAGTTCCAAGACTCCAACGAGTCGTACTCGGCAAAAAAAAAGGTTTCCTGGCTTGGATTATCAGCGCAACAAAGTTGGTCACATCGGCTAGAAAGCCTGCAGGTTCAAGACGGCAAAGTGCAGCCAGCTTAGCCTTTGATAGGCCACTTACATGCAACCATCTTCGTGTAATCTCCGAAGTCCCTCATGGAATCCAGACTTTTTCCAGACGCGAGAATCTCGGAGGACGGATGTGAAAGGCGCAAAATCAAAGGCCGCGTCTTCTTCTCGAATCCCAAGACACAAGCTAATCTCGTGTTTCGCTCATGTCGTGGTCTCACAAGTTTGCGCCGTCAATCCCTCCTAAACAGTATCGAACTTTTTGCGTGATGATCTCGTCCAACCGACTGAGGTTGTGCTAGCAAAATGTCTTAGCAGTCTGTTAGTGACCAATGCGATAGTACCAACAATTGGTCGCGTTGGTGAGACCTAGCACTAGCAGCAAGAAACTTAAGTAAGCCACCGGCGAGGCCTTTCCAACGGTTTGGATGGTCAATTGATGTAAGAAAGCTTCTCGAAGCCTTGATTGGCTCGCCACCTCGAAGAAGCATCCTCATCCGCCTCGTCCGCCCGGATCTCTACCACCACCTCGCCCAAATACGAGCTGGAAAAACCAGACGGCAGACTGAGTAAACTCAGATCACGATCAAATGTCTGTCGCGTGCGTCCTCTGCCAGCCTCGGTCCATTCGAGGTGGATTTAGCCAGCCAGCTTATCACCTGCACAACAAATCACATCGCCAGGGTGTCGTCCCCCAACCCCTGCCACCAAGCTCCCAACTTGATGTAGCGCGAGGCCAACGCCTCTTCCTGGCCGGACCGGCGTCCAAGACTTGGGCAAAATGGCTCGCTCATCCCAACGGCCAAGTCAATCATGAGACAAACGATTCGTCCGCGCCCCCGAAAAAAAGCTTAAAAGAGCAACACCTGCGACCTTGCCGTAGTGCCAGGGCCAAAAGATCAGCGCCATCCCCCCTCGGGCATCCCTGTCGATTCCCCCGCGTCTTGCCCCATATCGGAAGGCATCGCCGTCCCCAGACCCCCCGGGGTTGACTGCGGGGGAAAGTGGATGAGGAGAAGTCGGCCGAGAAGATAGCGCGCAAAGAGGAACGACGACTACCTTTCCTTACTCAGTGAAAATTTTGGTGTGCTGGTGTGTTTGTGTTTGTGTGGGTGACATCCCTCTCCACCTGCGTCGTATTAGTGATGATATTCCCATTTACGGCTCGACGGACATGACCTCATGCCGACCAACCGCCGGCTGGGAGCCCAGTAGCCCACATGTGAAAGCGACAATCTGTGAGGGAAATTAGATAGCTCCCGAGGAAGCTAGCTGAGCTACAACGTGCAGCTGAAGGAAGCCCAGGCTTGCTGGTCTAGAGCTTCTGGCTATGAGTCGTGCGGTGTTTATCGCAAGGTAGGCGACAAAAGGACAAACGTGACTGCGGTTGTTGCCTTTTCTATGTCCCCGTTCCCACTCCCACCCTCTCCCCCATGCAGGGTTTATCTCCAGTCTCCCTCCACAAAGGAAGCTTGTCACCCATTCTCCTTTTCTCCTGCATGTATCCAGACCACCCAGGAACGAATTGGACGCTCCATCTCCATGTTCACGAAGACCCCTTGAAGCATTCTTCGTTTCACCATCTCCCAATCCAACCAAACTTCACAATCGCTTAACCAAATAGTACTCGATCAAGAAGAGTACAGGAAAATATCACATCATACATCATGATGAAGAAGAACTTCACTCGTCTTGTCGCCGGCGCGGTGTGGCTGGCGAGCGGCGTGGCTGCGGCAGAAAATTGCGCGAGCGTCGCCGTCACCGCGATTCC